AAAATGATTGTTTATTTGACAGAAGCGATCGTTCGCGAGAAAAACGCGCAATTTTAATGATCTTTCGCGCTTACTTAAAATAGCATTTCTCAAACAATGTTGCGTATACACGTAACATTGTTGCATTATCGTCAGTAAATACGTCACACATATCGCGTGATTGATAGATTTGTTCGGATTTGTCAGAGACGTTCGCTTTATTTTCAGACGTAAAAGCGTTGTACAATTATGAACGAGACTTCAAGTTTACCACTTGAGCAAAGCTGAGTATGATAGTGCGGTCTCGAGTGAGCGTCTTCGCTTCGGAAAGGCTTTTCTTCAACGAACAACAGCACATGGCAGTATAATTGCTGCGTGTTGACACTATCAATCGTCTTGTTGAAGCTGGTTCTGAATACACGTGTACATACCGCTAAGTATTTCTGGATCTCTCTTATATGAAATGAGTTCGGGGAATCTTCTTCTGTCTGGTGACCTCGTCGCGATTTGAAACGCGAATGAACACAGACGAGAGAGTAGCCGAATTCGTATCACTTGAGAATTTAAACTTATATTTGATATAATACGCGCAAAAGACAAATATTTATTGTATTTAAATTTAATGTATGTTAAATTTTATATAAATTTATATATTTGGCCTAACATAAAAATAACACATTTCTAAACAATTACAAATTAAAATTTGTAATTATTAGGAATTTCTCCTTAATTGCTGTTGGGTAATTGTTATATTATTTCGGTTTTTACTGATAAACGATCGAAAATTTGTCTGAATTTTTTTCATAATAAGGAAAAAGACTTTACATTAACATCTCCTGTGATTGGCTCTTACACTCAACCCTAATCAAACTCATTTCAAGATTGTCACGAGCTTATTTATTGTTTACAAATATATATGTGTAGACAATAAATAATAATAATCACGATTATTTTAATTAAACACTGCGCGTTAGCGTGACATTTGTCGTTCGATTATTTCAAAACAATAACATTTCATTGGCGATAATTTCTTCTTGAGTCGTTGTCTCCTTTACGATCACGCGTTGTTAGAAAAACCGCTCATTTGAATGCGTGTTTTGTAATGATATTGCGCGGGAGCAATAAATAGCTGTACCGAGATAGAATTTATCGCGTGAACTTTAGGTCGGCGAGAGACGCTTTGAAAAAGATCGCAATAAAGTATGAAACGGTCCAACGTTCTGCTATCGAGTTGCCACGTGAATCGCTGTTAATCATCACGCGCACAATTTCTCGACAAATTATATTTTATTAAAGCAAAAGCAACGCGAGTACAGAAGATATGCTTTTCTTCCGCGCACGAAGGCCCAAAAATAAAAAATCGATCAAGTCGCAAATTTCCGACAAGCGTGGCAGGTGTAATAAACGACACTGTGAGGAGAAAACAACCGGAAATAAGTGTCAAGTATACCGTTTCTAATTCATTTCTTCGATACATTCTTGACGCGCGTCTATAACAAATTACCTTCACGCACGCATTTATTCGCTTAGAAGCGCATATCTTCAACAAAACACGTGCGACCTTATTTTGCTAACCTTATTATGAACGACCTGCAATCCTTGCTAATAAACAGCACGTGAGATCAAATTTATCAGATTTTTTATTTATGTGAGACGAATATAATTGTAGTGAAAGCTGAAGAAAGCTACTTCATAATGTAAATTCAACGTTATTCTCCGCGTGTCTTATCGATTTCCACTCGATAGTTTCGACGATGCTATTTTCGTATTCGCAAAAATAAAAAACAAACACGGGTCTCTCAGACCCACTCAAAAATTCCAAACCAGTATTTCTAGTAAAAATTAGTTTCTTTTAAACGTTTATATCTTCGAAACCACTAGAGATTGTTTCAATTTGGTTTTTTTTAATCGACGCAGAATCGTTCAAACTTTTGACTCAAAAAACCACAATTGGAAAATATAAATTTTTTGCGGAAATATTCAAGTTTAAATTCGTGGGTCTCACAGACACTCAGTCTGTTCAAGCAGGTCATTTTTGGAGTCTGGAGAAAGGTTAAACGAAGCATCGAGGACTGCAACGTTACACACCACAATAGACATTTTTTAAAGAAGATCTCTCGGAGAAAAAAAAAGATAAATTAAATCTCTCGCAAGTGATCGGTGCTTTTTGGCAGTCGTTCTCAGAAACGCAGATTATTACAGATAAAGAGCAGCTTCGCGAATCGTTCACGGGTCAATCGACGCATTAAACATCTATTAACCCTCATAAGCTCGCTTATTGGTTTAATAGACAAGAATAAGTTTGAACGCGTGTCCTCGCTCGAAGACTTTAAAGCTGCCGAGAAAACACTTCGCGTGTTATTACGTCAATTCAAATTCTCGAAGAAGAGATTAAAAAAAGATTTCGGCAATTTTTTAATCTCTTCTCATTTTACATCATCATAAATATACAACAATGTCGACGACATTTCTCTGCAAACAAAAAATAAATTATGCAATGTTCTGTTAAGTAAAATACTTTTAAAAGTTAATTAATACGAGACATGTTTTTTTTTTAGACGATCACGTGTGAAGTCTCGCGTGATAACGTCATTTTTTTTTTGTGCGTCTCGAAAGCGCGATTGCGCTTAATTAAAACATTTACGCGTTGCTCTGCGAGTTATCGCGGATTCGAAACTTTTCGAGCTGCGTTTGACTTTCTGTCCAACGCAGTTCTTTTTCTCGTCGACTACACAATGAGATTACAAATCGAAACAAATAAATTACGCGATATTTTCTCAGAAACTTTATTTAAAAATTGCGTAAGAAGTTAATTAATCTCTTTCAGAAGATTGTTTTCGGATCGTTCTCTCGCAAAAAAGGTTGGAAAATTTAAATAATCGACAAGATATATATCTAATGAAAAAATCGCGAATCTTTTGCAAAAAGAACATGCGTTGTTAAATCAGTCAGAAATTTTTTCGTGCTGAGCTAAGAAGAAAGCAACTATAGTAAAATAACGTGCAGAACACACGCAAATCAAACTGATGATGATTCCAGGCTTTAATATTCACGACACGTGTAAGTTAAAAAAGACTTGAGGCTCTTTTATGCATGATATAAAATTTTAAAATAAGTTTTTGGCTTTGAGTGATGTAATACGTAGACACATCAGGAGTCATATTATATGTCTAACAATGTATATGTTAATGTATATACATGTAAAAATATGTATATAATTTTTAACAAACGTCTCGAGAGTGTGAAACAGATTTTGTGAACTACAAAAATTAGAATAATAAATAAAACATTAATAAATAAAACATTAATTTCTGCATTACAATTTGACAATATTACATAAATAATATTTGACAACAAGTAATTTCTAAAATTTGCGATTCTCACATTACGTTCATTGCCGCGCGCGCAAATGAACATAGTAAGATACGCGCTAATTAACCTGTTGACATATTTGTGACGCAAGTAACAATAAATTAACGTTTGTTAAATAAATCTTGTTGGTTAATAATTTGTGTGTCTCGATTATTTCAAAGTCCACGCTGAAGATACACGTTGCCAAGCGGGATAAAAGATTAATGTTCTTTCCTTGTAGAAATTTATTACCGCGTGCGGTTTTGTCAAAATAGTATTTATCTTGAGTAACGAAAGCACCGGTCTGCAGTGAGTTTTTAATAATAATCAAAATATTATAATAATATTTAAAATAAAAGTATTATTAAACACCAGTAACAAGTTTCTCTGTGTAAATATTGCGTGGTACATAGTTTGGAAAATTTTTTTTTAACGGAGCGCTTTTAGAGAGTCATTTATTGTGTATCTTCGACGAAAATTATTCAGAAATTTTACCTTAAAACCAACAAAAATATACACTTGATAAATATTAATGTTTTGCTGACGTTGGTTTCGAATGAATATTTATTTATTTACACGCAAAAGTTTGGCTTCTGAGCGACAAAAAACAATCAGAAGTTGAATCGCAGAAACGTTTCGCGTGTTTTTTTTTCTCGCAAAGTATCTATCAAAACGTTTCTTACCTACATTACATTCGCGCATTTGTTTTTTTTTTTTTTTTATTATGACAAAAAAAAGGAAACGTACGGTACATTTCTGACGTACGCGAGAATAATAATCCAAATGATCTTTTACCTTGTTGCAAATGAGATAATAATCAACTACGCGGATTGTGCTCGCGCGCGTACGCGCGTCTAAAAAAGCCAACAAGCAATAAGCAAAATGACGTCGGAAGAATATATAGTCGTATTCTTCGCGTCTGATTACGTTTGACAGAAAATATTCTACCTGAATTCGTTGTGGAATATGACTCTTGACGTAAGAACGATATATTATATTAATTTCCAATGCAAATTGCGCGCCATTACAATTAGTAACATGTGGACGACATCGTTATATGTATATGATACAGAAAATGCGACTCGTGTATTACATAAATCATGTGAGAAAAACAACTCACACAGATGGTGCATGTGAATTGTACGACCGCTATGTGTAAATAGAATATAATTTATTCGTTAGATATGTTAATATAAAAAGTACTTTTATGAGTTTTCGAATAACGACAATTGGTTTACATACGCGTTTGGTGACGACGCATCATCGCCAATGCGGCAAATGTACATATTTGGTACACGAATTTTTCTCGTTTGCTTTTTATGCAGTTTGATACACATCTGGATCAACATGTACAAAAACAACAAATTCGATTGGGGATGCCTGATGCGCACTGAGTGCGTCCTGTTTCAGTGTGTAGTAAAATACTAACACTGAAATATTCTACTACACATTAAAAGAAGACGCACTCGGTGCGCATTAGTGTATCCAATCGAATTCGTCAAAATATGCGTTGATTGACTGATTCGCGTCGATTCGAGCAATCGCTCTTATCGATAGTGAAAATTGCGAATGTAGCGACGGACTCGAACCGAGTTACATTTGTATCGTCTGAAGATAAACATCGCTTCGTAGTTCCACTTTTGTGGATGTAGAGCGCTGAGATCAGCATCTCTCTGTCGTAAAACAGGTTGGCAGCAATGTGCTCAAACTTTAAAAGTCGTCAGTTCAAAACGAACTGTCAGAATCGTCGAGCGTCGGATTGTCTGTGATACAATTATTGTTGGTTGATTTTTGTTGACGACAGAGATGGATTGTGATTCTTCGACATTGTCAAATTATTTCGAGAGATTACGGCAAAAAACGCGCGAGATCGACGAGAATATCAATTGGCTCGAAAAGATCTGGAAAATGCCTCATCTGATGGTCGGTGGGTATGGGGAGAAAAATAAGGAAAATACCGTCTGTTTGGAAAACTTGTCAAGTTGTATCCACGATATTAAAGTAAGTCTCGTGGACAATTTTATATACATTTTATAATTGTATCTATAAAACAACAAATAAATATGTTAGAAAACATAATTTCTTCCTGTAAATTATAAAAATTATGACACATATTTAGGATGCTGTGGAAACTTTTGAGTTGCCGGAATTAGACACGGTTGATTTGCTCTTGAAGGAAGCAGAACAGTTGTATCAAGAGCTAAAAGAGCAGTGTGACAATTTGGATATCGTTTTTGCGGAATACGATTCTACATACGAACAGAGTCCTAGTGTACAAAATGGCCAGCATCGGTAATATATATCTTATTAAATACTTGAAAATTTTTGTAAAACTATAAAAGCATAATTTGATATTTGCGGAGAAGAAATTCTCTGGTGATTTTAATAGTGATAATGCGTTTATTACATACGTATTGCAGACATGAAATAATTTTACTCTTTTCTTTTTTTTTTTTAGAAATAACAGTGAGATCTGTACAAATAATGACAATTCTACAAAAACATCAGATATTGCAGTGGACTCTACACCAGACTGTACATAGAAAACCAAGTTAAAAGAATCAGACAGAAGATTAATAGATATATCACTGCAAAGATGTGTACATACTAAACGAGAACTCGGAACAAAAATAGTTTTTAACTTTTAGTATATTTACCGATCGAAGAACAACACACACTCGAAACTCCTCGAAGAACTCGGGGTTCTCGACTTTACCGATTGACTTGTTCCTCAAGAGTGGTTTATCGATCGTTTAACTCATCGAAAATGATCAATCACATTGGCCAAACTGGTCAATGTGATTAGACAATTTTGTTGAATCCCGTCAAAAGATAATTTATTTAGTCTATAGTTTAATATCTTTTCAATTCAACTGGCATTCAATCGAAGTTGTCAATACTTGCTAACAAAACAAATTTGTCGATGGCTACTAACTAACTAAGGGAAAATAACTAATTATCTTCAGTTAAATATACAAATTATAATACGATATAATAAGATAAAACAAAAGAATTTAATAAAAACTGTCTCTATTTTCTATTAAAAAAAATTAAAGTATGTGTGCTACATTGTTTAACCACACCAGATACAGTAAAGACATTACTGCATCTGACAGTTCGCAGTCTGTGCAAAGTGGGACGGAAAAATGTGTGCGCACATTTATATGTTCGTATAAGATGGTTCGTAAAAGATGGTTGTGGTTTGGACATGGTTCTATTCCGGGCTATGTGCACAAGTGTCGAGTTGAGAAAGATCGAGCAGCCGGCCGAGCACCGAGGTAGGGGTACGCGCACAACGTGACTAAAGTAAAGTCACGTGACTTTAGTCACGTGTTGTTTTTCCTCTCCTCCCAGTCACGTGACTTTACTTTAGTCACCATTTAGTCACTCTCTAGACCTGTCCGCTCTCATTGTCAGTCTTCTCTCATGCATATATTAAGTTCTTGTAATATGTCCGGTATTCATAGAGTTGAATCTTGTGTTTAAAAGATGCTCTACAGCCAATGAAACGACTCGAACATCATTTGAAGATATAAACTTAAAACGATCTTTAAATACAAGATCCGACTATGAACGCCAGTTTATTACGAATTGGTCTGTGAGATTAGAGTTGGAACAGTGGCGATCATGCAACTGACGTATGGGTCTCTCATTCATGCCCACTGAGTAATTACAACATTGAATTGAGAACAGTGACGATAGATAGTACGCTCAACTGCGCGTGCGCAAAAGCACGATTCCGTCTTATAACACTGATTTATACACATACATATATATATTTGTCTCATTTATGCCACGCTGGCAGTCGTCCGTTCTCTGCGTTAACTTTGCTGAGAGAGCTGCTGCTGTTTTGCTGTTTCCCAGTTTTCGCGTCGACACATCTCCGGACGGCAGTGAAGTGAGGTCCAGAAAATGTAAAACTGTCGGTGTGTGTACGAAGAGTGTCGAGAGTGCAAACCGATTGTTGATGATTCGGTCGGCGCGCTCCGAGGTGGGGCAGCAACCACAAGTTCTGCGGCAGGTGCAGGCGGCGAGTCGGACGTGCGCTTGTCGAGAAATTTCACAGTTACTTTCATCGCCTCACGATCTCCCATCGGTGAAGTGACGATCGCGCTCATACCGATTAATTAGCGGCGATTTTGTGTGGTTATTAATTATCCGTTTAATGGCAACCTAGTGAAATTCGAACGGCCAGTCGCAAGTTTTATGTCAGGCAGCGATGTCGTCCGACATGAACCTGTTTGATCTGTTCAGCGACACGTTTCTCAAGGGAGAGATTAAGGACGACTTGTTCGTCGACGATAACTATGGCGATATCGCCGCGGTGAGTCCCCCCGAGATCGTTCGATCGCTTTTCGCACTCTCTGCTGCGCGTCACTCGAGTGACTCATGTAATCGGTTTAGAAATTTAAGTTCCCCGTCGCTCCGAGTAAACACTTTATCTGTCACCGTTGACGTTAGATCTCTCTGATTACATTTACAGTGGAAAAACAAGCAACTTTGATAAGCCCAAGAAATTCATATTAAGTTTTTGCAAAAATCAACGTAGATGTTGGTGCGAAGTAACATAAAGATGCCAGTATAGCCATCCGAATGTAAATTTGTAAAATTGATTACATATGTATCAATAAATGTGTGTTTAAATATCACACTTCATATCATTTTGCACTGATAGCTGCGGTAACTGTTGCAAAACCTTGTGTGTGAATTTTTTGAATTTTTCTTGAAATTTCTCTTCCCTTTTTTTTAAACCTAAGAATACTAAAAAAATTATTGCATTGAAAATTTATTTATTTCCACATCTTATAAATATTTCTTGTCTACGTAAAATGTTATCTTTGCTGCTTGTTTATAATCAAAAGAGAAACAAGTTGTTGCGATTGTCAGGGGAGCAATGAGATTATTTTCTTTATTTCACAATATTGTATTTCACAAAATTATACAAGAGAATTACAATTGAATCACTCGATCGAGCATACGTGTTTGTGCACTAACAATTATATTTGTTGTAGAAAAAGTTAACAAGCTACACACACTGAAAAAGACAGTTTTGTTATACTTCAAGTTGAGTCACATGCGTCACAAAATGCAACACAATCGCTTGTTTTTTTATCAGAACGTAATATACATTGTGCGCTGAATAAATAATTTGTGAAACAACAACAAGACACATGCGCGTCAATTAACGTGTTGACGTAATTTTTCACGATCGACAATAATTGCGACGCGATTCGATTCGCGATTGAAAATTTTTATTGCAAATTCATTGATAAATCGTGAGCGAGAGACTGTTTTTATACTTTGTGTTATAACATATGGTACGGATATCGGCGCACGTGCTCTTGCGATATGCACGCCGGCGCGCGTGAATATTGCACGAGATATCGGAACGAACAAAATTACTCTGGATTTTTTATTTGTTTTCTTCCTCGCTAACAGTTTGTTGTATTAATTGCACTGTGTACGCAGCTGTTACGCAAGACGGTAAATCCGTAGATCACGTAATAATGTTCCAGCGAAGAATACAGCGATATACATATATATATGTTATGTAATACGTATTTTACGTATAATTTTTTTAAGAAACTTGCATCTCGTTACGAGAAACTTTTTCGCGAATATTATTCAAATGGCAGTTGCATTACGACACGATTTCGAGACAGTTTTCTCAGAAAGGAGATTTAACATATGGCGCTTTGAAACGGGCCAAATGTGTGATCTCAGAATCGCTTCCGAAACAAATATTGTAGCCGACTTTCCGACAGTAAATCAAGTAAAGTGAGTCTTCATTTATAACAGAAAAAACAAAGAAGAAAAACAAGAGCAACGAGCGCACGACAGGTTTTACCGTCTCGCGTGTCGCAACATTTGCGCAATGGATGCGCCCAAAAGTGCGAATAAAAAATTATTATTTATTGTATGTGAAAAAAAAAAAAAACGGTCGTTCTATATTGATATTACTTCTTCACGTACGGTTGTTCTTGTAAGCAGAGCAGGTCGTGTAAATAAATTGTTGCAATCTGACGTATTAACTAGTTCACGAACGTATTTTTCCGTTTCCTTTCGAGCGAATTCGACTTGGTCCAATTGATAACTTAGTCACTCACGGGTAATGACCTTCGAACGGATATACCGTTACTTTACGGAACTCTGCCGCAACTCTCAACTCGCCAATCCCGCGCGCGTACAACCGACACAGATTTACAATCTTCTTTCCTTTTCACTTAAGTGTGCCGTGTTATAATTCATAAATCTCGGAATTAACGGCCTGAAATCGCATGTCTTAATAAACATGTGGGACGCTAAGATTTGAGCCAAGAGAAGAGAGGCGCGGTAAAAGCACGAATCTCTTGCTAACCGATAAGCCTAACATCTTCATCCGGTGATAAAACGTTTTCGGCAAGCGAAATAAAAAAAAAACATACACGGCGTCGGTCTTGATTGCGCTAACTAGATGTTATGTCATTTGTTGCACACAAGAGAGAACACTGATGAGCGAATACGTTTTGCAGGCGGAGGAAAGTCCGGCGGAGACGGAGGACTTGTTCGCCTCGATCTTGAAGATGGAGGAAGACACACAACTCGGGTTCAACCTGATCGACAAGGATCTGGAAACAATTCAGTCCTCTTCGTCGGACAGCGGACTGTCCAGCGCGCTGAGCCTGTCCTACGAACAGCAACTGAGTCCGTTCTTGTCGAAGGTCAACGAAGAGGAGCACATCGAAATCAGCAACTCCGACCTGAGCAGTCCGCAGAATTTCATGGACTTCGAACCCGCGGCTAGTCCGTCCCTGGCCAGCGTGGACAGCCCCGTCAGATCGGTCGTGAGCTCCAATATCGGTTCGCCGGCTACCGATGTGACCGAGGAAATAGATTACGAACAGACTTTGGTCGCTGTTGTAACACCAAATAACACCACGCCGAATGGCAACACCGTTGTCGCCGAGCAACCGATCGTCGACATCAGTAAGATTCCCATTTGAATCGCGACGTAACGCGGTCTCAAGCGCGAAGTCCCGATTTCAGGAATGAGACGTCGGTCTTGTTTGTTCACAGGTCCAGCACATAAACAAACGACGACTTACGTTATACCGCGAGAAAGCGCCGCTCGCAACTTGACCGGTAATGGAAAGCGAAGTATTCGACAATTCGTACGCGTCACTCCAGTGGGTTCCGGTAATCCACGCTCTATCCTATTGCCGATAAGCCTCAAAGACGTGAAAGAAGTTCGCACTATCAAACTCATGACGACGCAAGCGAAGAATTTTAAGAACTTGAAAATGAATCAGGCAAACATTATCAATAAACCTATTCAGGTATTCGCGCTACACACTTATGTGACGTAATGTTAAAACAATTTATTTTAATTCTTATTCTTCTTGTGTTTACATTCCATAACATATTAACATCGTGTTAATATTGACTTAGATGACCATCAAAACGGAGGAGACCAACAGCGAGAAGAGTAGCAATTCTAGCGACGAGGTTACGTCTGAGACAGACTCGCCGTATCCGCGACTCAAGCTAAACGCCGAGGAGAAGCGGTTGTTGCAAAAGGAAGGCATCACATTGCCCAGTCATTATCCGTTGACGAAGCACGAGGAACGCGAATTGAAGAGAATCAGACGTAAGATTCGCAACAAAATATCCGCTCAGGACTCTCGCAAGAGGAAAAAGGAGTACGTGGACGGATTGGAGGATCGCGTGAAGCAGTGCACGCAAGAGAACGTGACTCTGTTGAATCAAATCGAAGCCTTACAGACGCAAAATAAAAGTCTGACCAATCAGTTGAAGAGACTTCAAACTCTTCTGCAAAAGGGCAACAAGAGCGCGCAGCCGGCAACTTGTCTGGTGGTGTTGCTGCTCTCATTGGTTCTCGTTGCTTTGCCAAACGGTCTGCAGCCGCACTCCAACAACAACAGCGATCTGACGCAAGAGCAAGAACCTGAACAAACGTCACTAGCAGGTTACTTCCGTTGTTCTTTTGTTAGGAAACTTTTTTTTTAATTATGTAGAAAGCACAGTCTTTTCTTGACAATTATCAATTCTCAGCAAATTGAAAATAAAATAACTAGTTATCTATCATTTTGAAACGAGATACAAAATTTCGATGTTTTCAACACATACAAATACTTTTCGATGATTCAAAAGTTTTGAGAACGCCTGTCCTTGATGTTATCTCTTATAGAGATATGAAACAAAGTTAACATCAGTGCAGATGTTGATAAGAACATATACAAAAATTTTTGTAATACGCAAAAAAACGAGGTATAAATTCTCCCGATTTATATCGAGTTTTTGTATATTAAGATAAAAAAGACAATACAAAATGTACGCACGTACTTTTCTGTGTCATTGATTGTTGTTCACCTCTTCGAGCTTTTAAGCAGTTACTTTCGTAGCTGCCTGCACAGCAAATTCCATCTCGTGAACAAGTGGTATCAAATTACATCATAATTGCACGTTCCGAACAATGGTCGATGTACAAATCCTTTGCGAATCATTTAAATTCATCGTGAAACATTTGATCACAAATTCCGTCGTAAAAGTAACAGATTTAAATATTTTATTCAAAAAAAATTTTTTATGTCTTCTATAAGCTTTGAAACAGAAAAATCCAGAAAAAAAATTCTACAAACATGTATTTTTAATTTATTGCACACATTTAATTTAATTTTAGGCCGTTCGAGAACTTTGCTGCACACAAAACAGCTAATAGACGAAGAACTACAGCAATACGGCGAAGAGTTGTTGCAAGAAGTTGGAGGCTTGTTGGATCACGATTACAGCCCGGTTGTACAGATGCCTCTCTACAAACGTCCACGTCTTGACAACGAAGCTCCATCCAAGTACGCTTCCTCCATGAATCACGTTGGAGGAACACTCGGCTTAAAACCGGACCTTGCCGTCTCGAAGACAAAGGGACAATACATGGAGCCGCCGCTTGACGACGTATGGCCACCGCCGAATCCAGGCGGGCAGAAAACAACGAGAGTAGTGGATAAACTCGAAGCTCTTACTAACGAGCTTAAAATCAACATCTCCGACGTCGAAGGCACCAGAACAGTTTTTGTTAAGATGCCTCACGACAAGTAAAGCGAAACACTTTTTTTTTTTTTTTTTTTTTTCTTGTCAATCGTGAGGAGCACTATGTTGGGAAATTCATGGAGAATTTCAAGTAAAACTCGTTAAGTGAGATTGTAACAAACCAAACGGGAGAACGATTTTTAACCCTTCTCTGGGCATTCTGATGCGTGCACTGATATATTCGATTGTTCTAACTTCAAAGCAAAGTTTTATATCCGAGACAATGATTGTAAACGGGATTTGCATTAATGAAAGAAAGAGAATATATATAACAGTTATTTGTATGACCATTTGTGTGACCATTGAGTAAAGAATGTTTACGTCTGATTCATGGATCTAGCGTTCGCTGTATTCTTTAAAAAAACGTTGGAAGTGTATATTTAGTATTTTCTCAACGTAGCCACGATACTTATATACGTATATATAAATTGATTTTAAATAAAATAACTGTGTTTTTAGGAGAGAGAATGCTTTGTTGCAGAATGTTTCTCGCACTTGCAATCATTTTTTGTAAGATTATTTTATGTAAAATTATTCTACAAGAGAAACAGAAAGTAAATTTATTCTTCTCTCATCTGTATATTCGTTAATTGAACTTTTTGTGTGATATTTTTGTTTAAAAAACTATTATTTGAAATAAATATGCGTACACTTGTTATATTGATGTAATAATAGCCTTCTAAAAACAGGGAACATTTATATGGAAGAGAAATTGATATATTGTGGACACTACATCTTGATTTTTTGCATGCATAAATAAAATAAACATTCAATACAACAAAAGGGACACGGCGCAGTTTTCGCCAAATTTAAAGACTGCATCACCTATCTATAAAAAAAAAAAATATTCATATATAAGTTTCTTTTGACTAGACTATTGTTTCATATTCTATAATATAATAATAAGAGCTTTCAATACGTAGAAATAAATATTCAGGGAGCTAATGCAAACTGCAGGATAAAGATGCAAATAAAATCAAAAATTCATAAACTCTGTTTCTGTATTCTGTAACACACGCGTTATAAGCATATTGCACGTTACGAATCTTTGCGTAGATAAACTATTACAAAATTATTACAAAACTATCATTAACTGTGAGACGATACGTTGCTGCGTTAATGACAACAAAATTGTCCTAAGTTACAGAATAAAAGAACAAGCATTAACGAATTAACTACTGAATATTTATTTCTACGTATTATATTTGCTAGTTACAAATGAGAGGTCACTAAAACATCTTATAATAAGAGCTTTCTTATTTTTTTTTTCTTAGGTTAAGGTAAAATACACATACGTGCGCGTTACGAATTTTATTTTTTTTCCATTTATATGTCATAAACATACATATATATTGTTTAAATCTATTTGTCGTATTTACGTGTTATATGCACTTAAAAATTGTAAATAAATACATATATTATTGGTGCAAAACTTGTGTCGTGTTTTGTTTGCATGTTCCCGAGAAATTCTTATATCTTATATCTACGTAGTCGGATCAGGATATGGTGATCTGATTGGTCCTGCTGGATGAGGATATCTTTTTACAAGAGCAAATGGTCCAAATCTTCTTGGTGGAAACATAGAGATCGGAAAGCAAAAATTCTGCAGATTAAAACATTATTATTTTATAAAAAGTAAATCAATTGAATATAAATCCACAGAAACATAATAAAAAACATCGATTAAATCAGTAGATATTTATGATTTTTTTTTACTTACATAAGGCTGGAAAGAATCTGCTTCGTTTTTGTTTGATCTCTGTTCTTCTCTTTGTTTTCTGTTTCTGTCTCTGTCCCTTTCTGTATCTTTACTCTTACGAGAATATTTGTATGATTTCTCACGTCTATCATATCTATTACAATATTTATATTTTGTTAATGACTTGATAATAATAATTAAAAAGTTCTGATAAAAATTAGTACATTCTCAGTAAACTTATATACACGTAGAAAAAAAATTTCTGTGGTCAAAATGTTACTTTAAAAACGTAACTAAAGTCACGTGACAGGAAAGAGTAGAAAAACAACACGTGAAAATAACGTGACTGTAATTTATATTATATATAACATTAAATAATACATATAATTTATATTATATATTTATATTTATAATGTTATACTTTATATTATATATATATATATTATATACATACTACCGTAAGGTCACTGACCTCGACCGCGCGGCCTTGGCGGGGTCACTGACCTCGGCCGCGCGGCCTGGCGGGGTCATTGACCTCGGCCGCGCGGCCTTGGCGGGGTCACTGACCTCGGCCGCGCGGCCTTGGCGGGACACTGACCTCAGCCGCGCGGCCTTGGTGGGAGGGGGGTCACTGACCGCAGTAAAGAAAAAAGTGTATATTTAGGAGTATTTTTATTGCGCAAAAGTGTTAAAAATCAAACCTGTTACTCGAGCTCGGTGATAGAGACCGTTTTCTTGAAGTTTGCATTTTATTTGTTTCAGAATCTGAAACAATTATTTAGTATTCTCTAGTAAATAAATACTACATATTAGTCCCATAATTATTACATGTTATTTGTATGTATATAAAATATGTGTTTTAAACAGTAGAAAAATAGAAAAAGAAAAACCAATATTTATCAGAGGTATGTTAAATCTTGAAGTAAGTACAATTAAAATATTAAAACAGTATAATAAATCTTGTAACATAATTTTTCATATCTACCTGATCTTTTTTTATAGTCATACCTGTACGATGCTTCTTATTTTCTCTTTTAATTGCTCTCAGTAATTTTATTTCAGCTCTATCAAATATCGGTTTAGATCCTTCTCCTAGACGGTTTGTATTGGATGAGTGCAAAAGTTTTTGATAGATTTTTTGATGATAAAATAGACCAAGTAATTATATTAGTAAAAATGATTATTTATTTATTCTCTCTACTAGTAAAATCTCCATTGTTTTCTATTACTTACCCAATATTATGTGTTTTAAGTATGCACTTTTTATATTTAGTGAACTTGAAATCTTCAGAGAAGAAATGCAATTATTTTATCCAAGAATATATTAGTAAAATCTTCAAAGAAGAATACATCTTCTAAAGTTACTTTACATCTTCCAAAAAAAAATGTATCTACTTTTGATAATGTTTATACATTTGTTATTATACGTGTACAGATAGAAAAAATTGTTGGAAGTACATGCTATTAAATTAACATTCACATTTTAATTTTTACCAAACAAAAATTTTGTGGTTTTTAGTTTTGTTGTAACAGCACTTTGTAAAAAGTGATTTCACCACCAATCATCAATTTTCACAATTGTTGAAGTACAGTTAAATCTTCAGTAATGATTTTTTTGTGGAAGTAAAATCTTCATATAGAAGTAAATCTTCATATAGAAGTAAATTCTTCTTCATGTAGAAACAAATGACCAATAATCATAATCGAATCTAATATTTAAGATCGCGTGTCTAAGACCATCTTAAATGTAAGATTAAAGTATGAATATTGATCTAGGAAACAATATCTTGACTTGATGTGATAATAATTTTACATTTTATATAATTGATATAACACAAAATGCTGACAAATTCAATAAAAGCTACTTCAAATGTAGCAGTTAGTCTATTTGTTGCATTGCTAAATATTAATCAAGCTTCTGGAAAAACCATGTAGAAATTCAAATAAATGTAACAATTTACCATTTCTTCTTAAAATAACCACATCGTCAGGAGTATGTATGTCTCGTTGTATTTCATATATAGGTCCAATCACAGGAATATTTCTGCGAATAGTAACTTTAATACGACGTAATTCTTCAAAGCTAATAGCTTGACCTTCTGAAGTACTGAACCAAAATTTTTCATTTGATATTCTAAGAAGGAAGTGTAATTACGTGTAAAAGTATTTTTATATTATTTTTATATTGTTGTTAATAATATTATTATTATTACATAGCTGTAGTAAGTATCTAAACTCCAAAGTGTATGACTCTTGTAACATACTTGAAAAAAAAAAATGTTTTTATTATCTTATTAATTTTCTTATTATTATTATCTTATTAAATGTTTTATCTTTTATTTCTCTTAGCTGGCATCAAGTTTTAATCATTTGTATTATCAAAACTTATATTTATCTTTACACAAAAATATCAATAAATGATTAGATTAAAAGTTGAGTAGGACATTTTCTAACTATAGCTATTTATCTAAGACTCACTCTTTGGAAGTGGTTAAATATTGACTTAGTGAAGATCTTCCTGTACGATGACGAAGAGGAGAGTAACTAGAGCTTCTTTTACCTAGCTCTTTCTGCCTTTTTCTTTCCCATTCCATAATTTTTTGTTTTTTTAGTCTCTCATGTTCTATTGCTAACTCTTGCTGACGTCTCCACTCTTCTCTTCTCTTTCGTTTTTCTCTTTGTTTCTTAATCTCTTCGGTTCTTGAGCTTGAAGTGAAGGGAACAGCGTCTTCGGTATATTTACTAAATCTCTGATTCATGATTACAGGAAATAACTTGTCAAACTGAACTTATTTGATGTAAAAATGAAAGCAAAAGTCAGTGCTGAAATTGATCGAACAATAGATCTTCACAATAATGAGAAATTCGAATTTTAATATTTTTGAAGAGACAGTATTCTTCTTACCAATTCGGTTTGAACAAAAAGATAAATAATTTATAATTTCTTAATTTGTAACTGAAATTTTTAATGTAATTCTTTATAAGGTAGCGATTACTTTATATATTTAACACAGCTATGATATAATAAAAGATCTAACCACACATTACACAGTAATCACTACTAATCTTGAGACCGTCAATTCTAGATCAAGCGCAAATTTTTTAACTCAAACAGGTAGTTCATATGCCATATATTGGCCGTTCAGCACAAGTGTCATCGTCTTGTCAACACTTAACATTGATTGAACGGTTCTAAAAGTAAGGACCAATCACGTTCAATTGCTGCAAAGCAAATAGTTTGAACTCCTGAACGCAACTTTATTCTTGATCATGAATTTGCTAAATCACTTGTTGCGTTCAACTGAACCCGTTGCCTAACATGGATTAGAGAGCATAGTAATGATTTATAGTAACACATAGCGCCGTCTGTAGTATATTTGACCGCAACTTTTTATGATATACGTAACGTCCGGTTTACAAAATCACAACGCAGTTCGCAAAAAAAAAAGTTCTCGCAAAACCAATTGCAGTAGTGAATTCGGCCAATCGTTCGATACGATTGGTTCGAGTTTTAAACTTTTTTTCAAACTGAAATACCAGACCTGTTTGAAGCATCGTCGAACACAGATCTAGTTCTCGAATGCGGTGATTGGTCGTCAGATAGAGAATTTCTTCCCATACCAAAAAAAATGTAGTAAATAAAAAACCAGCCATTCATGTGGACTGGATTTTAGTCCGTTCAGTGCCAACATGAAAGTGAAAAGTCAATTAAGTTCGTGAAAACTGTCGTGGTCTAACCACAGCTCAAACTTGACGGCCATTGCACATAAGCACGTTTTTCCTCATATGCTGGGAAGAGTTCGTTATTATATGAGCTACATGTTACTAATACGTTAATTTCAACGTAGTACGTTATCAGCGCGGTCTAACAAACGTGACAGGAATTCAACTGAGGTGAGCCGGCGTAAATATGTTCCGGTTTTTTAACGATATCGGTCCGATAAGAAAACAGCACACAATGGCTGCAATGCGACAGCTATAAGATTGTCGCGCGTTTTCGCATTTCGTTGATTATCACGATATAATTTTGTCGATTCAATACGAGATGTTTGACATCAAAATTAACGTCGCAATGCGTAAAAAATCCTATCTCTATATAAAATTTATACTTGAGACAAATTTTATTCATTATCACAAATAACTTCGCATAACTCTTTAATATATAGTAAATGGTACAAACATACTTAGAATTTTGTGCCTTTATTGCATCTTAAAACTAAAACCAAAACTACAACTACTTGAGTACATAGATTCTATAAGACTGGTATAATTTATTTGCAGAGAAGATTGAAAGCTAGGAAGTAATGGAAACAGAATCTAGGCGCAAGGGCCCTAGAAGCCCTAGTGCTGATTCAGATGATTCCTCTCATCCTAGAAGAAGAAGGAAGTATGATCGTTCACCATCTCCAAGAAGAAGTAGATATCGTAGATCTCGGTCTAGAGATAGAAGATCGCGTTCAAGTTCTAGAGACAAAAGGCGCAAGGATTCCAGAGGATCTCAAGATTGGAAACAAGTTCCGCCATCTCAGTCTCAAACCTCTTTGTCTAATCCAACCAATACTACTGGTTATGTTTCAGCGGTACATAATCAATATCAGGTATAATAAATAGTTTTGCTAGATTACAAGATTTTTTTTTAATTGAATACAAAACTTAAAAATTGTTTAAGTTTATTAATTAATTTATGTTATCTACATATTAAGTGACTTTATTGTGCAATGTTTATATGTATTTTTTTAAAATTTTATATAGGCACCTCCACCAAACACAAGTCAGCCACCACCACCTATGTCAGCCTATAATCAGGGATACAACAACTATGGCTACAACTATGGCCCAGGCTATGACTACAGTTATCAGCAACCCACGGGCTATCGAAGTGTAAGTTATAAATATAGATTACAATGTATACGTATTTTAGTTTTAAAGGATAGATATTAATTGATTTTGGCACACATCAAGACACCATTGGAGAAGAACACATAATATTCAGACTGAATACGTATTTGTGAACTCTTACTAAAACTCTACGTTTGCGAAACATTCCGAAAAATTGTTATATTTTTATGCTACCGATTATGATTTATATTCGGTAGCATTTATTCTCTTTTGCAACATAATTCACATTTCTCTGAACTGCAATTGTGAGAATTCCGTAATAAGTAAGTATGACACGCGCTATGTATTCTACTTGTACCTACATTGGAAACCCGTAATATTTGAACAGACCGTTACATCTTCAAGACTTCCGTGTTATTAGCCAATTGTCCTCCTTTGAATACCATCCGATAAAGGTAAGGGTCGATAAAAATGTCGTTTGACGACTCGAAATTGATTAAAGCCATTTAATCTGTTAGGACTATCCGCCTCCCAACTGGCAAGGAAATCAAGTATCTTATAACAACCAGCAAGCACCACCACCACCGACATTGGCAACGCAACAAGAATCGTCGCGACCAATTGACAGCAGTTCTTCTAACTTGGTGACGTCCTTAACAAGACCTGACAATGTCAAGAAAGAAGGTGTGCAACATTATTTTTTTGCGTTTTTATTTCCGAATTAAATTTTACTATTGTTTGCATGTAAACATTAGTTTATTCGCACGCAAGATGATATTTTATTTATGTAATTTTCAAACTTTCTTCAAATTAAACACTTAGCAGCAATCGCAGCTGAAATGAAACAACAGAAAGCAACATTGGCTAAACAACGAGAGGAATATGTTAAGAAATCTGCTACTTTGCAACGCGAACTGGAAATTCTGCGTCAACAATGTGACGAGATAGGCAAGGAAGGTGGACGAGAAAATAATCGTATTATAAAAGAAAACCAAAAACTGCAAGTAAGTGAATTAACACGTGGTTCAGTCAAATGTTCTTTTGTGAAACCAACATTTGTCAAAATATTTTTGCAGATCGAGATACAAAATAAAATGAAATCTATTCACAACGTCATCGATATGCTCACTGGTATCATCGGTGACAATGTTACTATTGATGACCTAAAGAGCAAGTTTAAGCTAGAATTAAGCAAGCGTCGTTCGAGAAGTCCAAAGGAAGATTTTCCGAAAGGAAAATCACCTTCGCCCGATAGATCGTCCGGTTCCGGTTCGGATAAGGAAGCCAAAGCAGAAAAAGACATTAAAGAGAGAAAATCGTCGGAGGACAAGCCAATGTATAATTTCGTGCATTACGATCCGGAAATGCATTGGTGTAAAGTCTGCGATATCTTTCCTAAGACAGCAAAGGAGTATTTAAATCATCTACATAGCAATGAGCACAAAGAAGTTTGTTTAGTAAGTAATATTTTCTATTATCACGTTTGTCGTCAGGCAGACGGATTTTTATTTTTAAATAATTAAACGAAAAGAATAAGTTAAAAAAAATAAGTTTAAAAAAATTCCTATACACGGATAACACTTGTTAGTTGCTACGTGTAACAGGTCGAAGAAAAAATGTAAATTATATATATATATATATATATAATATACATTTTTATGCTTTGTATAGTGAAAAAAAAAGAATAATGGATTTAATTAAGATTATATGTATATTTGTAGTTCAAACTATATTTGTACTGGATGATATATTACACAATATATTGATCGACAAGCAGGTACTTGGTACATAGCGTAGTTTCAAAAAATGTACCATACATATAAATATTTATTTAAAAAAAAAAAAAAAAAATCACGTTTTTCCGCCCGATTTAAAACCGCTTTCACTAACACTCTGTTTTTTTTTTGTACATTAGGAACGCAAGATTGTTGATATGCCATGGCATGAGCAAAATAACGAAGGGACAGAGAAAGAAGTACCCTATTTTCCTGGACTCCCGACAAAAAGAACTCCTATCAAAGGTAAGATCAATTACAATGGGCAATTACTAATAGAACATACTTCCGTAGCTTGTGCACAGATAACTGTGGTGTTCGGTATGTATTGAAGAGGTCGGCAATCAAAAAAAATTGCTCGAAAATTTGTGTGCCTTAAGTAAGTTAAAATCTCTGTGATATGTCATCGAGAACGTAACAAAAACGTTTCAAGAATCAATAAATTTAATAGTATGACACGGAACGGGATAATATCGCGTAAAATCCTATCTATCTGAACATATCTATTGGCAGCAAATTTTCTTGCAATGTTGCAAACACCACAGGGATGATTGGATTTTAGCTGGATTCTAAAATCAATTGGATTCAAGAAGCATACTTTCCGAGCCAACTTTCGGGCGTATCACTTTGTCGTGGTCACGTGTCTCTAATTTCATTTTCTGCAACTACATTTTACACAATTTAGGGTGTTCATCTATCATCTGGACTAAAAATGTATCAAGATCTTATCAATGTGGAGTGCATTACTTGATAAAAAGTAATGACATATAAGATAACATAAAGTATTCTGTGTTGTTGCTTATAACTGAGACATATGTACACATATGTGTAAGTTTTGGTGAAGTTACGCGAAGAAAGTTACTGCTATGATTTTTATATTAAAAAAAAAAAAAAAAAAGAAAAAAATGTGTATTATTTTTTTAACATTATATATTTAAGTTATTATACAACAAATTGTGTATTAATTGATTGTAAAATATACTGCAAGTGTTTGTTCATACAGACTTGATCGACATCTTTTGCAAAACAAGTCGTGTATTCAATATAGTAAGAAGAGGTTTAAAACTTCAGAAATCATTAAAAACAATTGCAGTATATTCGTAGAAAGATATGTATATATTTGTTTAGTAATAGATTATATTATTATTTGTATTACGTTGTATTTTGTATTATGTAGATAATATTCTGTGAGACAAAAATAAAGCTCTTGGTCTTTTTTCCTCTCCTTTATTTTTCTGACAGATCATCGTGGGACTTATTTACGTGGAAATTAATATAATCGGCCATATATTGAACATCTTTTAATGTATTATTTTTGTTTTCAGTGACATGAATGTGTCGTGGCAGAATATAAGGTCATTCTTTATGAACTTACGATGCTTACCCGTTTCGAAGCTTAAATAATGCTAACTGTAGGAATATTTTGGTTATAGGTCTGCAATTCTTCAGCGCAGCCACGGCTTGGTATTGCAAACTCTGCAACTCCTGGATAGGAGATCTTCATTGTGCCAGTCTGCATCTGAAGTCTAAACGCCATTCGGAGAACTTTTCTGTAAGTTATTTTAAACACGCACTAGACTCTTATTAAATGAAGTATAAAGTTTAAAGTTGAAGATAATTGTGTTTGCAAAATAAAGTTAAAAACAAATTTGCGAGTAATTTTTTTGACTTTTTATTAATTAAAATGATCATGATTGTGTTAGTAGCTAAAAGTAAGATAATATGTTTTGTGAGCTGATTCTTATATACGTGTGATTCAAAGACTTCAATTCCAACCATGTGTGTTGTTTAGCGCTATGTGGAACAAAATCCGCATTGGGAAACGGATTGGATGGCTGATCGAGAAAAAGCATTTTCCGAGGAGAAACAAAAACAGATACAGTTGGAATTGCAAAAGCAGAAAGATGACGATCCGCCAACAAAGTCGAAAAAATCAAAGAAAAACAAGAAAAAGTCAAAAAAAGCTAAAAAACGCAGAGTTAGAAGCAGCGCTAGTGACTCGTCTAGCGAGTCAGAAAATTCTGATACCGAATCCGATCAAGATACCACTAAAAGTATACGCGTGGCAATGCGAAACAAAATGAAAGCATCCACGCAGGCAATTCTGAACGAGGATATAGATTATCCGCGTATAAAACTAAAAGGACATAGTTGGTCGAAGGGATCGCAGCATGTGAGTCAATCGCCACAACCCGAGCATTCGATGGAAGCGGACGACAGGCAACTTCTGAATTCGATCAGAGACAAACTGAAGGCCAAACAAGAAGAGGAGAAGAGTCGCAAAATAAACCAGGAGAAGGTGATGGAAGAAGAGGAGGACTTGCGACAAGACACTTATTCGAAAAAATCAGAGGACTTGGAGGCTTGGGGCCCAAAAGAACCGCCGTCCAAGCCATTCTGGATAAAGAAGGACGAAGAGAAACAATCGCAACCGATTACAACAAACAAACCGATCGAGCTGCCAAAACCGGAAGAAATGCCGAAGCCGCACATGGGATTTTGGACGAAACAACAAGTAAATATGACAGTAAAGCCACCCGAAAGCAAATCAGTAGAAAAAGAAGACGACAGAGATCGTGACAGAGATCGCTACAAGGACGATCGCGATCGCAAGTACAGCAGATATGAAAGGAGGAGCCGACGAGACAGAGATCGGGATAGGGACAGGGATCGCGACAGAGATCGAGACCGTGATTACTACGATGATCGTCGTAAGAGAGACAGAGATAGAGATAGAGACAGTAACGACTCTCCAAGACGCGATAGGAGCTGGCGCGACAGCAGTCCTAAGAGAAGCTACGATAAATATAACAAAGACAGACGTGATAATGATAATAACTCGTCAAACGACGAGTCGAAGTTTGACAAGAAGTCGGGCGATTCGAAATCGAAGAAAGGTTCGGTTTCGACAAAGAAATCCGCGCCACAAGTAGCAGCCAAAGGCAAGTTACCGTTTATCGGTAGATTGCCTCTTTTTAAGAAAAAAGTTGAGGAGCCAAAGTTGCCGGAAAAAGATATTACTCCATTGCCCTATCAACAGAGCAAGTTCGAGGACACGCCGAAAGTACCCAATGAAATTATCAATCCACCGGGTGTGGTGCACATTACCAAATTGGCAACTCCTATAAACTTAAATAACAATAACAGTAATAACACGAATTCACCGACAAATAAATCTAGTACTAATCAATCTATGAAAATTTTGGTAGCGCCTCCACCACCTGTGCTAAATGAGAGCAAACCGACGCAACAGGTAGTTGATATGGAGATAGACGAGCAGTCCGAGGAAACTGTGATAGAAGAGCAACCGATAGTGGAGCAACAAAAACAACAACAACAACAACAACAACAACAAACTTCGAGCGTATCGAAATTACCGTTACCTCCACATCCACCACCACCACTTAACAGGCCACCACCTAGCTTCACTCCAAGCCAGCAACAACAATCACCGGTACAAAATAGACCACCCCCGGTGCAGAGTACACCGCCGACACCGCAGTTCACGCCAAACCGACCGCCTCCGCCGTTTATATCGACTCCGCCACCGTTTGTCCAGACAACGCAGAGATTCCCACCTCGTCCAGCCGTACCGCCTGCTGCTTTCATGGCGACACAGCCACCACCAATACCAACTACTGTAGGTTTCGTGCAGAATCATCAGAATCCGCCACCGCCGCCGCTCCCAACTGGAATAGCAGACACGAGCACAGTGGCGCCGTCACATTCCGATGTTTCTGATATACCGGAACCGTCGGAGAAGCGGCCAACTGATCCGAGCATTCCGCTACCGGACGACCTGCAGGAGGCTCTCAACATAATCTTCCCTAAAGAAGAAACAGCGGAGAGCAAGCAGCAACAACAGCAACAGCAGCAGCAACAGAGTCAGCAAGAATCTAGCCTCTTATATTCTTCGATGTACAGTATGTTGGGTTGCGTGGAATATGACCACGAATACATGGACCAGCCACCACCTGAAATTATGCAAGAAGCAGAGGCTGATACTCAACCTGGACCTGACGACCTCCGTATGCTGGGCATCGATGAAGGAGACACGACATTGTAAATCGTGCTCACGACCAAGAATTTATTGCATCAGTGATAAAACAAAAAAAAAAAAGTTGCTCTATAGATTTGTATTGATATTGATCAAGATTCTTTCTATAATGCACGCGCACGAAGTATTTCTTTATATCGCGATAGAAAGAATTAAGTATTGTTGATTGATCTGTGCTTATCACTTATTTTAACTTGTTTTAAAACTGAATACGTGTTAAAAAAAAAAAAGAAGAAAAACATCCACTAATAGGTAATCTTTAAATATTGTGAGTACACATAAATATTACATACAATCTTGTAAAGATTAATTAACATTTTACAGTGTCTAAAAGCTTTATTAATTGGCTCTGTATTTGTGTGAGTCAATCTTTAGTTTGCATCTGCTTCATCTGTGTGAATAGTAAAGCTTTAATAATACAAAACAAGTTTAATAAATTGTTTTTACCTTTGGTCTTGTCAAATCAGACCAGGAATTAAACACATGTCAGGCAAGAAAAATGTAAAAAAACGTGATTTTCGCAAATCAGTTCAAAAGTATGCTAAACTTATCGGTAGATAAACATTTTTAAAGGCGTTAATGCTGATCTTTGTACAGCAGAACTTATCAATTTGTGGACTATAAGTATTTTTTTGTTATTTTATATTCTATTTCTTTAATTTCAACAATAGATAAGATGCTAACAAGACAACGCGGTTGTCTGTTTTGTTTCGTGATAGTTTTGTGAGTTTTATTTTTGGAATTTATGGAGGCACCATTGGCGCAACTTACATCGATATTAACATAAGCAACTCCGTTAACATATGCAATTGACGTTTTAACTTTTATCTGTGTACACATAAATATCAACAAAAAAAAAAAAACGTCGTCGAAAATCTACAAGTCACTTGGATAATTGTATCAGATGTTATCAATGAGTTATATATATCAAAACAACCGAGAAAAGGTATAAATAGTATCAATAAAAACAACACACATCGTATACATCAACGTGTTCTATGATATTTTATACTGCACATATGCATGAGTCGTAAGTTTGCGTGATATATACTTAGTATGTATAATTTGAAATATAAGAGAAAATTATTTTTATCGACTGGAATTTATAGATGTAAACATTGGAATGTAAGTATATAAGACACATGCATAGATAGACATACATGTAGACATTCTCCTAAGAGTAAAATTTTTTTGTAAAGCAATCACTCTTTTGTTGCTCTTTTTTTTGTCTTTTCTTAATTTTTTACTTTTAGTCTTACAGTCAATGTCTTGTATATCAATGTTTTATTACAGATAATATCACACTGATTCGTTATTTTTTTTTTCTTTTTTTTTTTTTTTTTTTAAATCAACATGTATTCTATTTAAGAATTTCTATTGCATCTTAAAAACTTGTTTAAACTATTGCTATTGAAATGCAGATCCGCATGGCACAGTTCATAGTTTTTTTTTTTTGTTCAGTCATTTAAATATTTACTTGTGATCGAGTGTTTAAATGTTCAAAACATTTTTAACAAATGTTTTTAGATGCGCTCTGATTAATTATAATTTTATGTAAACACCTTATCTCTACCACAGCGCAATTAGTTTATATTTATACGACACTAGAACAAAATTGTTTTGGTTGAAATTGATCTATAAAGTACTGAGATAACAAATATTCGTAAGCATTAACGTTAGTACCAAAAATCTCTATCAGTAATCGTGATACAACAGTGTATTCGTACAATTGCACATTAATTCTGAAGAGTGACAACAATAAGACCGACTAGGTTGATCGTCTTCGCGCCGCTCTAGGCAATCGAGCCATGCCGATACGAGAGCATACCAGAGTGAACGAGATAAAACACTCCGCACTCACAAAAACTACGATGACATTAGATGAAGGAAACACGTAGACTGAACACAACGCTCTGAGCGACGGGATACGGTGAACTCAATGACAACAGCGCAAACAGGGGACCAGTAACAATTATTAGGCAATCACTACTATCTCTGTAATTCTACAGAGTCTAGTCTTAGACTAGAGATAAAGTGTAACACTCGGTAATACAAACAATGCTTCACATATTGTTTAGCGGTACGTCATTTCTGTAAATGTCATTAAAATCTGTTCTAAGTAAATGGAATGTAAAAATTCCAACGTGGAATATATAAAAACGTCGATCATTTTATATGAAACTCGTGCTGCAAACGTTAAAGGCCCATTATTTACGGAATTGTTTTGCTCTAAAGTGACAGAGAAAGAGAATTAGAATTCGACACGAACACAGCAATTTCGTAAGGTGCTATCTATCTCAATGAATCTCTCTGCTCAAATCTGAAGTACTAGGCCTGCACTGGAAATATTGTCTCCGCCACCCGCCGTTTGACTGGCTTGTGTGCAAACCAACACAGGCGCGACGCACACTTGAAGAGGAATACTCTCTTGCTCCACCTTTAACACCTCGTCCCAGCAAGACACCGGCTTGTCGATATTCAACGGTATTCGGGTCCCATCGACAATAGACGTCGAGAAACTTTCGTCCATGATCAACGTAGCTTTTTTCACATCAACCTGAAAGAAAAAAAAGCAATTCCAAAATATATTGTAATCATAAAATGATTTTGATACTGCTCATCACATACGCTTTGATGTGTGATAAAAAAATACAAAATATAAAAACACTCAATTATTTACGAAACATTAAAGACACTTGTACATCAGACGATTACTTGATAATAATGAATGATATTTACGTTACTTGACGCGCACACGTGTCTGTGCGCGGTCAAAGACGCTTTGGCCGCGGCAGCCATCGTATTTTTCCAAACGGAACCTTTGACGGTAAAAATTGCTTGATATGCCAATGTGTGAACGTGAATCCTCGTGAGCTCTCTAGAATCGGCGATCGACTTGCTCCTTAAGCGTATGAGTTTAAACAGTGTTCTCATCTGATCCAACACCGTTGCAACTCGAGGAGTCGAGTTAGCCACCAGTGAGATATTACCATAATACATGGTATTGTACAGATTCGCTATCTCCTGCTCGTTCATTCCCAGACTATCGGCAAAGGGAACCACCAGATCACACAGCTCAAAGAGCAACTTATCTTCAGCAAACGAGGCCATTTCGAAGTGAATTCTTGTGGTGCTCGACCGTTCCACCATCTGTCTCTTCACATTCATCAACAAACTCTTACGTTCGCCTGTCAAAATGTGTAATATTTACATGTGTAAATTTTTTTAGATTAATTTAAAATCTAACAAATTTTAAATAGCAGAAGTTACCTTGTTGAAACGGGTAATTGTCCATCATTTGAAGTCCACTAACTACCAATAAATCAGGATCATAAGTTCTTAGAACTTTGTCGAAAGCATTGAATGAACTAATTTTCGGATTGTTCACATCATTATGAACAATGTATCTAAAAAAAGGAACATGGTAAAATAGAACATGTTTCTAATGTTAATTTACTGTACGTCTGTCAGTCACCTGTTTGCTCTGGCACTTGAGTAAGGACCCCAAATTTCACCGTGTTTATATTCCATAATGAGATGAATATCGTCGCGTTTTACTTCTCCACCCACGATGTTTATTATCTGTGGAAACATCTGATGCAAGGATCTGGTCAGTTTAGCCGCAACAGTCACGTCACATCCTTCTTGTGCAAACCTCATTGCCATAACTGCTGCGTTTCCTCCGATTGATGAATAGGAAGAGGGAAACAAACGCGCCCTTGATACGAGCTCATCAAACAGGGTTCTATTCGCCATGTAGCGTCTGTAAAAACCAAGTTTTAGATGTAATTTCATTTTACATACACTTGGATGACTTGTGCATTTGACAATATATGCAATAAATTTCTGGTCAATTGTTTTCCGCTCGATATCAAAGACACAACTTACTCGGCAGCAGCTCCATGGCGAAAATAATAAGCGAAGCTCTTGAGCAATTCGAGCTCGGTGTTAATTTCGTCAAAATGTTGTGGCCGGCCGATCTCGTCCGAATATTTTAACAGATGTCTTGCATCGATGAAAACATCGGTGCACGCGCCATAACCTATTGCGACTTTTGGCTTTCTCGTGATTACGTGCTTGTTTTCGAGCTTCTCGAGACCGTGAAGCAAAGCCAGCAATCGCTTTTGCAAAACGTCATCGGTGTTGCGATAATAAATTGCTATCAGAACAATTAGGGCAGTGAAGAAGGTCCCGAATCCTAACCTCTTTTTGTATCCCATATTCGGAGCGGAAACGTCGCAGTTGAGCGCGCAACCCATACACAGATAAAAGAACCCTATACTGTGATCACAAAGTGTCACATATATATATGTATATCGTCGTATATATATATATATATCATCGCAATCGACGCGTGCAAATGGAAAAAACATTATCGCTAACGATTTTTTCAGGTTCTTGCCTCAATTCAAAGAGAGTATCAGTCTTATCAGATGTCAATAAATGTTATACGACAACATATGTTCAATTTTGTCCACGAGAGAAAAAGATGCTCGCCCGAAACATTCTTTTATGTTTATTTAAAAAAGTACCATGATCGCAACACGCGAAGCGAAAAAACATTGCTGGCGGTTTTCTCAAGCTCACGTTTAAAAATGTAACAGTTGTGTACTAATCTACACTTATGCCAAGTATATACTAATTGTACGCGTTCGTGATAGCTTATCATAATACACGTATGACGTATAGTGTATTTACGTGTAAAATGTAGGTATCGTATGTTCGTGTATATAGATATGCGATAATATATATGTGAAAGGTCAAATATTGTGTTTTTATATCATTGTTCAACATATATACTATAAGCCAATTTGCGCGTTTATCAAATATTCGCAACTTAAAATCTAATAAAAAAGAAACAAACACTTTTTTAAACAACACGTGACTAAGGTAATGTGACTGTAATGTATATTATACATAACATAAAATAATATATATGATATAAATAATATGTTAAATAATATATATTATACATATAATTTATTATATATTTATAATGTTATACTTTATATTATATATTATGTATATTATATACATACTACCGTAAGGTCACTGACCTCGGTCGCGTGACCGCGGCGGGGTCAATGACCTCGGTCGCGTGACCGCGGCGGGTCAATGACCTCGGTCGCGTGACCGCGGCGGGTCAATGACCTCGGTCGCGTGACCGCGGCGGGTCAATGACCTCGGTCGCGTGACTGCGATGGAGTCACTGACCTCGGCCGCGCGACCGCGGCGGTGTTACTGACTTCGGTCACGTGATTACGGTATATATATATATATATATATATACATATATGCGTATGTGTGTGTATTATATATAGATATAGAATATTATATATAATATATATAATATTCTCATTTTTACCCTTTTCCTTGTCACGTGTTGTTTTTCCAGTTCTCTCTCTCACTATTTTTTGAGTTTGATTTTCACGCGTTATTTCTGACATTTCTCATATGTGTATTATATGGTTTATAAGACGTATATATTATCTGTCATCGCGGTGACAGATTGTTTTCACTGACAACACGTTAAATAAAAATAACAATAGCGTGCGCGTAGCGCGCGCCTGTGTTGTGCTAGTATATGAAAAAACTTATTTGAATATACTTTGTGCTGAATAATTTTTATTGAATATTTCTCCGTTTTTTAAGTACAATATATAGCGTATAAAAAACAATTTATTTATTTATATAGTAAAAAGTTACTTCTTCTAAGTGTATATTTTTACATGTGTGTTTTTCCACACACAGATATTTTGTCTTTGAGGCTTATCTCTATAAAAATTGTATACTCTATTCAGATCTCTTTTTTTCTCTCTTTCTCTCTCTCTCGGATACCAAAATTCGCGTTTTGTCTTCACTCTTTGTTCTTCGTATGAAGACGCATGTGCTTCTTCAGATTGTCGAGTCGATTGCATCGACGATCGCAGAAGTCACATTTGTAGGGCATCAGATTGCTGTGCACAATCACGTGGCCGTTTAAATGGCTGATCTGTTTGAAACGTTTGCCACAGATAGTGCACACATACGGACGCTCGTTCATGTGTGCGGACGAGATGTGCGTCTGCAAGTTCGTCTTCCTCACGAAGGTGGCTTTGCACACATCACACTCGAACGGCCGTACGTTTGCGTGAATCGCAAGATGCGACTTGAGCACGTTTTTGTGCTTGAAATTCTTCTCGCACAAGTGACATTGAAACGGTCGCTCGTCGTTGTGGACCTTTTTGTGCACCGACAGATGGGCGAGCTGCTTAAACATCTTTGCGCAGATCTCGCACTGATAAGTGCGACCGTCCTTGTGCGCGACGCTCACGTGACGTCGCAGAGTATCGGCCAGGGTGTAACGTTTGCCGCATATCTTGCAACCGTGCGGACGCTCATTGGTGTGCGTAAGCAGATGGCCGTTGAGATTGCGCTTCTCCAGAAACCGCGCGCCGCACACGTCGCACTGATACGGCTTCTCGCCATTGTGCACGTACATGTGCTTCTTCAGCGAGTTGGACAGGCTGAAGCGTTTCGAGCAAACGGTGCACTGGAAGCGACGCTCGCCGGTGTGTATCAGCATGTGCGATTTCACGTGGCCGGCCTGTTTGAAGCGTTTGCCGCATACTTTACAATCGTACTGGCGTTCCTGCGTGTGCGTGAGTATGTGCCGCTCCAAGACGCTCTTAGTCGCGAACACCTTCTTGCAGGTGTCGCACTCGAACACGCGATATTCGCGAATTCTGGGCGTTGTCATTGCGCCATCGCCCTCGTGCGAGTTAGCGTGTTTCTTCAGAGAGTCCAGCGAATCGAACTTCACACCGCAAACCGCGCACTGGAACGAGCGATAATCGTGATGCGTCAGAGAGTGTTGACTCAGATGTCCCAGCTGCTTGAAGCTCTTGTTGCACACCTTGCATACGTACGGTCGCTCATTCGTGTGCGACCGCAAGTGCCTTACCAGCACGCTCGGAAAGCTGAACTTCTGCTTGCAGTATGTACACTCCAGAGGCGATTGCGCTTTTGACACGCGAACGCCGCTTTCCGTGGACAACTTTCGTCTTGCGGTTTGACTCGAGTTCTCGACGATCTTATCACAGGAATCTTTCGCGACCAACGACGTGTCACGATCTTCATTCGCTATCTTGGATATTTCGTGTGTTTTAACTTGACAGTTTTCTTTCTTAAGCACAGCCGTTAACGCGTCGCCGTTGCTTTTGATATTTTCATTCACTTCTTCCTTGTTAGCTAATTTGTTCTGTTCGTGTGACGCAACGTGCTTCTCGTACAATCTCGCAACTCTAAAACTTTTGCCGCACAGCTTACATTGCAGTTGTTCTGCTCTGTGAGTTCTCATGTGATTCTTGTAATGTCCGAGTCTCGCGTACTGTTTCTGACAATATTTGCACTTGAGAGATCGAGCGTTTTCGTTATCTTTCGATTCGATTCTCGCGTCTGTTTCATTCGTATCTTGTGAATCCGTTCCGCGTTTACTGCCCACGAGAGCTTCGCTTTTTACATCGACGAAACTAAAACCGTTCACGTCGTCGTTGTCTTTCGAATACGCATTCTGACTTTGTGTTTCTTGCACGTTTTCATTTTCCTCACGAATCACCGATAAGGAATCGGTGATCGACGAACTCTCGATCCAGTTTTCTTCCGTCCACACATTCTCCGTATCCTTTTCCGCCCAGGTATTTTGAAACTTCTCGCGTACATTTCGTCCGAACAACATGTCACACGGAACTTTGCCATTCTGACAGTGATACGTCGTATTGTGAAGCATCTGTACGAAATTCAAACCCTCCCACCAGATTCTGGTCGAATTCTCCCTCATCCAGGATTCGAGCAAGCTCTTAAAATCCCTGCAGCTAACTTCGGATTTAGGCAAGTCTCCGTGCAATATGAAGAAATTCTTGCACAGTGAACGCAGTTCGCGCACAACTTGTTCGGCAAACTTACGTCCGTTGCCACTTCTTAACACTCTTGGTGCCCCTATGATCGCCAACACATCTAACAATTTTGCCGCAACTTCTTTGGCAGTGTTGCCGCAAAGAGCTCTTAGCACTGTGAATTTAGAGGATTGATCTTCGTAAGTGAAAAAATACCGATATTCAGATGTAGATTCTGTCGAGACCTCTATTACGTCAATGCGAGCTTTGTTGTATGATTTCTTAGAAGTCTCGGTTAATTGTTCCGGCATCCTTTTGGGAGATTCTGTTTGACATTGCTGAAATCAAACATACATCGTTATAGAAATTTTCTATAAATAAATTAAATACATTTGTAAAGAAAAATATTTAAAAAATTTACAGTTGCTGATGTTTCCTGACAATTTTGTCGTTTCATCTCATCTTCGTCCGTAGATTCAGGGACTTGCATGGTAACAAGCATGTTTTTCAAAGTTTGTGTGTTTAACGCTTTTTCCAAGAATTCAGATTCTTGTTTTATAAACACAACATTGCGTCCGTTTTGATCTCCCGGCAGAAAATGATCCAGAGAATTGTGCGTATACGCATCTTTTGGAATCCATTCTATACTTAATGGCATATCTTTGTTCATTTTTGTTTGTGTTGTTTGTCACAAAATAGAGACAAGATATTGTTTAGCTATGTGCGCCGCCACATTCTCATTTTCTACAATGCATTTTACAAGTTATTAAATCGAATTATTACGTCGGTATATTGCATGCAATGCGAAATTAAATACTTTTGTACAAAGTCCGTCACCCAAGATCATCAAAGCCGACACAACACGGTTGTCATCAGATCGAGAGCAAATTATTCATCAACTATGTTGTCACACAGAACTTACATCAATTTCTACTTGCTGCACTTGTTTAAAATATATAGAGCAGTTTCTTGTACGAACTGTTCCACACTTTGCGCATATGTATATACGTATTTCTCCATATTTTAATAAATAAAAACAGCATGACAAGTCTGAGTTTGTCAACTTCCCACTGTTGGTTTTACAAGTGTTTTTGTCATAACACATCTCTATCAGAGCATCATCAATACGTCATTCTTCATTCCGAATAATTTCGATCCAATAAAAAATCAAAAGTAGACGAATTTTAATAAACTTATAAAAATATTCGATTGAACGTGAAAAAATCTACATGTAATTATGCGAGATATATCCGCGTCGTGATAGCAGAGTTGTGTGCAATGTGCAGTAATGTTGTCTGTTAGCGCAGAAAATAGATCTCTACACCGCGGTGCAGTATAACTGTAAACTGCTTTAACTGCTGTAAATAAAAAGCAAGCAAAAACAAGAGGGCGGGAGAGTAGCTCGGTTCGTCCTGAGACCATTTTTGTTATATAGTACATAAGCAGATGTAACATTTCGTTTCATCTTCTTGTGAAAACCAGAGAGAAGAATAAGAGGCCCGTAAGAGTTTTTGCTCGATCGCTTTCCCGTTCCGTAAGCTAGCGCATGTTCACGGGTGGTGCACATTGGCAATTACGTAGCGATGTCCACGAGCGAATTGTCGATACGTACGCTTATGTCCAAACGTGGACATAGCGTACTACGCTTGCATCTTGGTCGCCAAAGCCGACAACGCAATGGGGACACCGCAAACACATGGAGTCATTTTCTCGATTCTGAAATAATTTTTTAATTATGCTGTGCTGCGCACCGCAAACACTTTCGATCGCCGAAATTGCAGTCAAACAGTATCGCACGATATGGACGTAGCACGGAATAGAACCATGTCCACGTTTGGACATAGCGGTACGTATCGACAAGTCGCTCGTGGACATCGCTTACGTAGGTGCACCACCCGTGGACAAGCGCTAGCTTACGGGATGGAAAAGCGATCGTAAAAACTTTTATGGTCGCCTGACCATACTCTCACTCTTCTCTCTGATGAAAACACATTTCCCTGGAAAACACGTGTTTCTATTGGACATTGCAATGTTTACTCGTCACGTCAAACAATATCGAATTCAATGTGAATTTTCCTTTAGACATTTTTGTCTAAACACTGCAATTGCGGATCTATCTATGTATTGTTTATGTTTTATGGTTGTTGATGACGAAAACTCCAAAAACATCAAAAACCCGAATCCAAGACTTTGTAATTTCGTGATATCGGATTGTCGGAGGCTTGTTTCGACGATATTTAATAGAATTCGAAGTTAATGGAGTACCATTGAGTCGTTACAACATTGTTGATAATTTGTATTTTCTTTTATAGAAAATCGGAGCACGAACAGATGTGGCGTTCAATAATATTTATCGATCAATTATTCATCGTATAGTTTTCTCTGATCATCTTGTTTTTATATTGATAAAAATGGCACAAACGCTGGAGGACGCGCTGCTTGCTGCTCGTATGGCTGTGCAATTCGACGGCAAGGGTCAATTTAAACCAGCCTTGTATTATTACGATCTTGCTGTAAAACTGCTTGCTAGGTTACAATTAGACGGCACGTATGAAGAAAAACTTTCGGAGTATCGTGACAGAATAACGACGATACAACAACTCAGTGAGCTCACGAATGATGAATCTTTTTTAAATTTAAAAACAATGCAAACGATATAACAATAGAAAATGTAACTTGTAGTTCAAGATGAGGAGAAGAATAGTCATAAACCAGAATCGTTGGATCAGTCTCAGTTACAGAGATGTAAATTTCTTTTGAATCATGCGTTGAGTGCGGACGAAGAAGGTTTAAAGGATGTTGCAATAAAATTATACACTGATGCGGCTGAACTTGGGCTTAATGCAGTAAATACAATTTCTCTTTGTTATTATATGTATGTATGTATATATTTGTTAAACTGTCTTAACATACTTAAATTGTATGATGTGTAATTACAGAAAACTCTTGATACAAAAGTAAAAGAAAAATTAATGACTCTTGTTAAAGTTGCTGTTGAACGAGCGGAGGAATTAAAAGGAGTTAAAACTACAGGAGTTAAAACTACAGATGACAGTGTCATAAAAAGTCTTTCGAAATTACCATCTGTACCAGAAGGTAATCTTCCAGATATTGATCATTCAGATACTTATCAGTCAAAGTCAGTAGAATCTGAGCAATTAGGAAATACCACACCGTCGTCTACTTCAGGTAATAAACAAGTAAAATGTGTAATAAAAATAAAATTGTACAGAATTACAAATGTATTTAACACCTAAAAATTATATTTGCAGCTAGAAATACTAGATCCTCGCTTCATAGAGGAAGCAGTGGACATCTCAAAGTAACCGGTAGCACTAATTATACTGAAGAGGAAAAAAGAGTATTACTGCATAGCTCTCGTATAAATGATCACGAATTTGTACCATTTATGAGTATTGATCTTGCTGAAAAGTTTCAATACGCTATTCCGTTTACCGATAAAGATGGCGTTTTGGAATTAGCTCCAAAACAAAAGCGTGATTTTACCGGATGGTATCGACCAGAAGACTTGTATTCTGATCCTAAAATGGTTGTTGGTCATCATGTCGATTACTTCAGCATAAAACAGACCGTTAGTATTAACATATATTAACATATTTTTTTTATAGTATTTTTGTACTCTTTAAGAATATTGGAAAAATGTTTTTTGAATTGCAATATTTTTTAAATATTTGATTGCCTTTTAGGTGGTTTCTGACTGTTCATTTGTTGCCTCACTTGCAGTAAGTGCGCAATATGAGAAAAAATTCGGGCGAAGACTTATAACGTCGATTATTTATCCCAAAAACAAAAACAAGGAGCCTATATATAATCCATTTGGTAAATACTCTTCTTATTTATATATTAATTCATATATACTACGATTATAAGTATTAACTATACTTACACTACATGGATATTCTTTACACTAACAAAATAAAAATGCTTGCATCACATCCGAGAAATAGAAACATATTATACAGACACTTAATCTAGTTTGTAGTTTTTTATTCTGTAATCTTGCTTTTCACGCAGTACTTATAATATTTAAGGAGAACTATTATTCTTCGTATAAAGTATTTATTCTGCAAGTAAAACATATGTATGCTTCCATGTTTGTTGTTGTTGTTATTATTATTGTATATTAGAAGTGACGAAAAACATATAATATTAGGAAAATACATGGTGAAACTACGTATCAATGGCGTACCACGTAAAGTAATAATAGATGACTTTTTGCCTGTAAGCCGACATAACAACCAATTGTTATGTTCGTATAGTAACAATCGTGGGGAACTATGGATTTCTTTACTCGAGAAGGCTTATATGAAAGTGATGGGTGGTTATGATTTTCCTGGATCGAACAGTGTAAGTTCATATAATCCGAATTACTGTGAAAAACATTTCACTACTTGTTTTATTAATCTTCTCTTGATATATTACATCGGCTTTTGGTTTTTTTACAGAATATAGACTTACATGCCTTAACTGGCTGGATACCCGAGAGATGTGCGATAAGAACAGATGATGCAGATTTTAATAAAGATAGTTTATTTGATACGCTGATATCGCGACTTCATAGAGGAGACGTACTAGTGACCGTAGCGACAGGAGAAATGTCAGAAGTTGATGCAGAGCGCACAGGTCTTGTGCCGAGTCATGCATACGCCGTTCTTGATGTGAAAAAGATTAATGTGAGCATTTTATATATTTCTTACAATACATGACGCAATTAAAATTTTTTAATGCGTAATACGCACTCGCAAGAGATTTAGAAAGATTTAGAAGTGTTGTTAATGCACGTGCAGGGAGAAAGATTACTACAGTTAAAAAATCCGTGGTCTCACTTGCGGTGGAAGGGCAATTACTCCGAACTCGATACACGACATTGGACTGCGGATTTGAAAGAGGCATTGAATTACGATCCGGAATCCGCTTCGCAATTTGATAATGGCATTTTTTGGATCGATTACAACAGCATATGTCAGTTTTTCGATGTATTTTATCTAAATTGGAATCCAGGACTATTCACTTACACTTACTGTATACATCAGTACGTGATCCGTTTTATTCCATTATTTTTCCCCGTGTATCTCATAGTAATTTCAATTTATATTGCAGGATGTGGAAAGCTGGTATCGGACCTGTTAAAGACGCGTATAACATAGGTGATAATCCACAGTTCTCATTGGAAGTACAGAGCAAAGGGACAGGTGCTATTTGGATACTTCTTACAAGGCATATTACAGATATAGCTGATTTTCGACAAAACCAGGAATACATCACAGTTTTAGTTTACCGCAATAATGGAAAAAGAGTGTATTATCCACGTAAGCATCCGCGCGATCTGTTACATTCTGTCTCACATTTTTTTTGTTAACTACACAAATAATATATGATGGAAACGAAATTGTGTTTAGATGATCCACCACCTTATATCGATGGTGTTAGAATAAACAGTCCACACTACTTGTGCAAGATCAGACTCAGTGAACAAAGTGATCCAAAATACAATCTGGTCATATCCCAGTATGAAAAAACAAATACCATTTACTACACGCTTCGCGTGTATGGCACGTGTCCGTTTACGTTGCGAAAAATACCTCAGCTTTACCGATATGAAGAAGAAGTACATTTTTTGCTAATATATTTCTATACATTCTTTTTAAATAATTTTTCTAAATTAAGATTTATATTTTCTAGTATAATTTTATTTATATATGTGTGTGTTTACAGGTCACAGGGCAATGGAAAGGCATCACAGCAGGAGGATGTGGCAATCATTCCACGTACATGAGTAACCCACGATACCAAGTAGTACTTGAAAGTGCTAATAATAATAATTATTTGTTAATTATCCTGAAAGGACCTAGAGCTTATCAAATTGGATTTGACATCAGTACCGTTATATTGAATGATGCAAACGCGGCAACTGCGTTTAAAACAAAAAGTTCTGGACCGTTCAGGTTTGTACTTTCTTTTATATCGTTTTGTTAAATTGTTTTAACTATCTTGTTTTTACTATCTTCTTTTTTTTTTTTTTTATTTACAGATCTGGATTTGTATATTTGGAACTAGAAGATGTACCAGCAGGAACTTATCAGATTGTTCCTTCAACATACTTGCCTGGTCAAGAGGGGCCGTTCTTTTTAATCTGTAAATCTTCGTGTAATTTTAAGCTTCAACTTCTTTAAGAAATGAAATAAATCGTTGATTATTAAACGCGGATATTTCAAGTTTCTCGCGTGTATATACAAGATGTTTATTTAAATATTGCAAAACTTATTTTTTCAGAAAATATTAGATATTAAAAAAAATAATAATAAAATAATACACGTTATTAAAATATTATACTCTCTTCAAGTCCAACAGAAAACCGGTTGGCGGAGAAGTGAACACGTTCCGCGCATCCACGGCGGATAACCAAGAAGGATTCAAAGATACCTCGTAATCACGCAGAATTGCTATTAGTCCCATGGCAGTTTGCAAATATCCTAATCGCATACCTGTGACAAAAGTATGACAAGATAAGACTTACTTGGAAAACAAAAGATAGGATGTGACGTAGGCGAGAATTTGAAAGTTTGATTCACCGACCAATACAGTTTCGCGGACCCTCGCCGAAGGGCACGAAAGTGCAGGGTGTAATCTCGTTTTTCTTTTCATCGCTAAATCGTTCAGGATCAAAACGCGCGGGATCCGCATAATATCTGGGATCAGTGTGAAGACCGCGCACCGAGACGTATACCGGTGTCCCTTTCTCGATTGTTATCTTCGTGCCAGGAAACTGTAATTATATTTTGTCATTATTACGCGTTTATCGTTAAACTGATTCAATTCTTTTTTCTTACATAAAGTTTGTCTCGGTAAAAATTCATCATTGAAAAAACATACGGTGTTCTTTTTGCTTTTGCAATTTGTTTAATATAATGAAGAAATATATATTTATGATGACTTTACCGTGTATTCCGTAACAGTAAGTCTGTCAAGAATTGGTGCAGGTGGATACAGTCGTAATGTTTCGTTTATCACTTGATGCAAATACTTCATATTGCGAACAGCGTCGTACGTGAGACCGTTTGCCGCTTTAATCTTCTCGAGGATCTCTTGCCTCACACGTTTCTGTATTTCTGGATGTTTGGCCAATTCGCAGAGAACGTAAGTCATGGTACTGATGCTGGTGTCGCGACCGGCCACGAAGAAAATTGCTGCTTGAGCGAAAAGAGCATCTCCTTCGAATTCTGAGAAAATTAATTATTGCGAAGGTAGATAGATCTGTTTTACTGTTTTTGTTTTTCGCTTTTCTAGTGAATAAAGATGTTTTAATTTTTTTTTCTTTTTTTTTTTTTAATGAAGTGTTTTAATTTAGAAATGGTAGTGTAACGTACACATATACACACATATAGTGAGACTCACGAAATGGAACGTTGTCTGGTTCAGCCTTTAATTGCAAAAGAGAATCTATCAGATCTCCCCGTTTAGTTTTCGTGAGACTTCTACTGTCCATAGAATCCCAAAAAACTTTGCGGAAATAATCCGTGCTGTCTCCAAGCATCTTCCCACCCATATATTTTCCAATATTCGGCAAGAAATACAAAAAGAAGAATCGTAATGACCCCAGGAGAGTTATTCGAAAAGCGTCTCGTGCTGTGTAAGTAAATGTGTATAAAAAATGTATATATATATACTAAAGAAAAATTTATATATGTATTTTGTAACAAATTTAACATTTATATATATTATAGACAGACATATATTTTACACTTCTTATAAAATTCTGGCGTCGGTGTGTCAAAACAGTTTGTTCGAATCCCAAACGCAACGGAGGATATGACGTTAGTAGTGTATCTATAAAACGTATCTTGGACATTGAATGACACCTCGGAAACATTTGTGAACCGATCGTGCAGATGATCCCTCATCGCTTCCCCGGATTCTTGCATCAACAAAAAAAGATTCTTCAGTTTGCTACTCGTGAATACCGACGTCATTTTCATCCTAAAGTAGAAGCAAGAATATGTCTCTCTTGCAAATGGATTAAAAAGCCAATTTCTTGTTGATTTCACGTCAAAGAGAAATGACTTGTTGATTATTATTAGACGGCGGTTCGTTGCGCGCATATTTATTCTTACCGCAGATATTTCCATTCAGGATTGTCTACGAAACCGAGGCACCATTTGCTGACACTGTCGGCATTGGTCTTTGCGGTGAAGTGATGATTCGAGAACGCGTGAAAGTCCTTAATCATTATTTGTTTTATCAGTTCCGGATTTCTTATTAGCAGAAACGGTTTGTGCAACACGTAGATTCCCAAAACCTCGTCATCATCATTGGCTTGTTGATGCAGCTCGGCGAGAATCACTCCTGCCGGCTTGCGCATCAGAATCGCGTCTTTCAAGTGGCCGAAGAACCAGTGTGTAGGTAACGAACGTATTCCGCGTCTTTGCCAATACCAATGCTTCCACTTCATCCAAAAGTAAAACGTCGTCAAAAGCGACGAGAATATCAAGACTACGTCGAAGAACGCACACTTGGTCATTATTGCCATTTTGCACAATCCGCTCGAATTTTGTGTATTTTATGAAATTCTGTTGTACAATTTTGTACAAGATAAACGAGTTGCATTTATTTCTGAAAGAAGATAGCTTATCTTTGAGTAGAGATTGTTTGCTTTAAAATCGCGATCGATATCTTCAACTTTTACACACTTAAAACTTGAAAGCGCAAACTTAAATATGTACATATAGTGTACATAAGTTAAATAACAATTATAGTTTAATCTATATTTAATACATTATGTTTGGAAAAAAATTAATCAATAAAATTCTTTTATTATCTACCGTAGTAACTGCCTACGTGTCTGGTCTTGGTCGCAACTTCATCATTGAATTTACACTCTTCGCGTACCGACGTTCGGACCTTGAATGTCGTTTGATCTATGAGTCTTGCTCTTTCTTTTTATCTAATGTCGTCGTAGTTTTCGGCATAGATTAAAGAGACGTCTCGCTCATTCCTGGCGCTCTTTCTCTTTTTGTAGTTCTCTCACGCAACTCAACTGCCGTGCAGAGTCAGCCGTTCTCACGGCAATAAACGTAATAAGCGAAAAAAAAGAAAGCTTTTTGAATAGACAGAAAATAATTAAAAACAATTATGCTGATACTTTATATGTTTGCGCATGTATAGAAAAGTGTAGAGTAATTTTTAATTTATAATAATTCCTCAAATACAGTGCGCGCGCAATACACACTTTTTATGTATATATGCAAATAATAAATTTATTACGCAAATGTATATGTATATAAATTTTTTTCTATTATTTGTGTGAATTGTTAAAATGTCTCTTTACAACACACATGCATTGTTTGCATTTTTTATTTTATATAAAAAAGTAGTTTCTGTTATATATATATATGTATATATATATATATATTTGTATTATATATACATATATATATAATTTTTTTTTATATATAGATGTATCGACAAAGACAAATGGCTTCACATGTAATCGATAGTACTATGTACATAAAACATTATTTATCCTTTTCGCTCCGGGACTGGTCCATATATGGACCAGCAAGAAAAGCGAACGTAATAGATGTTTATAAGGTCAATTTAATGCACTAAATTTAGGAAAAAAATTGAAAAAAATCCTGGTTACTTCTTTGACCTTCAAAATTAACTTNAGATGTTTATAAGGTCAATTTAATGCACTAAATTTAGGAAAAAAATTGAAAAAAATCCTGGTTACTTCTTTGACCTTCAAAATTAACTTTGAAGGGGGGGGTAGCAGGTTATTATTAACTTTTTCAGCTAAAATGCGAGGTCAATTTTAAAGGAAAAATCCTCGGAGCGAAAAGGTTATACAATATGTGATAAAAATATAAATCGCGTCAAGACATTGCAGAAAAGAATCATAGAACTAATGGGAAAAGGTAATTTACTTACGAAATATACTCTTGGTTTCTAATATATAGATACGTATTTTAATTATATATTAGTGGCAAAATTTGTAAATTGTCCTTTCTCATAGTTTATAAGATTTCTTTGATTTTTGTTCAATTAGTTATTGTACATATAGACTATATTGACATAGATTTTGCGTTTTTTTCCTTTCTTTCATGCGCTAACAAAGAATATACATTTTAAGTGTGATAGACATTTTAAAAGCAATATGTAATAAAGAAAATATATTCATTCAAGTGTGTACATTCATAGGCGCAATTTATAATCGGTCAAAGATCAACTTTCTTTCTTTTGGACACGCATGAAAGATTACAGGCTACTACTTTTCTTATATAATGTTTATTACACAGTACCACACACACTTTGTAGTATTACAAAAATAGATTATAAAAAATGCTAGTATTATTAATACAATGAGATTGAAGTCTTATACTATTGAAAGTTCAACGAATATGTCAAGCAGAAAAAAAGCCTGTTTGTGAAAAAATTACAGATAAAGCTTTGTATGTAGAGATATGTTAGTGCATTATCTGGTTTATTGTGTAAAAAATAAATAATGCGCGGAAATTTATAAATATCTATTGTGAGTGAGATACACAGTTGTTGTATATATTCTTTGTTTGTATCGCGTGTGATACTTCTTTTTGTTTGTTATATCTAAATAAGAGATTTTTTTCCTAGTATACAGAATATTTCAGAATATTTCAGACTGATGCAGTGCATCACGTCTCAAGTGAGCAAACTTTAGATTATCTAATTTTTTTTAGTAATTTATTTTTTTAACATTTATAAATCAAAATCTATTAGAGCTTTAATATGTTTTGGTATAGAATTTTTGTTCCCAAATAATTTTGGGATGTAATACAAGATCTGAAACATTCTCTATACTTGTCATTATTTTCATACTTGTACTTCAAATTTGTGATATTATAAAATATACATATTAATTTATGCATTTTAATATTTTTTTTCTTTGATTTTACACGAATTTTTTAACAATATATTACTTCTAGAAATTAAAATTTCAACAATATTCATTTATGAAATTCTCACACAAGAAAATTTGATTATTATCGCTAAAAAATTAATGTAAAAATATTTTGTTAATAAATATAACATATTGGTAGTTTTTGTTATGACAATAATAACACTTTCTATTTAATATATATCGAATAATAAAATCATTACTTCTTAAATAAATTCGAATAGTCGCGTTATTCAATGCTGTTAAAATTTGCATATTATGTTAAATTTTTTGTTAAATACCTAAATGTCTGTTTTTAATTTATGTATAAATTTAATGATATATATATCATACATAATAGAAGTTTTTGCCTTTCTAACATTTCTCTTCGAGAGAAATATATCATATGCATAAGAGAAATGTATATTTTAAAATTATTAGAAAAAGTTACCACACACATATGTTCGAGACAAACGTGATCACATTTTTGTTTTGCACGAAATGATATCTTGTGTAAAGAGAAATTGAACCAATTACTAGAATATATCACTAAATCGAACTTTTTTTTTTTTGTAAAAACTACAATACGAGTAGAGACACAGAAATATTAAAATACAGATGAGCACTGGACGTCAGTTATATGTAAATGTGATATATACTTTACACACTAAAAATGTTTTTTCTATAGAGAATATTCTATATATTAAATATATATTTTTTATAATATATATACGTTATTGTCAAAGTATAAAACTATGATCTAAAGTGGCATGATGTAAGATGTGAAAGAAGAAATGATATAATTACAATGCTGCCTTTTTGTTTTTTATTTTCACCTACTAAACTCTGGAAGTGGCTTGGCTATTCCTTCACTGTAAGCCTTATGAACTGCTTCACACACAAATCTATATTGACTCTGAAAAAAAAAATTACGCATTTGGATAAAGAATAATATTGCACACTTAATATTCGAAAAAAAAACATCAAATATTTGACGATAAAACGAATAAGATCGTTGACTTACAGCATTCTGTATCATCATTGCTCTCTGATCTCTCATAGAGCGTACAATATCTAATGGGTATACTGGTTGATTAGCTTCAATTAAACACAGGGCGGTTTCCATTAAAACTAATACACCGGTTCGTCCTATTCCAGCGGAACAATGCACAACCGCGGGCTCGACTATTCCGGTACGAGCTGCCCTGACACGTTCTGTAAACGTGGTAAATTGCCGCCAATCGCTAGGCACTCCGTGATCGGGCCAGCTGCAATACTGCATATGCGTTATATCTCTCTCTTCCCCTGTCTGTAAAAATATACGTAAAAACGCGCATCTTAATATACATATTTACATTGTTTACATGCATACATAAGCTGCAGAAATACGAGACATTACTGACATTAACATCGCGAAGTATGAATTCTCTAAAAATAAATGTATCCTCGACGTTTTCCGCAGTGGACGTAAGTGTGAGATTTCTTAAAGTCAAAGTCTCATTGTACGCCGGCCAATATTGATGGCATTTCGCACGACCACGTTCAACCAAAGTCGTCAGCATAACGACGAGCGTACTGCCGGCTTCTAAAACCATTTGCCAAAAGTCGGCAACGGTGGAAGACAACGGACCTTGCGTGGCAATATATCTGTTAATAATGCCAGAACCTGGTATTTCCATATTCACATAATTGGCATTAATATAATCCCCGTTCGTAGATCCCATCAAGATCACTCGGGTGACATCGTCTGTAGAAGCACACGTTATTTCACATAAACTATCTTACAGATATATCTCTGCTTACATCTTTCATCAACTTCAAAAATGTTATATTTTGACTCTTTATTACAAATTATTCTAACTTACACGGCGATATATCTCGGTAGCGATTTTTTGATTGATTTTCTGGCTTCTTTGATTCAAGTGACGTGAGTTCCGGATTCTTTCTGTACAACTGCTCATACTGCGCGATAAGAGCACCGCTTGCTAGACCGTCCGCGAGCAATAACATAGATTGTGCCAGTGCGTCGGATCCAATGGCCGCGTGAGGTGCATCAGGCACATACCTTGCGGTTAATACATTATTAGAATCAGAGCGTTTATATTTTTGTGTAACATATGTAAAAAAAATATCTGTAATTTAGAGTTACGTACCTATAAGGCGGTTCTTCTTCGGATGTCTCATCGGTACCAGCTAATGCATTGTATAGAGCGTTAGGCCTGACGGTTAACGTAAGTTCACCGGTTCCGCGATCGCGCGATTGCCGTATTAGATTTACCACGCGTTCATGCAACAAACCACTCACGTCGATTCCATTGATGTAAACAACCTGCGCGAAAAGATACACGTTTTATATTATATGTGTCGAAAAATGAGTTATACTTTAATCAGTATCAAGCATTCTATTGATATCTACAAGTAAAATTTAAGATTCGTATTTAAATAAATACTTGATCTCCTTCGTTCAATTTCGGGTAACATCGATCAGCGGGTGTGTTCGGAGCGACTCGTGACACCAAGATCGGCATATCCAAATCTAATCCACCTTTTACATTGAAACCAAAACGACCTTGTTCGTCCGGTGTTAACGATATGGTAACTAAACCGTCTTCTAATATCTGAAATAATAAAACAATATGTATTCGTAAAATATTCTTGCTCTCACATTTAATTACATCTTTATTTTCAATAATTAGACGTACTTGTGGCGCTGGTGAGCTTGTAGGCTCGCTATAGTCTGGCAGATCGTAAATATTTCTTTCATTAGTTGTATCATCGTCCGCGTAAGTAAACACTCGAGATCCCAATGCCGGGGAAAAAGCTCCACCTTGAGTATAGCTTCCTGTTATTTCTTCCCTCAAAGAAGATAAAAAACCACCTTCACTATAAGAGGAGATAAATAAAACTAAAAAAATGCCAACTAAAAATATGCTTAAACGACATTTTTCTTGTTGCGCGGTAATACAAATTTATTTTACGCGCAAAAATATATCACGTCAATTGTAACTTACTCGTCACTTGGATGTCCTTCTCCCCATGCTTGACGAGGTTCCCGAGCGCCGAGAGACTGAACCTTGTCATAGGATCGTGCGGATCTTCCGGGAGGTATTAATTTTCCTTTGTCTTCACTTACAGGTGCCGTAATAGTGTGAGTGAGTTTTTTGCTAGGAGACCTAAATATAAATCATGAAAAAAGTTTCAATAAAATGTTAAACTATTATATTAATCCCTGTGTTATATTAACCGTAATTATATTGATCGTACCGTATAAATGTTCTTTCCACACGCGCTCTATGTTTCCCATCTTCAACCGTTTGAAATTCCGTACGTCCTGAATACGTGAACCTACTACTTAAAGTAAGAGGAAATCGTTTCGGCCGCATTTTCGGGCTGTGAAGTCTAAAGAAGGTATGATGTTCAACACAAGCTTTCCATAAATTTTTAGAACTACGATAAGTTTGCATATTGAAGCCCAGCAATGTATCGTAATTTTCAGACTGCAACATAAGTTTGTTATCATTTTTATCTTTTAAATCTAATAAAGAGGGGAACACCGTAAATTAGTTAATAATCCAACTTACTTGTTCTCGCCGAAGCTGTATAAAAAATTGTTTCCTTTTAAAAGATATTTTAACTATTTTTGACCATGAGAATACATTGATTTTTATACCATTTTGAAACACAACCAAACCAATTGATGTAACACCTAACTGTATCTCTTTGTTCGTTGAATCCTAAAAAAAAATAAACGTATCGATATAAATTGACAACAAAATATTCAAAAATATTTTATCTTTAAAATCTTGGTTTTTAGAAGTAACATACTCTTGCTTTATGTAATTCCACTCCGTACATATCTAATCTCTTAGCGTGATCTAAGAAATTAAATTCTGCATCAGCTGGCAATTGTCCTCTGAAAGAATAAAAATAATTTTATTTTAATATTAAAACAACTAAGAGAAACAAATTATTGAATATTCATTCAAGATTAATTGCAAGATATAGACTTGTGTAATTTGTGTAATTCCGATATTTTCTTTTCCATTTCTTCTGTTTGTCCAGGTATCAGTTGCAAATGTGACAGATAACCTGGCCCATGTTCTTCCGGATGATAATCGCCTAATTCCGCTATAAGTGCAAAGAAACAAAATGTATTTTTGATATACTAAAAACATTGAAATATTAAATATTATAATAATGAATTATATGTATTACATTGAACTGTATAACTTGCGATTAAACAAGCTGTACTAGGTGGCAACTGTAGTTTCCCTTGTAAAATATCTCTCCGTATTTGTAAATAGAATTGATATCTGGTATATTCCTCTTGTAGTTTACTAGGATCGGATACATAGAATTTCACTTTAAAAAAGAAATGTCCACCTAAAATCAAACAAACGTATCTATATTTATAATTGTACAATAAATAAAAACATACTACCATTTGAACAATTTAGATTCTACATAATTATAAAAATATGATCTTTACCCTTACTTCTTATTTGCTTTTTTATAGGTTTAGAAGGATCTAGCCATCTCTGAAAAAAGTGTTCATATATTGTAAACTAAACATAGCGTACTATGTCACGTAATAATGAAAAGAGCAGAAAATCAAACAGCTACTCCCAATGCAAATATATATCTTTAAACGATGTTACCATTACGTCAGATGTAGGAATAGTTGCATTAACTCCATTTTCAGCATACTGTAAACCAAAGTAATCCTTTTCAATGAGTTCCAAATGTTGAAAGACCAAGTCTAAAAGAACTTGTCCTTTTGCTCGTTTCTGCACAATATATTATGATTTTTTGTGATTACTTGGATACAAATTATTAAATCTACTAAAGACCACTACTGAATGAAATATTTACATCTAACTGAAATGTGTGCTGTGTATCATCTAAAAAAGTAACAGTAGCTGACAGAGATTTTAATCTGCGATTTCTCGCTAATTCAGCACCACGAACGTGGTAGCTCCCGCTGGAGCCACTCAACGCTCTGCGTGATACACTTTCAATCATCTCAAATATACGAAGGCGTGTCAACCACCCTCTCGACACCACCTCTCTGCTATGCTGACTACCTGTATTAGAATCAAACAAACTATATGTAGTAACAATCAATATAGTATGAAAGTAATTTATTTACATATAAACACAGGTTTAGTTAGTTTTAACAACCAAAATTTTAAATAGAGTTAGTTTCTTGAACTATATCGCATACATATTATAACATATTTTTTTAATAGAATAATGGAATATTGTATCACTAGCACACATAAAATTTGGATCGGGAAAAGAACTATTTCTATCATAAGAAATTATCATATCCAAAATTAATAAATATGTAAAAAGTCATCTCTATATAAAAGTCATCTGACAACTAAAAATTAGTAAGGAAATGATCTAAAATCATTAAAACAGCACACAGTAGTTTTTTTATATAAATTTTAAATGTTAGGAATATTATTAGAATATTATTATTGTTATAAGAATATTGTATTGTTTTATTAAAAGAAGCGTAGGAAGAAAAACAACACCTTGCTGCATATAAGTCTACATTTTCTGGCTGTACTTTCCGATTTTATCTGTACATATTTTTCTTTTATCTGGTTTTTCTTTTAGTTTTTTTTTCTCGTGATTATAAAATAAAAATGTAAAGAAAGTACAGCTGAAAAGTAAACTTTTCTTAAAGTGAACTTCGTAAATCAAACTGATGTTATTCACCACGTCACACAAAAAAATAAATATAAGGATATAATTACATTCCAGGGATGTCATTAAAAATAAGTTCACCAAGATTTTAGGTCAATAATCCAACAAGAGTTACATAATCAAATTGCCATCTACTGTGTGCCAGAATGATAGAGAACAGAAATATTTTGAAAATGGTTGACACATGTGAAAGAGAAAATACTCCAATCGACTGTCATCAGACAATTCTTATGAATATTTTCCAGCCTGTTAATATAAGACGCATTTCTACATAATTATTAGAAATGACAAAAACATAAGAGATTATTAAAAAGAAATAGAAATGACAAAAATATGAAAGATTACTAAAAGTCACAATAAACAAAACGCATAAATACTGGTGTACCGTCAGTATTTAAGTATAAATAATTAAAAACAAAAAACCAATAATTTTGCAACGATAAAGATTGCAATAAAAATTTTACAATCGATTTAAAATTTAAAATGCGATAAATTATTTTGACAATACTTACATTCATGATATATGAGCCACGCAGTTCGCCTCTAGTTGACGCAAAAGGGGATCAGATTTGTTCCAAACATACGTGCAATTCCGGGAATCGGTTTCTCCTCAGAACGGCGAAAGAATACGCACCTTTTCATAATTGTGACTGATCTACCAAGACATTCGCTCCGAATGTGAAACACCGAATCACGCTCACTTCGATGCGGCAGACCAGTGGACCTGTCGTACGTCTAATTGCACTTTTGATTTCTTTTTTTTTTTTTTCACTAGCAATTTCTATTTTCTAATCATTCGCACCTTTTTTTTTTTTTTTCAATTCACCTCTCCACCTGCTCGTCAATCGACGCATAAGGCAAATTCGCGCGTTGTTACAACAATCGGTCAGTCTGTGAACGCACCAACCAGAGTGATGTTGGATCAATCTCGTGGTTAAAAAAAAGTATTCCGCAATTCTCTACCGCACGAGCGAGCTTGTTACATTGTACGCACATATGTGCCGTCTATTCGCAATTGCGGCATATGTATAATATAATATATGCTTTTAGCGTAGCGAACAAAAACCAAATTGAACGCACATATACGAATCACACTCGCGCGGACTTTTGTTGCGGAAACGAAATAGCTCTGGTCGGCTCTCTCGAGCATTCCGATTTGCGCGAGAGACGTTTGACGCCTACGGTGGAAAACGCGGTTGTATTTACAGGTTGTGTATATGGCGCGTTACACATGTATAAACACACACATACGTAAACACATCGCTCGCTTACGCACACGCTTGCAAAACCGAAAGCGCGCGCGAGCGCGCACGTGCTTGCGTGTTGGTGGTGTGCGAGCGTGTAAGCGAGAGATCGGACATCATAGGGTAAAAATGCTAGTTCAAGGGTATATGCAACGAAAAGATTCGATGCAGAGCGCGCTAGTAGATGAATTATATATGCCCAGAGAGAGAGGACTGAGAGGAGCCAGACCTATACAAGCGAATGTGTAATCGCTTTTCCGTCTTTTGTAAACCAGCGAAATGTCCCACGATGTGGGTGGTGCACATTGGCAACTACGTAGCCGTGTCCACGATTTGTCGGTACGTACGTTATGTTGTTCACACGAGAACACGGTTCTATTCCGTGCTAAGGAGTCACGTGACCAAAAGAAAAAAGGAAAAGCAACACGTGACTTTAAAAACGTGACCGAAGTAAAGTCACGTGACAGGGAGGAAAAAAAACAGCTCCTAGTTCTAAAGTGAAAAGGAGTAAAGGGTAGGATTTTACGAACGTACTCCAGCGGGCAGCTGTTTCTTTTGTCCAATCAGAAGCGACCGTGACGAGAGTCACGAGAGTTTGCACAACTCTCTCCTTTTGGGTTACGTTCCAAAATCCTATTTTGGTAACCAAAAACTATAGTACACGTGACGTGAAATGTAGCATTTTAGTAACCAAGATAGAATTTTGGAACGTAACCCTGCTGGAGGAGCTCTCCGATTTCGAATTGACAATCCGAGAAATCTCGGTTCGAATTCTCGGGCAAAATTTTATGATTTTTTTTTTTATGTTTTTTGTGAAATTGACCAATTGCATAACTCATAACGCGGTCAATTGAATGTATTTTTCGGGAGTCACAAAAAAACAAGACCCGAAGATAAGAAGAGACGGGAGAAAACCAATCAACTGATCGCTTTCAGCTGACTCAACGGTTGAGACGTCGGTTTTTGCGCTTTTGGTGCTTATGATTGGCAATAACTTTTATATCTGAATTTGATCCAAACGAATAAGCCAATCACAACAAGCAGCAAAGACCGTAAACCGACATCAAAATCTTTGAACTTGATGAAAACGCAGAATCTTCTTTTGGATTTTCTGAAGCGAGTACGCGGGACGCCAGTTCGACTGGCCCAGTCGGCGTTTTATTATGCGCAGAAGCCATAATTCGCGTCACCGCGGCGGTGGTGGTGAGTATGTTGTTGCGTATGTACTTAGCGGGTTTGGTTATAAATCGGTATAAATCCCGCCATCTCCGTATCTGTAATTCGCTTCCAAGCAGTTTGTATTGTCGGCGGTTGAAAAGGATTTTGGTTTGTTAATATTGCGCACTACTTGACGTAAATCTTTAGAGAACAGGAAGGAAGATGTGATAAACGCCGAAGCATCTCCACGCGTCTCCCGAATGTTTTGTTCCTTACCGTTTACATCGCGATTGTGTTAATTTCTAATTTCGCATATTACAGAGTAACAGGTCTTGCGTGACCGCGTGCGTGGGTCAAAATCAAACGCAAACGCCATGGCAAACGTGTCTCTTGACAAGGATATGTTTTTTCGGCGCATGAAGCGCATGTACGCCGCTTGGAAGGTAAGCACGTTAGAAGATAGAAACGCGCACGTGTTGCGTTTCTTCGACAATCCCGATAAAAAGTTGAGATTTTTTTCAATTTTTCACAATCCATTTGTCTTTTCAACGATTAGGATGGAGAAGTCGGCACCGATGATAGTTTCAGTAAAATGGACTGTCTGGTCTCGGCTGTCGGCACCGACGAGGATATCGTTTACAGCAAGTCCACGGCGTTGCAGGTACGTGCGTTTCAAGATTTTCAAATCTTTGTTATTTAGCAAATTTTACAACACCTATTGCGAGCGTTTTCTCGGAAGAATGCAATATTTTGATTCAAGTACTTAATGTTTTTTTGTGCTTTTGTATAAAATGTAACAAAGGGAGTAGCATTGGAAGCAAGCATTAGAAATTGGGCAATTGTTCATTTTGTATTTTGATATGCAAATGTTTTTAGACATGGTTGCTCAGCTATGAACTCACAGACACAATAATGATATTGGCGGAGGAAATAATCACCTTTTTAGCTAGCAAAAAGAAAATTGAGTTTTTGAGGAAAGTGGAAAATCAGAAAACTGAGGATACGGGAGTTCCTCCAGTTAAATTGTTCGTGAGAGACAGAGTATGTATAAAAATGTTAGATTATTTCTGTTAATGTTGTCGTTACATCTCGACATTGGGCACTGATGTATTTGGATATTTGTTTGAAGAGCGATGAAGACAAAGCTAATTTTGCCAAACTCATTGAAGTAATGAAACAAAGTAAAAAAGGCAAAACTCTGGGAGTATTTTCGAAGGAAAATTACCCTGGTGCCTTTATGGATGCATGGAGAGCTGCTTTAAAAAATGAATCATTTGATACGGTAAGCATACGAGATAATTGAGTAAAGATTTTTTTGTATTGTATGTATGAATTTGAAAATAACATTGGATATCTTTGCAAAATTAGGTGGATGTAAGCGCAGCAGCTGCATATGTCATGTGTCCAAAGGAAGACAGCGAAATTCTTACTATAAGGAAAGCTTGTTTGGTATCTATGGATGTCTTTACCAAATATCTTAAGGATCAGATAATGGAAATCATAGATTCCGATAAGGTGCCCTTTCTTTTTTACAGTTCTACATGCAAGTTCATGATGTTTCAGAAAAAAAAGTTACAATATGTATGTATTGATTGCAGAAAGTTAAACATTCGAAACTGGCGGAAGGTGTAGATGCAGCTATCACAAATAAAAAGTATGTAACAGGAGTAGATGTGACGCAGGTAGATATGTGCTATCCTGCGATTATACAAAGTGGTGGAAATTATTCTCTCAAGTTCAGTGCCGTTAGTGATAAAAATACCACTCTTCATTTTGGCGTCATTGTTTGTTCATTGGGAGCACGTTACAAATCCTATTGTTCAAATATAGTGAGAACTTTGTTGGTTAATCCTACAAAGTCAATTGAGGTATGTGTGCAATTGAAAAATGAAAGTTTTACGTTTGTAATACATTTGTAAATGCTGTCATTATCGATTTAATTAAATTAATGATTAAAGTATACCATGTACTAATTTGTTGTGATATTGTAGACAAATTACAATTTTTTACTGCAACTTGAAGAGGAGATCTTGAAAAAGTTAAAAGCTGGCACACAAATAAGCGAAGTGTACGAGACTGGCATCAAATTCGTGAAAGATGAGAAACCGGAAATGCTGAATCATTTGACTAAGAACTTCGGATTTGCCATGGGTATCGAGTTCAAGGAAAGTTCTTTATTAATTGGCCCGAAAACCCACGCAGTAGCCAAAAAGGGCATGGTCTTCAATGTCAATGTTGGTCTCGCGAACCTCACTAATTCAGATGCGACAGACAAAGAAGGAAAAATATACGCTCTTTTCATAGGCGATACGGTTATGGTGAATGAGGATCAACCCGCTACTAACTTAACACCGGCAAAGAAAAAGGTAAAGAATATCGGTATATATGTAAAAGACGATGAGGACGACGAAGAGGAGGGAAGTGGTAAAGAAAATGAGCCAAAACCCGAGATCTTGGGACGCGGTAAGAGAACAGCTGTAATAGAATCCAAATTGAGAACAGAACACAGTTCGGAAGAGAAGAGAAAGCAACATCAGAAAGAGTTAGCTCAACAATTGAATGAGATCGCTAAGGCTCGTCTGGCTCAACAGTCCGGTGGTAAGGAACAGGAGAAAATACGTAAATCAACCGTCTCTTACAAGAGTCTAAGTCATATGCCACGTGAGGCGGAAGTCAGAGAACTGAAGCTGTACGTGGACAAGAAGTATGAGACTGTGATTCTACCTGTTTTTGGTATTCCCGTACCTTTCCACATATCAACAATCAAGAACATTTCCCAGTCAGTGGAAGGAGATTATACGTATCTTAGAATAAACTTTTTCCATCCGGGAGCAACAATGGCGCGAAATGAATTCGGATCTTACCCTCAACCTGATGCAACGTTTGTCAAAGAAGTGACATATCGAAGCACAAATACCAAAGAGCCCGGCGAGATATCCGCGCCGTCGTCGAACTTGAACACAGCTTTTAGATTAATCAAAGAGGTCCAAAAGAAGTACAGAAACCGAGAAGCGGAAGAGAGAGAGAAGGAAGATCTCGTAAAACAGGACACTTTAATATTGTCACAAAACAAAGGCAATCCAAAGCTGAAGGACTTGTACATTCGACCGAATATAGTCACGAAAAGAATGACGGGTGGATTGGAAGCGCATGTCAACGGTTTCCGATATACTTCGGTTCGCGGTGACAAAGTGGATATTCTTTATAATAACATAAAAAATGCTTTCTTCCAACCATGCGATGGTGAAATGATTATACTGCTCCATTTTCACTTAAAGGTATATGTATCAAGTTAATATCTTATATAAAATTTTCACTTACTGAAATTTAGTAAGGTTTAAAATTTTTATACATCTATAACAATTGTTGTATGTATTATATATATTTTTAATATTGTCTTCATATTTTTAGCATGCCATCATGTTTGGTAAAAAGAAACACTTGGATGTACAGTTTTATACGGAAGTTGGAGAAATAACTACAGATTTAGGCAAACATCAACACATGCACGACCGTGACGATCTAGCTGCCGAACAATCGGAACGAGAGCTAAGACACAAATTAAAAACTGCTTTTAAAAGCTTTTGCGAAAAGGTGCGTACAAAGTCAAACGAAGTTAACAGATTCACATTTGTTTGAACTGCATTAACGATACGTATTTGTGCCATATAAAGGTTGAGGGAATGACTAAACAAGATATTGAATTTGATACACCATTTCGTGACTTGGGATTTCCTGGTGCGCCTTACAGAAGTACGGTTTTGCTTCAACCAACCAGCGGATGTTTGGTCAATCTCACAGAATGGGTAATCAAAAGTCGCTATTTTAAAACAAAATATTATAACTATTGTATATACATTGTACGTGTCATGTCAAATTCCAGCCTCCGTTTGTCATTACATTGGAAGATGTTGAATTGGTTCACTTTGAAAGAGTGCAGTTTCATCTAAAGAACTTCGACATGATCTTCGTTTTCAAAGATTATCATAGAAAAGTGGCGATGGTAAATGCCATCCCTATGAATATGTTGGATCATGTCAAAGAGTGGTTAAAGTAAGTGACACATGTTTGTTATTTAAAACAAAACGAATAATCTTGTCGTTACATAATTAAATTTATAATTTAACTATTCTTTTTTTCAGTTCGTGTGATATTCGATACTCGGAAGGAGTTCAGTCTCTAAATTGGACCAAGATCATGAAAACTATAACTGATGATCCTGAGGGATTCTTCGATAGCGGAGGATGGACATTCCTGGATCCTGAAAGTGATGCGGAAAACGAAGAGGATGTTGAAGATGAAGAAGAGGAGGAGGATGATGCATATGAGGTTTGTATGCAAAAAAAATTTTCTCCAAACCAAATAGAATTGATAAATTGATAATCTTACTTGCATTTAATTTGTTTATAGCCGTCAGATATGGATAGCGAGGAAGAATCTGACGATGATTCCGAATATTCTGAAGCTTCTGAAGATACCGATAGCGAAGGTATTGTTTTGTCAAACATCGTTATTCTATTGTTTTTTCTTTTGGTTTTACTTTTTTAAGTTTGTAATATTGTTTTTGATTCTACGTTTTTTAGAAGAAGAATTGGGTAGTTCTGAGGAATCCGGCAAGGATTGGTCGGATTTGGAGCGAGAAGCGGCCGAGGAGGACAAAGAAAGAAGCGATGATCGTTACCGCGACGATTATACTTCCAGTAATAAGAAGAAGAAAGCCAATCGAAGACAATCTACACCTCCGTCAAAAGACAGGTATATATTCAAATAGACTTGATATTTTGACGCGTATGTATTTATTTTATTGATCATATTGATTCTTAAATACATTTTCTGTTTCGTACTCTAAGACATAATTCCAAGCACAAGAGCTCTTCGAGTTCGAAAAGCAAAAGCGTGTCCAGCAGCAAGGACAAGCGATCACCGGACAAACACAGGTAAAACTATGATACCTTTGTACTGAAAAATACCTGATATTTCCGCATAAGATAGACAAAATCTTTTTCTTAAAAATTTATAAATTTGACTCAAATGAGTTTTGTGTTTTGGTAATTTTTAAAGAACGGATCGATCACGGAGTGGGGGCTCGCACAAGAAAGGGTCTCCTTCCAAATCGTCCAAACACAGGTGATTACTTTTAAGTTTTGTGATAAGCGTATCTTGTTACAATTGGCGTGTTTGTTTGTGTAGCCCCAAAAAGAGCGATAGACACGATAAGCATGACAAAAGTAAGTCGTCGCATTCCTCGTCCAGCAGTAAAAAACGGTCTCGCGAGGACAGTTCGGAAAGAAACGGAAGGTCACCTAAAAAGTCTAGGTAAATAATCGATTTATTCGCGATTTTGTTATGTTCCTTTAACATTTTTATATCATTTATATGTATATATTTTTTTTAGGAAGTAAACGTGTGTGAAGGAGAGTACTCGCGCACTAAGAAAGAAGCACACAGGAAGATACACAACAAATACAACATTATTTCTAAGTACTTTCGTATTTAAGATTATAGCGAGTAACCTAACCATTAACTTAGCTAAGAAATATAGTACATTTTCTTGCATTAGAAACGATTGAAATATTTGATGTTACCTTATAATTTGAGAGTGACTGCTTTGTCGTTCGAAGTATTTTCTTTTTGTATGCACTCTTAGTTTGTAGCATCAATAAATTTTACTTATACGAGTGGTTGGGAAGAATTTCGAGGTCTCAACGTTCGAACTAATTGAATTGCTTTCGAATCTCAAGCTCGAGTGTTAAAATTGTTCCGAGTTTTGATACTCGAGCAGTTCGGAAAAGTTTAGCGAGGCTTATTTTGTAACGACGCATGCGGTACAGGCATAAATTACGTAACACGTCATTGCGCAAACAAAATGTATCATAAAACGGGACAACATGTGTTAACAAAATAACAAAATTGTCATAAATTATAATAGAATAAGACGGCACAAAATGTTTCTGGTTCGAACTGTTCACGAATTTGGAGTACAAGTTCTTCGTTCGAGTCTGTTGTCTGAGAGTTACGTTAACATCCTGCAGCCGTATATCTGTGTGAGCTTTCAAGTGTACATAAGAATAACATTTTAATATAAGATCACATTTTATACCTAGGGATGCATGTATGTATTTCATATGTACTTCCTAATTTGTTTTGTATTCCTATTAAAAGATGGAATTCTCACTTCCTTTCTGTTTTCTGTCTTTTTTTTTTTTTTTTTTTTTGTTATAATTTTGACATTTGCGATTAATTAATGTAGATTCTAAGATTGAACATGGTTCATTCCATTTTCTTGTCCGACGATATTAAGATCTATCAATAGATTTTTGGAGCAACACACCGCGGTCGAAGACGATTCGAAGCACCTCGTATCACGAAGCATTATCAAGAAACAGTCACGTTTCGAAGTTTACACGTTTGCGATATTTGTGAATCAATAGAAGTTCTTGTCAAATCAATAGAAATTCGTATCCACATGTAAGACAACATTAATACAAGCATCTCCCAGCATAGAGATTAGTTATTGTATGTGTATAAAGAAAATAATAGAAGAGAAATGCAAGATAATGTACTAATGATAAATATATGATTCATTATGTTAAACGGGCTCTCCAATAAGATCTTTCCTAGTATTTGCTATAAACTTTGAATTTTTTACATATTTTAAAATGTTTTATATTATTGGCTCTTTACACACAATTGGTGTTTTAAAAATGTGTATATCTTAGAAGAACAGACAATACTTTTATTGTCATAGTTTTAAATTTCATTCAAAAGGCGTACAAAGGCGTATAGAAATATATTCTTTTACAATAGTTCTTATATTACGCCCATATGTATTGTGTACCGAAAAATCTTAAACGAAAATCAATCGAATCTCGCGCGCACGCGAAAAAAATGGAGAAAGCCGGTATAAGGTTGTTGTCAGAACAAAAACAAAAAAAAAAAAACTCATTTGCGTAGTTCTCATACTTGTACTTTAATCTGAAATAAAACCAGTTTTAAGTTATTTATCATTAATGTACAAATGTTTACAACCATTTGTGGTTTTTATATTCCAAAATGTATGTAATGTTGATACATAAAAATAATGACTTTTTTATTAAAGCAACCCACTCTTTTATATACACATACTCGAAAAAGAAAAATTGTTCGCGATTATCAGTAGAAACTATAGATAACTAGTAGATGGATAATCTAAAAAATATAGTGTGTAGAGAGAGATATATATATACATATATAAAAATATAAAAAACTCCAAAGAAGATAAAGTAAGGTCACTATTTTTTTCAGATTTCACGTGTCATCGGGTAGCGCGTAAGAGATAATCGAAATTTACATTATTACATAACAACTTTTTTGATGGGTTTGCTTTGCACACGCGCGAGAGAGACTGTGCGTGTGCAAAGGAAAGTGAAAGTTTCACAACTGTATGAAAATAAATAAAATTAAAAAAGAGATCTTTCCTTCAGCACGGATATGTGTTATTACAACAATGGAACAACGAAATTGTTGGCCAAGGAGGAAACGGGAAACGCGCGAACTCGTAATTTTATTTAGTCTTCGATTATTGAAATTTTCTCGACATGGTCATGTAATAAACCTCCAGAAGAACAGCTTAGTGTAACAACACGGCGAATAGAAGTGAAAGTGCGCTTCTTTGACGGGTGGTATTGCAACTTTCTCTACGCGACATATCGCGTTAGCTGCATATATAATTCGCTAACTAACATTCTCATAAGAGAATACGTGATTGATGTGTGACGATAGATGAACTACGCTACATTTTTTTTTTTTTTTCCTAGACGGAATGTCAATTACGATGCAAAACAGGTTTTGATAGACGTCTCGATACATTAATGAACTTGTACGTACATACGACAAGTGTTTCAACACTTACATCTTATTTCGCGCGCACGAATGTCATCGGAGTTGTTAATTTTTGATGGGCGCATGAACGTAAAATCCGCAAATTGCTTTTTTTTTTTTTTTTTCAGATATTTTATTTACGAAAGAGACAAAACATTGCTCTACATTACTATAAAGAAAATTATTAAGTACAAAAGCAAGATACAAAAGGAGAATCGTTTATTTATAAATTATTATTTTTTACAAGCGCGCGCAGAGGACAGGACGTTGATACATGACTGTTTTTACACAACGATGACAATGACGACGATGTTACGTAGAGGAAGAGATTCAATTTCGGCCTATCTGGTCGATCTGACTCTGGAGATTGTTCACCACCTCAGGTGGCACGTGATCGCCCAGAATCTCGAAGAGATTGATCCTCTGATCGCCGGGAATTGACTCGTAAGCGGCAAGCTCGATTCCTTCTTGTACCTTTTGTATGGTCGCGTCTTTAGGGATGAGGTAAGTGTTCTGCGCTTGTCTTATCGCTTCGTTACTGAAGATTTGCCCGTCCTTCTGGGGATAAGCGGAGATTACGGCCGCCAGAAATAACGTGGCCAGCACCGTGACGTGAAATTTCATCTGAAAACCGAACAAAATTCAATTGCGATTGCTTGAAAAATGTTGAAAATTAAATGTGTCGCTCTTCGTGAATCAGGCAGCGACAGTTATTTTGCGAGAGTTCCTTTCGTGAATCGAAAGCAAACGACGTACATTGCATCCCAAGAGCGTTGTACCCGATCTCTCTTTACTGGTCGAGGTCGTGAAATTGGAACAAATTTTTTTATGGAGAATTTTATTACGTCGTTGTGCCTCTCACACGGAGCGCAAAAAAAAAACTTGTACTTTTGTAAGAGGATACCGGTTTATATCGCGCGAACTGTGTTGGAAAAGTCGTATTGAAAAAGATCTGAGAAGTGTATAAAAATTTGTACATTAAATATCCGAGAAATAAAGTGTAAAAAATTCGGAGAAAATTTTGTTTTTACCAGAGACGCGCGCGCGCGCGATATAGAAGTTAATATTTCTGCCATTAGGGAAAGTTGTAAAAATTACGGAAGTCACGTAAAAAAAATGCGACACTTCAAACAACACACTTATTATTACGCGGACTTTTCATTTTCTTCGTTCGCGTCGGGATGATTTTAAATGCGCGCAGCGTGTGTTTTGCACAGATTTGATCAAGAACAAAAATTCGCTTGTTTGCGCCGTACGAGGAAACAACGTGCTAAGGATATTGTGCTACGTGATTGTGGTACTCACGTTGAAAGTGTTGTTTCACAATCCGGAATGAAACTAAGCGCGCGGTAACGAACGTTGCTTTTATACGCGCAGATGCGCGTGGTGGTAGATGAGTGGTGAATGTCACACTCCAGTATCCTCCTCGAGGAAAATTCGTCCGATGCGATTTCTTTGTATCGTAAAACACGCGTAAACTAATTGCTTGCTCTCTTGTTATTACGGATATGTATTAAAACAAAAACAGTCCCGAGAGAATTATAAGCTACGAATTGTTACACCATATAAGTGAAAAAACAAACAAGTAAATAACAACGTAATGTTTATAATTCACGTTACGTTAAGTGAGTGTGTAGTTATATAACAAATGTTTTTACATTTAATATTTTCTCTGCTTATTACGTATTTTTGCAAAATTATTTAATACTACTTTTTGCAATATTATATCAATACCACTCGCTCATAACGAGTTTTTTAATGGTATAATCAAATACATCACATTTATAGAATCTGTGCTATTTACGCAAATCTAGTCGATAAATGTCCAAAAATGTAACAAGCTAAGAAAAATCGACGTAAATCATTTGAGTTATATGTATTTGACTCGGCACGTTCGCACGTTCGCTGTGCGATCTGTTGTGAATATCGGTGTCCCATTGACCAATATACGACACAGACCAGATTTGCCCGTCTCAACCTGAAGAGAGAGAGTTTCACTTTTATGAATACATTACTCTTTTAAATTTTGAAACTGTTTCACAATATCATCGCCGAACGTGTCTAATATTGAACATTGAATATTGCCGTAAATAAATTGATCTTCTGCACTTTGAAAGTTCTCAAAAAAGCATCAAAAGTATAATAATAATAATGACATGAACACAAATAAATTCATTATTTACAAATTTTAAGTGTTTCGTATGTTCATCACAAAGTTCTTCTTCTTGAAAAACAAATCATTTCTTCTGCGATAAAAGTAATCGCGATTACTTTTCCAAACAGGGTCCTGATATAAGGTGTTAGCTGCAAAGATAAAGTAGATTTATTTTTTTTTAATTTTATAAAATAATTTTTGTCACATATGTGTGTGTTTTTTATTTTTCCAATCAACGATCTATGCGGTCATTTTTCTTATGAAATATATTTCTCAAGAAGATGTTCGTAAGAGAACTGATGACTTGAATAGTTTCATCCGGATTTCCAAATGACGAAATTTATCTCTTCCGATAAATTACCTTCGCGCTTCTCGAGACCGCATAATCTCGCAAGCTGGCCGCTTAATAGTTTCGAAACATCGGAAAGTGATATACATCTCTTTTTGTGGTTATCCACATCAGTGACGATTCTACTCTTGTATTAAAAAAATACTTTTTTTTTCTCTCGTATAATATTATCATTCCACACACACGCACACACACTCTGTATGTTTTTTGCTACAAATTTGATTTGGAACAAAACACGCGCCGAATTGCGAAACGAAGAGATTCCATCCCGAACAATCAGGAAATTCACACAAATTTTTAACTTTTAGGGAAAGTGATCCGAGACAATCACACAATTCAACGTATTTAATGCTTTGTCACAACTGTTCCTAACGCACACATATATATTTAGAACTTTGAGAAACTTTCTGAACATTGAAAAATGATGTGGTATACGCGTCAAACGCGACATCCTTGACCGTCAAAAATTACCGCGCTTTTATACACCGCGAGATAATATTAGAAAAGATTTACTGCGCGCGCGGGAGATGAAAAGTTTAATTCAATTACTCGACTCTTTTTTTCTCTTGATCAATTCCTGATAGCACATTTGAATTCAGTAGAAAACCGTCCGGTAACTCTTCCGCAATGAGCGCTAAATAGCGATGACACGTTTCCACGACGATTAAAGGCGCGCACCACGAGCCTCAGCGTAGTTTATTAGCGTCAGACGCTCCGCGCTTGACAAATGTGACACCTGAAAGCTGGAAAGTTTTATGTAATCCTATTATTCTTACATAAACATTGAAATGAACGTGAAATAAACCTGTGGAGATTCACTTATATTTTTCAGACCAACCGCAGATTAAATTTCACGGATCAAATTCCCCCGTTGCTTTGGTCTACTCGTGTTCCGCATGAAACTGTAAGTACATTTACAATTATATTTGTAAAGTGATTAGATTTAATAAAAATATACGTACTGTAAAATGAGAAACGTAACTATCACGCTAATGCGAATTTTGTGTGTGTAATAAACATTTCCATCAAAATTTTCTCCACATCGTACTGACGTATGTGGAAACTCTTCCGCTCGATCGTACAAATCATCTTAAAACCGATCTATCAACGATCGCAATTCGCGATTAAAAAATTGTAACAAATAGAAAAATAAACAACATGCAATTACTGCAAGAATAGCGTAAATGAAAACGTCAACTTTTGTATTTGACAGCAACTATCGTATTGACAGCGTCATGCGATGCTATCAGACCGAGGCTAAATGACACCTTTAGATATTGTGTTTAAAAAATACGTACGTAATATTTTAGAATAAAAAAACGACGTAAGAATTTTCTTTATTTATTTTGTCATAATCTTACCTTTAATCTAATTACATACGCTGTGTAATTCTGTGCTATTTTTGCATTGAGCAAGCAATGATACGAAACGATTAAATTACTCCGCGCGTCAAATGATTGCTTAAGCTCTATTTATAGACAACTTTATAGACTATATGACTGTACCTGCATATTTAATGACAGTCGGGGCACGCATTGAAAATTGTACGAGCGTAAAAAAAGTAATTGTTCGATAAAAATAAGATGGAAAACAACTGCTTGTTCTCAACTGTGTTATTGCGTGACGTATGTGAAATAATATATGCTTGCTCTCCGTCACGCAAAGCCATTTAAAATGTAAATTTAAAAGTTAATAATATAGTTTCAAAACGAAGACCTGACACAGTCCCAAACAAACGTGTACGGATATATAGACGAAAAAAATGTTTCTTCCTAAACGTCTCTTAATTTTATAATAATATTTCTGAACAAAAGCGCATGCAGCAACGAGTCACTTATTTATTTATATAATTTTTAAGCACGAAGCAAGATATGCTGGTGCTCATGTTCTGGTGAGAATACAATAAAATACTTTTTATTTTATTTGGGTCTTTGGGTCAAAGTAAATTCGTACGAAGTGTGTTACTTATTTATGCTATCTGTATTTTCTTCTGATTGCATACTGTACTATGGTTTAAACGTTGACAGATGAGAGCCGAAGTGTAATTTATCGAACGTAAAAATGTTTTTAAGCTTTTACGTAAAAGCTTAAAAATAGACATTGCATTTTAAAATATAAGAATAAAACTTATCGCGCACACACACACGTGTGTGGATCTCTGTATGCTGCATATAGATATAAATATCAGTTTTGCCAGAGAAGAAGACGATGAATATCCTCTGTACGTGAGTTTTATTTTCGGCCACTGAAGTAAAAGGAAGCGCGTAGAAGGGGAAAGCCCTCTCTTTCTCGCGGAACCGATTCATTTCTGCCTGGCAATTTAATCGGTGATCTGAAAGAGGAAGAAAGAAACTTTGCCTTATATGTGCTCTTTCGGCAACTGATCGAACAAGAAGCTGAAAAGAAACGGTGCACAAAAGCGAAAACCTCTTTTTCCTCTTGCAGAACGATTTAATAGCGGTCAGTCAGTATATATCCGCTGACTCGTATTACATCACACATCATGTTCGCGAGATATCGATTCTTCGCAAAAAAAAATCTCTCGTGCGAATTACTAATAAATTAAAGATCAATTTTAAGACCAATTGCTAGGTAACGTGATCGATTGATTATCGGACGATTAACTTAACAAAATCGATCACGCATTGAACGATTACTCCGTTCGATTACGTTAATTCGAATCGATATGTTGAAAGATCGAGGAACTGTTCTTCTTCTTCTTCTTTTTTTCTTCAATAATTTGTATGAGAGTGATTCCACGTTAAATTCCACTATCTCCAACACAGTGACTGGAGTTGATTTTTGTTCAATAAAGAACAGAACAGAAGTTTATCCTGTTATTACTCATGTAACACTTTTACCGACGTCGCGCATGACACTTGAGGATGTTAGTGTCAAATTGAAAAGAACTCATATGACGAATTATACTCGGAGAACATGAGAAACAACGTCTTGGACGGACATGGAAAATGGACACCGCGCTGAAGAATATTCAACAAGAATAAAACTGGTTATTCTTATACAAAGACTTATAATTACTTTTACTAATAGATAATAGTCACTTTTATGAATAGAATATTTTTGAATACTTTCCGCAATCGCATACACTTTTCAACATTCTCTCTCTGAACGCATACATTTACTTAAAAGTTCGCACATAATACCTGATTTCCTGGTTTACCACATCGTCTCTCTGGTTTACCGGATCGTTTGCGATAACATTCACGCGAATATTCTCGCGTACGCTTTAACTTGGAGATTGTCCAAAGTGACGGCGAAATGAACTTCCTATAAATGTTGAGACAAATATCGCGACGTAACTCGACGGTAAACGATTGATTTAGAGTTCAAAAATCAACGAGAAAAAAAAAAGCGAAATAAATTGTTACAGAGGCATATCATGGATGACGGCGGTTCGTGTAGCGGCGTGAAATCCTTCCCACTCGATTCAACTCAAAACTCGTTCAATTATACGTGAGAGTTTATTATTAACGGACATCAGCACTAAGGAATCGCAGTCGTTAGAGGATTCGGGACACTTCTCTGAAACGCGCGATAAATAGATAATCTTGAAAGCGGATTTTGAGGCGAGCCAGTCAAAGCAATAATTACACAGCTACGCGCAAAGTGATCTTTAAATAGTTCAGAAATTGACTCTCTCGTCAAGAAAAACAGACTCTCTTCGGCTCTGTCGTATTACGTAATTAGTGTAGATTATGTAAGACGTACAGGCGCGAGCGTTGATAAGTAATTTTTTTTATTTCTAATAAAATTATCGGTCAATCAATTTCTCGTTTTTATTTATATATATATTTATTTTATATTTAATAATTTATTAATATAATTTGTGTTTTGTTATGTTTCATTATTTAATATGTACTCAAGCAAATTATGAGCGGACTATATCTTTAATTTGTGCGTTCCTATGATTTAAATACCGTAACCAAAGTCTAATTCTATATATATTTTCTAACTATATATAGAGAACGAATATTTTATATCCTATTTACTTAGATGATATCTCAAACATATTCTATTTACGTTCGGGAATATATTCAGAATTGTTCTGAGGATATATTATGCTGTTCGAGTGGATTCTCTATTCAGATACACGCTAAAAAAACTGACTGTTATTATACGTGCGTCTTTTGCAACAGTTGAAATTAACTGTGACAATTGTACAAACCATATGAAAAAAAGCGAGTTATCGATAAACCAATTATGTAGAGAATAAAATAGTTACTTGCGCTGTGTCACGCGTGCAAAGCCATTACTTTACTTAATGCGAATGTCAGGATTGTCAAGTTAGTTTCTAAGACAGACATGTTATTACGCGATAGAGAATTCTCTTCTTTTTGACATTTATAATTTTGTAGTTGCGCGGCGAATACGCGTCAAAATCGATCGACACGCAACGCAAGACTCACTCTGTCATTTCTGTCACAGTTCTCATCGAAGCAAACCATGCTAGCAAATGTGTATCGGGAGTACAAGATTAATATAATACTTTTATCGAATTTAGGTCTGTGGCCCTACCAATCTAAATTTGTAAGAGATCTTTTAGTGGTATTTTGGTTGTTGATTCACCTTAGTTATGTTTCATTTGAGGTAATACGGTGTCGATTGGTTTTACGTACAAAATTTAATGCAATTTAAGATTATCTTAAATGTCTAAACAACACTATGTTCTAACATGATGGATATGTATCTTACGATAGTGACATAATTTATCTGCAGATTAGAACACTTATATACGAGTCAGACAACGATCAAATACTGTTCGAATGCTTGTACGAATTCATCATATCGATGGCTTTTCTTACGAAGTTGTTAAATCAGGTTGTGTTTCGCAACAAGGTAAGTATCAAAAGTTCAATATATATGTGAATAAATTATGTTTTTTAAAAAACTTTACACTAATTATAAAAACCGTTTCTACTTCATGTGTGCATTTGATCGGTTTTACAAAAATTTGTTTGTTACAAATTATAGTTTCAACATTTATATAAAACTATAGAAAATCACTGGAATGTATTTTCGAGTGACACGGAAGTTCGAGTTTTAAAACATTATTCTGCTTTAGGGAAACAATTTACAATTTATTACACAAGTGAGTACAGAAATTATATCAAAATTAAAAAATCGTGTACATTTTTTATATATATTATATACGTACGTAGATTTCTCATAAAATTGCAGTAGTGGTATATAGCATGATGACACTGTTTGTAACAATCCCATCGTTAGGGCCAATACTTTTTGACGTTATAATGCCACTTAATGAATCGCGCAAGCGGAACATCGCAGTGTATGTTTATTACGGAAAAAATCAATATAAATATTTTTGGCCGATTTTTTTTTATTCCTCTTTCATGGTCGTAGTAGGTGTGTCCATCATGATAGCTGTCGACACTTTGCACATAATGTGTACCACACACGCGTGTGGTTTATTTAAACTAGTTGGGTGCGTATAAAAATAAGGTAAAACGGTAATGTATAATAAATACACGCTACTTCGCGTGTAAAATATCACAAAAATCGTATTACAGTAAGCAAGTCGAAAACATAGTATCTATTGTGCGCGCCAACAAAACCAGTAAGAACAGAGATTATAAACTATACGGGGAAGGAATAATATATCAAAAGTATATTCAATGTTTGAAGAAACATCAACTCGCTGTGGAGTAAGCGATCTTTTTCGTGTAAAAAAAAAATATTTGATCAAACTCATGTGTTACGTAAATAAAATAAGAAAGATTATGAAAAATCATATGAAAATACGCGATTCATTAAAAATAATTTCGTAGATTTGTCAACATGTTAGACGACGCGCACAAGGTTGTCGGATTTAGTTTCACTATAATTATTGGCGGATGTTTTAGTATACTTGGAATTCGTGTAAGAAAGTTAAATAATTATTTACATGATAACACAAGCATGAGTTATTAAAAATATATGAATCTCAGCATTGTCATTTTACAGATAAATTTTATAAACAATAAAATACGTAAAATAAAAAATAAGTATATACGCACAGTATATATCTTTAACACATTTAATAATTTTGTAGATCGTCTATGTGTTAGATCAAGTGCAGGAACTGATTAGATATCTGTTTATAATTGTGGGAGCGATGCTACAATTACTGATACTGTGTTACTCCGGTCAGAAATTAATGGACGAAAGTCAGAATATATTCCACCGAGCGTAATAATTATTTTACATTTTCGCACATATTTATAATTAAAAAAATTAATCGTGCCGAGGTGTGCGAAATCAAAATTGCGTTTCTTCCGTTTCATGTCAAAAAATTGCGCTAACGCAATTCCTTCTTTTGTAACAATGAGCAAAACTAAAATAATTTACTATATGTACAACATACATTTTTTGACATGAAGTAAAGTAAATATGAAAATTGCAATTCCGACATAAGACAAAACAGGAGAAGAATTTATTTGGAATCTCCTTTTGCTCGTATTGACCATTCTTTTCCATATTTTTGAATCTTCGCGAGTTGATTTACACAAAAAACTTATTTGATTTATATCCCAATGTTGCGTGTAACTTACTGACCTAGTAAAAAAATGTTTTAAAATCAGATTTCAAAAACGATCTTTCCAGATACGCGGCGGAATGGTACAAGTTCTCACCCAGACTAAAATCATTGTTAATTATAACTCTTTACAGAAGTATTATACCGTGTCGATTGACTGCAGGTAATATATTTCCATTGTCAATGACTGTTTTTGCCGCGGTAAGTATCTACAGTGCACGTGAAAAATTTGCGGAATAGGCGCAGTAATCTAAGGACAAGAGTGAAGAAAATAGGGAGAAGAAAGAGCAGTGAACATTATCGACACGACGCAATTGGACAAGCAATTGTTACAGTTACGGCGCTCGTAAGCGCTATTTACTGCTAAGGAAACCGTCTCTGTTGCTCTCTAGACTCCGCGCCTATTCCGCGAATTTTTGATGAGCTAGTACAAGAATCTGCATATAAGAAACTTGATAGGTGTGAATTTTTCTATTCAATTTAAGGTGGTGCGAGGCGGAATGTCTTACTTTATGGCGTTTTCATCGATGCAAGAATAAGTATCGAGATATAAAAATACTTGTGTAAGTAAGATTCTTCACCGCGTCTTTGATTTAAACATTTCGAAAACAATTGTAAGATATAATAGAAAGTAGAAATTATTTTTATTGCTACATTATAGTATTATTGTTATTACATTGTTATTATGTAGAAATTTTTATTATTGTTATATTTATGAGAAGAATAAAGCATTTCAATAAATATAAAAACTTCAAAATTATCATTTTATTTAACAAAATCACATTTATTATTATTAAATACAAGTCGTATAATATCAGAATGCGACTACAATCAATATCACAGCATTTTACAGGTAGACATTATCGTAATGTCAGTCTCTCTTTAAGTATATAATGAAAATTATTAATTAGTATAGCAATGTGTTACATAATCAATGACTCTCATGTGTTGTTAAACAAAAATAATTACGTACTTAATTTTCTTGCAAATTGATTTATACAAAAATACGTTTTCGAGTAAAAACATATGTTAAATCTTATAATATATTCTATATAACCATATTCCAAGCTGTTAGCGTATTATATCTAACAGGACATGGTTTTAAGGTTCCTGGGTATATATACGTATCTGTACAGTATATACCATCAGTATTCGAAAGCTTAAAGTGACAAAACTCCACCGAAAACTTTTTTTTTTCTTATTTCTTTTTTCTGTATCGATATATATATATATATGCGTATATATATAATTGCGTGTGTAATTCAATTTATACGTTTAACGTCTGTTTTCGGTGACAATAGACCTTATTTGAGATTGAAGATTTTTAGATATTTATTGTTGAGTGCAAATGTTTTAAAAAATTTCGTGATGGAAAAATGGAACAAGTAATTTTATGAAAAACGATTTATTCACTCTACCAAGTAATCTGGTAATCCACTTGTTTATATCTTTTAATGTTGCACCGGTAAAACAAATAAATCGTTTTGAATAAAATTATTCGTTCCATTTTTCTATCATAAAATCCATCAAAACTTTTGCACTCATTCAATACTAACTTGTAAACCGAAAAAGAAATTTTCAGTTTCACCAATTTAAACTTTCGAACACTGGTGGGGTGTAAAAAAAAAAAAACCTACTTTATTTTGATATAAGTTACAGAAAACAAAAATTCACATAATCTCTCACCACTAACATCATATAATTTAAACATAGAAGCTGCAGAAATACCCAGAAGCCTTAAGGATGCGCAAATCATGTCGCTAAGCAATTACACATCTTAGTTTCTCACTTACAACATTTCTTTAACGTTTGAATATAACGTTTATACGCGAGATAGCGAATTCCAAACAAAACGAAAAAAGGCACAGATGCGTTTGGCAGTAATGTATGTAATTCCAACAGTACTTTTCAAAGTGTATCGTTATCTTTCTCTGTTTTCTGGAACATATATGTTAAATTCGAAATATATAAAAGCGTAAATAATTAAATACGTGCGAACTACATTCTTTACTTCTGAGATGGTTTTTAGAGAATTTTAATCCTTTGCACTCGAGCGGCGCCGCTGCGGCGCCCCGCCGATTTGAAGCGTCTACTCGAGCGGCGTCTACTTTTGTTGTATTCAAAATAAATTATAAAAATAAATAAATTAATGAAATTTTATTATATTTTTATATGTTTGTCTGAGTATAAATGATTTTAAAGTACCTGTAAAATGCTTCTCTGATATAGCCGAAATCGTCTCGAGTGCAAAGAATTAATATGTTGCGTGTTCGTGAAACATGACAAGAAATAACATGTTCGTGAAAAAAAAAAAAAAAATTAAATCAGAAAAAAGAGAAAATTATAATAATTTTACATTATTCAGTAGCAAAAAAATATTAATTGTTACACATTTTATCAACCATGGTTCATTCACCATCCACGAATACACTTTGTGTACTTAAAGAGTCATTGAAAGTACGTATAATATTTGTGAGATGTTAGCAGAATTATGAGAAATTGATCCGGGAGTTTCAAACCAAAGTCATACTTTGTAAAAAGGTATCATATCTTTCTCAAACTAATTCAAAGCTGTTCTCGGCAACGAAGAGTCTTTTAAAGATAATATTTTATTCATCAGCGGACTTTGTTAATTTGTCGAGACAATCGTACGATTTTGATTGTGTAACGTACCTGTAACAGAAAAAAGCCTCTGTTATAGAGATATCACATAGAAAATAATTTATCACCAGTTAATTAATCGCAAATCAAAAGCAAATAGCAAAGCTTCATCATGCTATCAATATATTCCCTTAGATCTCGATTATTCTCGTTTTCTGATGCAGTTTCCGAAGATCTCATTTGTATTTTATTCGGATAATGACGGCAGTATTAAAAATTAAAAAAAAAAAAACAATAAAAGGTTGTGATTGTTAATGTAAAGCGAAGCAAAAACTAACCGTGTTAATATTTATAAGTATAGTATTCTAAATCGTATGATTTGCAGCACAACCGTTTATGCGCTGGATCCTTTCTGGCGACGTGAAGTACCAAGTTTCCAGCTTTTGCGGTCTTGAACATCTGCAACGCCTTTCCGTGTGTTAGACCGTCCAATGAGGAACCGTTGATGGCTAAAATTTCGTCTCCCGCTCTCAGAGTACCTTCAACATTACGAGCAAACGATGAATTAGATCAAGATGTTTTGTCTGATTATTACGATAATATATTCCATCATTCAAAGTTTGATTCATTATTTGTTCTCAGGAAGACAAAGTGCTAATATGACACGACATACCTTCTTCCGCGGCTTGCCCACCGGGCATAATGTCCTTCACGAAGATTCCCATGCGGCCCTTATTGCTATCGACACCACCGACGATGGAGAAACCCAATTTCTTCGGCGCACCCTTTTCCAGTACGATCGTAAGCAGATCCATGGACAAACTAGATCCTCGTCGTACGACGGGAGCTTCGGCGCTACGTTTTCTCACCACCTGAAACTTCTTCATTCCCGTCATCTTCTGAAGATTAGCGGTCGTCTCGTCAGTGGCACACGATCCGCCAGTTTTTGTCGGCGATGAAGCATCGTCAGCGAAGACTGAATGTTCGGTGCTTCCTTTCTTCAAGATCCACGCGTCATCGCTTCGTGTTCGCCCTACAGTATTACCCCAAGTATCGCCGATCTCCTCGCCGAAAGCCGAATTCGGTTCTCGCGCGATCTGCAGCTCGACCGTACCAACGCAACTTCGCAGGGCGTTTCGCGCTTCTGCTATCGACATGCCGCGTATTCTACGTCCGCATACTCGCACGATCTCGTCACCGATGCGAAACTGCTTCGATTTGGCCGCCTCGCCGTCAGGATCCAACCTGGCGATCACATAGAACGGCCTGGCCGCTTCGCATCGCTCGAGAGCTATACCGAGACCCACTGTGCGGCTCACTGTGAGTTTCATCGTTTTCAATTCGCGTCGTATCGGAAATTTGTTGTTGGCGGTTACGATCCTGGAAGTGGAAACGGTAGGTAGTGACGGTCCGCTAATGCTCGTCGTAAGCACTTTCTTCGCCACATTTCTCATCATATCAGACGCATCGAGTTCCAGAGTAGAGCGCGATCTCTTTGGACTGTAGTACTGCACACGATTCGTCGCGCACGAGGAATGGATCTTGCTAGCCGGTGGACTATCCTTACAAGGAGACGCGGCGTGCTCTAAGAGATGCATCAAACTCGGGCTGGAACACTTACGATTCCTCCACTTCTTGTCCTTGAACATATTCTGTGTCTTAACCGCTTGAGGTACGTCAACGTGATTTTCGGTTGTTGCACAAGATTGTCTCTCGTCCGAGTCAACATTTATTTTGACGTCATTGACGTCGCACGCAGCATCAGCATCATCGTCACATCGCGTCAGAGTAAAATCGAGATCATTATTATCCGTCATTTGAAGTTTCGTAAAATCTTCGTCGAGCAGAGCGGAAGTCTTTCTTCCGACCCCGCGACTCTTCGGATAGAGTTCCGCTTCCGTCTTGGGATAAATTCTCGTCAAATCCGATTGATATTCCAGAAAATCGGCGAAAGTATCTTCGTCGCAACTATCCGTGTCATTGTCCTCGTCCGATATTAACGCGGTTGATGTGGTTGCGACCGAGTCGTCAAGAAAAGTGTTGCTCGTCGCGTTATCGACAGCGACGTTGGTGCCGTTGACCTTCTCACTTTTCGAAGCGTCGGTCGTTTCTGACGAGCACGTCGGCTGAATCGTCACGTCCTTTTTCCGCGACGCATCGCCAAGCGACAAACCGATACCGCGATAATCATCCGACGTCACGGAGAAACTGCGCGGTTTCAATAACGAAGGCGCCACACATTTTTCACTGTCCGGCGAATCGGCGCCGGTTCGCGTGCTGTCCGAATCGTAACCACTTTCGTCGCAACCTATACGCAGATTGCTCAGCAGATCCTCGAGACCAGTCAGCACATTGGCGGAAGAATTTCTCTTAACATTGTCGTTACTGGGAGAAGATGACTGATGCTGACCGGACGTTGACGACGGACCGGTCTTCGTTTCTTTCGCGCGATCGTTGGAACAATTCGCATTCGTTCCAACGTTCTCCAACGTGTCCTTCGCGAGCGTTCTACCCTGCCGTGTATGCAGAATCTCACGATTTTTCAATATGTAATCCAAAACTCGCTGCTGTTCCTGCAGATCCTGAATGCTGCGACTCAGCTGTAATTTCTTCTGACGAAGAAACATCTCCCGATCGGTTTGAGCGAATTCGCGATCGTCCAAAATACTGGAACTTACACCGCGAAACTGTATTTTTCTGAGAGCTCCGTCACTGAGAGTCTTCTCCATGGGGCTCACGCTTACGACGTCCTCCTCCTGTATCGTCGCGCTTCTCGCGGTACTTTTGCTGTTAAGAGAGTGATCGCCGCTGGTTCTGAAGAGATTCCTCAACGATTCCACTCTAGGAATTCTTTTTGGTCTGAGGGACTCACTGTTACCCTGGAAGTGGATTATCCAAATTAACATTTTTTAATCTAATTATCTTGCCGGTTGGACGCAACGAGTGTTTAGGTACTGTCAGATTCCGTCGACATTACATTTTCTTTCTCGATCGCGGCCTCGTCGCAACCGCTTTTCCGATGCGGGCTCCAGCGTCGTCGCCGTCGTGACACCGAAAGTAACTCGGAGCTGTTCGACCTCTTCATCTGATCCCATCGTCGACCCATTTTTCGTCCCCACGTTGAAATACCTGTTTTTTTTTTTTTTTTTAAATAAAGATGCATGCGATTTCGAGATGTCGTCGATATCAGTCATTGCAGACAAAGCGATACAACAAATACAGCGAAAATAAATATTATTTAAAAAAAATAAATATTATTTATTTCTATAAATATTTTATAATACCTCGACTCTTTTGTCCTCCCCTACCTTTACGAGTCAGAATAGAGGAATCCATCGACGATTCTTTTTGCGCGTCAACATCTTTGGCCGAAGGAGCATCTTCCAGTCTGTCGTCGTCTGTCTTCGATTTTTTCTCCGCTCTCTCAGACGCATTGCTTTCGACTTTATTACTCGCGACGGCGATATCCTGAGAGATAGACACGGCCGAGACAAGCTGCGGGCTCGTATCGGCCGTGGAACGTTTGAAGAGGCGCATCTCGCGTGAAAGTGCTGGAAGTTGAAAAAAAAATAAAAAAAACATTGTTAATGTCTCGATATCGAGTTTACAGCACGATTGGGAGATGTGCGGAGTGAAAGTGTAAGTAGCGCGCAATATCACATTGCAGGTGATAATTACGCATTTTTATGATACAATCGGCGCACGATCGCTGCTGCATTTCTTATATTTTCGCTGTTTTTGCTGTTTTTTTTTTGTTTTGATTAGAACACATGTCCGTCTACGGTCATCAAATATTCACAGCGCCGCGTTTCACATGACGGTAATTGCACCGGACTAGGAGAAACGCTTCTGAAACTTAAAACTCCTACGGTATCGACTACGGTAAATTCTACGGGACACCCTGAATTCTATGTACAAGAGTAAGAAAAGCAAAGAAAGGAGAGAAACGTGGAAGGGAAAAGGTGGAGGCTTCAGCCGAGACAGCCTCGGACTTCCTTGAAAGGTTTGTCGTCGGATGACGTCAGCCTTCTCGACCACGAAACGTTCGCCAACACGTGTGTGTGTGTGTATGTGTGTAGATACATCTGTCGCGCTCGCGTGCATACGTGTGCGCCGTGTTTTTGAACATAAAAAGAAGCAAAATGGACCGCGAGAAGAAGTGCCGCAGGTAGGTAATCGGACAACGAACCTTTTATACGCGCGCGTTCTCTTCTTCCTATTTTTTCTTACTCTGTAATTGCGTCGATTGCGTCGCGCGATTTTTTCCTCGTGTTTTTGTTTTCTATTTGTTTGATTTTTTTTTCCAAATAACATAACATTGGCAATTAAAAAATATCAAGTCGAAGAATTTTCAGACCGAAAGATTTGACCAGTTTTTAGTGTCTTTTAAAACCTTATGATAATTGCTTCGCACGACACTTGTTCTTCGAGTCAGTTATACACCGACGTGTATAAAATAGGAAAGTGCAAAGATGCGAGTGTCTTGTACGCTCTTCGCGTAGGGCTCGCGCTTTTACGTTTGCACTATTAGACACACCTGACTCCTCGTCAGTCATGGGAACCTGCCACGGGTGCCCTTTCGGGAAGCGCTCCGTCTGTGTCAGACGGCAGATGTCCATTGTCCTTGTGAAACGAGGGACAACAGCCATCGCCCTCATTACTTCATCGATTAAACCGCACGGTTCTATGTAATAACGTATATAGTTCTGCAGTTTTTTTCGCCCTAACAGCGATAACGACCGTAAAATCCGCATCTCGACGGTTTGTTGGAAACCGTCGTTGCGAAAACCGTAAAACGTGATGATTCGACGAATCGATCGAAAGAAACAAAATTGGTGCCAAGCGTCGCGAACATAAAATACGGCAAATATCTCGGTCGCTCTCGAACGACTCTGGCTTCTCTCTTTTCGCGACTCCTCCTTAATTCAAGTATCCCTCCCATAATTTTTTACTCTTCATCGAACGGCGTCACGTAGAAAGTAAAACTATCGGCTTCAAAGCTTCGTGTCCTCGAACACGCCAGTGTTTCTGACATACATTTGCCACACGAATAACGCTGGCGGGTTGTTTCTTTCTTTTTGAGAACTTGCGACATTTTTGAAAAATATGTTTGTGAAAGTTTGAGCAGTGCTCGACAATTTTTAATTATTTGTTTGTCTCGTTGTGCGTTTTTAATCAACAAAGTTTATAGACAGTGTTTTTTTTTTTTTTAATATATATCAAACGTACTGTTTTACATGTTCTTTGTTTCTTCAAAATTCGTTGCAAGTTCACAAACGAGAAACAAAAATTTTGTTCGGAGAGAAAAACATCGGGACACAAAGTTCAACCTGCGAAGCATGAAAATGATGATATATCAATTATACGCAAGTGTAGGTAATTGCGAGTGTGCCGCATGGAAGGAAATGTGTGCACCTGCGTGTCCTTGCGTTTTAATACGCGAAGGGTCGAAGGTTAGTTTAAAAAAAAGCACCGTTTTAATTTTCGTACAATGTTATAAGATAAAAAAAAATACATATATATGTTTTACATATGTGTAATAAAATCCTTGTGTGTGTGCGTGTGTGTAAATATGTATCTGCATCAATCAATTTCGCATGTTTTGGCTGCCCGCCCCGTAAAGAATTAAAAGGGGCGTGTTTAATCTCACACACAGAATAAAGCGGGCGCACTGCATAACTGTAATGCATCTCGCTTACGAGATCTTATATACCGTTATCTTGAAATAGGCAAGTTCGCGGCCACATTCGTATCTCGCTGTGCGCATATATGTGTGTGTGTGTGTGTATGTGTCTGTCTGTCTGTCTGTGTGCGACAGTGAATTATGATATTTATACTATTAAACTATCAATGTGCGATCGAAGGAAATGAGTTGACCCGCAACGATACGTTGAAAAGCTTCACCGCGAATTATTCGCTAGCGTCAGTTATTCTGGCGAAATAATTATATATAAATTTTACAATATCGGAATGTGTGGTTATCACACTGATGTATATACACGTTATTTACGATTCAAAGAGCGTTTATCGCTTGAACGCGCTGTATTTGAAGAAAAAACAGCGATATGTAATACATCGCGTGTGCAATGCGCGAGTGCGTGACGGCGTAACGTGTATATGTAATGTTAATATATAATGAGATTTATATTTCACATGTGTACTTTCGCAAGTATATGTATGTACATACATATATGTACTTGATACGGATATTCAAGGTGTTGCCGCTTCTTGGTCGCGGATCACCGCACAACGAAAGGGTTAACGTTATTCCAGCATTCGCATCAACTGGTGTGTACGAAACACAAAATGCATAATGACGTGTCGCTAACCTGACCTGGAATATGTGAACCTTGGCACAATTAAATTGCAAATAGAATTAAATAAAAGAAAAATGCGCGATTTCCATCCGTTCTATCTGCACGGAAAAAGAAGTTTTTTTTTTTTAGAACAGCTAGAAATATTAGTTGTACTGTATGGTCAGCGAGAAAAATTTGCTTAACCTATTGAGACTTTTGTTGTGACAAAAAAAACCAACAAACATTTTCTGGTGATGAGACAAAAAATTCAGTAGACTCGACAATTTTTCTCGCCGGTCATGTGATAGCAAAACTTATTTTTTCGTGTATAAAAGTATACACATGTATATTTATATGCACAAATGTGTGTGTGTGTGTGTGTGTGTGTGTGTGTGTTCTTAAATCTCACGAACTCATGTTCGAACGATCGTTCTCGTACACTATGACGCAATGTCGAAGCGATCTATATTAACATTCTTGTTACGTGTGTAGCCATCAATCACTTTCTACATAAATGCTTTTGTTAATCTGGTGAGTAATTACCGAAACTTCATAAGCGAGATTTAATGCGAAGGTCTACGATCGAACGCTTAATTATTTTTATTCTTGGAACGGATGTAACTTGAAGCAATTAAGGCTTGTATTTTAATGATATCCATCGAACATTGGAATTTAAAGCAACATCAAATGGCAACCTTCAGAATGTTCCGTTACACACCAACATAAGCTACATAAAATAAAGAAAGCGCGGTAGTTAAACTTCTTAGAGATCTCTTTGCTTCGCATTTGCACGCACCAAGAGTAATTTGCAGTCCGACTGTATACGTACACAGAAACGATCGCGAAGATAACAGAGAATTGCTCCGTAAAAGTGCGTTATGTAGCAACGAGTGGAACGAATTGTGTTTATGTGACATTTGTCAATGTCCTCTGAAGAGGTAAGTAACATGTTGATATCTAATAGGTACGAGAGAATCTAGAAATGTAAACCAAAAAAGAAACAAGAGAAAACAGATGATTCAACATTTTGCGGCAAGTATCTCTAAGAAGTACTTGATGAATTTTGTTAAAAAATCTCGATTCACAGTTTTCACTGTGATATCACTAATATAAATATATAATATATAATTAATACAATATAACGTAATAACATATATAAAAAATAAACTTTGGAGAAAATAAGTTTTTTTTTTTTCATTTTATTATGCGACATTATACATTATGCAAATGGAAAAGAAGATATTGAAAATACTTTAGAGATACTAAAAAAAACTTTTATACACGTACAATTTTTGTCAGCAAACAGAAAACGAGAAATCGTGAACACTAAAAAAAAGACTTGCCTTAAAGGACGTTATTGCTCCACGACTGTGCGAACATATTCTTGGTTCGAAGCGGCGCGTTATCCGCACGATTCTCCGATCTAATTTTTGTGATTGTGACGCGCGTCCGTGAGCGCAAAAACGCGCCGCGATAAATAAAAAACCGGTCGACAGGCGCTACCACTGTAAGACTGTTCGTATTGCACGGTCTGTTTCGGAGGCAATCCGAGGCAATCTGAGGAACGACGCACCGATATCTGCCACTGATCCCACTGATCGACGAGAGGGAAGAAGCCCCGCTCTCACTCCGCCCGTGTGAACACTCACCGGCAGGACTCGCTCGAAACTGCCGGCATCACAACCGCACCGATTATACCTGTGGCGCTACCTGCACGGAAATACAACATCCCTTTACCCCACCCAATTCTCCATATCTTGTTTTTCTTTTTTTTGTTTTTGTTTTTTTTTTTAAGAAATCTTTAACAGTACTCGAACAATGGCAATGCGATGATGATGATGTCGGTAATACAATTACATTATTTTCTCGAATTATTTCCAAGCTCCGGTAACTTTACGTACAAGCTTATTGTGACAAAGGTGATAACAGTTCTATGCAGCGACGTGTCTTCTGGAACTAAAATCTGCTCGTTGTGAGCGCGAAATTTTTTTTATGCGAGAGAGTTTTGTCACACGCTACCCAATGTCTACCGAACATCGCGTGGTCGAAGTAAAAAAGCGTCGCGCACCAACGCTATTTTCAATAAAATTATCGCGTATCGTCTGACTCCGTGTAATGAAGTCGGGCAAGTGTGAGAAGAACCTGCGGGGAGAAACAGGTTCTAGATTCATTCACATCTCTCGCCAAGGTCTTAAGTCGAGCAAAAAGCACTCTCTCTCTATGCGAATCCTACACCATAGACTCATCTCGCGATTCGCCGCGACTACTGGCAGAAAACGCGCACATGAAAACGTATTCGGGCGGACAGAAAAGGGATTGTTGTCGTCAGGTGGCGATACAACCGGCTGTAAAAAAAAAATCGTTTTATTTTATTATTACAGAAAAAAAGCTCGGCGATACAGATCAAATGTTCTGTACATTTGCGCGTTATCAAGAAGTTCTAATCTAACATGTGGGTTGCGTGGGCCGCGTGGTGGGCCCGAAACATTGACGTTTAAGGAACACTTCGACGTATAACCCACGCTTTTCTAACTAATCTTGCACACGTGATCAGACGGGCGATAAATTAATACCGGAAGCATACGTAGCCCCACTGCGCGTAACTTAATCGCGCACGCATACAATATGGAGCGTTAATTTTTTTTTTTTGACACAGTCGAAACTAGAACCGATCTCTTGCCGACCCACGAAGCCAATTTGGAAATTTTCTCATTCTCGTGAATTGTGAAAATCGAAATTTTCTACTTCCGGTCGATTTGTCAATCGACACGCAAATGTCGCGAATACAACTCTCCTCCACCGGAAAAGCGTATGCGTGCGTATCGAATCCTACGAACAATTCTCTCTCGCGCGTAATCTCAACAATAGTCCGTAGTCGGGACTCAGTCGGGATGGTCCGTATCTCGGGTTGGCCGCGTCGCATCGTGGGCTACCATCTTGAATAAATTCAAATCGATTAAAAAAAAAAAAAAAAAAAATCCACGCCGACGTTGACGCCGACTTATTTAGCAACCACGGCAAACACTGGTGGGCAATGTAGAACCAGTATCTATAAAGCGGCCGCTCTCCTGCTGTAATATCTAGCAGCAATCGTTACGTCCTGCTGTTACAATCGTGCGGCTGTTGTTCTCATCGGCTCAATCACGAAGCTAATTAAACCGTATACCGTCGCGCGGCGCAATTAAAGAAAACGAGCGGCTCTCTCTCTTTGCGAGAGACGCAAACAAACTGCGACTAATGACGTTGATTGTTCACAAAAACGATTATGTCCGCTCGATAACTATTTGTATATTTTTCTCTCGAACAAAACAGTATCTTAACGACCGCGCTTCTTATCAGTAAATAAAACGAAACTTATGTACACACTGTTAATATACACGTGTAACAACATCGAGTTATCATCGTGCGCGCCATCGTTTACGATCGAATCTAAAGAGGATATACAATCCGCGTATCGTGGCATTTGCATCGATTACCGGCCGTTTCATTACAGGCCGTTTTTCCGAGTGCTCGACTGAACGATTGCTTCAAGGAATAACTGTAACGGACTTTTGTTAACCCTTGACTGTGGGCCGGTCCCTAACGAACTTCCATTCGCTCTCGACGATGCCCCACACTGGTAGTCATTTTACGGGCCAGTGACTCCTCAAATTATTCCGCAGCGCCGACGACGACGATCTCGACGGCGCGGCGCGACCACCGATGGTGCGCCTGTGTAAATAACCGATTAACGGATAAATCCGATACGCCAGACGAGAGTTCCGCGCTTTGTGTGTTTCATATTCCCTCCCCCTGTATAAATACGTAGATATATAATTCTACGTTATATGTGCGCGGACATTAGGTGTTGCGCGCGATGATGAGAAATTAATCTCTGTATAAATTTTACTTGTATCCTGTATCTTTGAATCTAACATTTTGTTTAATCTGTCACAGGGACACTTGTAAGTAATTAAAGCGCGGGAAGTCGATGCGCGAACACGTGTATGACATGTGTCCGCGTAAAATTGGAAGCTTCACTTCACGACGGCACGTGCCGCGTTTCTTCGAGGGAGAGCACCTCCTTCGAGGTGCATTCAGGGTGCCCTCGCAGGGAAGTGAGTTCACCTAACCGTGAAAATTTCCTGACAGGGGGAGAGAGAATAGGCTTTACATTGTTGTTGGCGCAACATCATATCGGCGGCGTTTGCTCCTCCTCCACACAAAGTACACACGGAGAATAAACGGTTCATGTTATAAAACAAAAAAACAAAAAAAACTCGATTGTATATACGATGTATGGTAGAATGAGAGACTTTGACAGCTTGCGGTGTATGAGTTTTTCGCTACGCGTAACCGACGGATGCTAGCCCGGGTCTGTACATATGTACACGCGGATATGGATGTCTACGCGCTCCGATCTCTCGCTCTAATGGTTCCACCTGGATACGCGTGTCCGTGGGTGGTCCGTCATGCGCTTGAGAAGTTACGCCAGGTGTAGATTGAAGAAGAAAAAAAAAAAGAAAGAAAGGGAAATGTACCGAGTTCATTTCTTTAGCGCCTGGTGGCAATATATCGGGAGTGCGAAGCTCTCATCCGGCTCGCACAAGAGGAGGTGGTTGGTTTCAACACGCACATCTCATATTATTCCCGCGCACATGTGTTTTCTTGCAAATTAATTTTTTTTTCTCCCCCCCGATAACAGAGTAGACCCGGAGGAATTTTTTCTTCCTCTTTCTCTCTCTCTCTCTCTCTTTCTCTCTCTTTTCCAAGGTAACGCGCGTTTCGAAAGACGGAGAATATCATTTTTCGCAGGATTAAACCAAACCAAAAGAGCAGAGGAGGAATTGATTGGCAGGCGCATTGAACACATGGGAGTGGGCAGAAGTGGCAAGAACAATCCTCTGCGTTCGCAGTAAATTTGATTGTTCAGAGGCAGAACACCGGCCCACGCTGTCCGGCCCGGTGAGTTCGCTACGGGGAAACACGCCGCATTCTTATCTCGTTCGAGAAACCGGCGTAGCCGCGTGTGCACACAGAGACGGCGTCGCGTATACGTAGAGGCTAGTTGTCTCCTCTAATAATACAATAACGATGGAAGGCGTCGCTCACGGGCAAGTCCGCCTATAGTGCAGTTGCTCAGGTACGTATCTATCGGCACGTCGCGCCGATAAAATATCGCGCTTACGCCGTTTTCCTCGTGTGAAATACCATATCTCTCTCTCCGTAGGATATCGCTTCCGGGTCTCTCTCTCTCTCTCTCTTCTCGATATGACGTTTCCAACTGCGCTGACCCGTAAACACCGCGCTCGTGACGTCATATGTTCCGTGGAAATTGTACAAAGTTATGCGAACTACGATGTGTGTATATATATTCATCTTCAATTAATTCTGAATCCTGATATCTCTTCTACGTTACAATTCCTTTGTGTTGTTACAGGATTATCGGCAACACATTTTTACGAGATGCGAACAAACGCGCATCACATTTTAACAAACGCTCCGAAACACGATCCGATGTTCATTTCCTTTTCCCAATCGGTTCGATTTTTATTCCTCGCTTGTTATCTGCATGGAATACAGTAAGATGCACTTAACTCTTTTTTTCTTAGAAAGGAATCCGTCCACGCCTCGGAATTGAGAGAAATATAGGAGTAGGAGAAACAAGTTGCAATTCCCACGCTGCACCCGCTCGGGATGCTACAAGAACTTTCGCTATCTAACCTTATAGAAGAGCCGGTGCATTGCGAAATGCACGTAATGGTACACGACCGTGGGTATTTTTGTTTGGGCGGCTTGAAATCTCTCGGCGCTTTGAGTCGAGAGTATGGATTCGCGAGCGAGCGCAGTGTAGTGATAAAGCGATAGAATATCGTAAACAAACATACGCAGATCATTGTAGTTATTAAATATTAGAAAGTCAAATTAACTAATATTCTGTCGATAAATTAATTATTTTGCTCAACGAGTTGACCGAAAGCAAAAATTTGATATTTTTCCGAATACCGAAAGTAATATGTAACACAAATATGATGCGCAACAAAAATTTTATAAAATAAAAAAGCAATTTGTCTTGCATTAATTTATGTTGTTACATATACATATGATCGATTATTTTATTAAATTCTCTTCAGCATTTAAATTCCCGTTCACGCGGATAAAGAGAGAGAGAGACTCCATCATCTTTTATACACAGCCTTCACGTACGTACTTCATAATGTCACAGTTTTTCACGGTGCACCATGATGCACCTGCACGTTTGCGCTTCTGCGCATCTAACACCTGTTTTCACCTTGACATCTGACGGAGTCTTCTGGCACTCGCTTGTCCGTAAGGATTCGCGAGTACATTGCTTATCCGCGCGACGCGCAGTCGATGTCGACCTACGATCGATGATGCGCGATCTCGTTTTTTTGAATCGATATTTTGTGTATCTCGTCATCTCGCAAAAAGATGTCGAACGCGAATTAGTTCTTATATATATATATCAGGTGTTGTATTTTTTCATTAAAGTTTTTGGTGTTACGGTGCCAAAAGTTTACACAGATCGTGTTTAAACATCAAATAGGTTTTTTTTTTTTAATAAAAAGAAAAGTAACGTCGTTTTTATTTCACAGAGGAATATCAATGTAAGTATTCAAAATAGCAATATGTAACTGCTCTCGACAAATATAGAGCTACATTTTGTGTGGTTGCGTAATTGTGTTGAGAAGTATTAAGAGATCGATAATATTATCCTATTACATTTCATTGCTTATTGAAAGATAAACAACATAATGAGAACAATAAATGATAAGCTTTTCCTTCACCTTTCCACAAACCTCCTTTCAACGAACTCCTAAATCTACTTGTGCAGAATCTAAAAAGAGATAAATTAGTAATATTGCATTCACATTACACGAACCAAGATCTATTTAGCTATAATATAATTCGTAGAAATATATATTATCTCTACGAAGTATATTATAGCTAAATAGAAATACTGATGATTTTGAGATTAATCGGTCAGTGTATAAAATAATTTCTTACCACCAACGCATTTCCTTATCCTTACTGAGCCGTTACGTTGATCTGAGTTTTGTAACACTTCACATCGCACCTATAGCGTAAAACAGGACTCCCGCATACGGAGCAATCGGGCTTGATTAAAAAAAAAAAAAAAAAAACGTTAGAATCGTCGTAATTACGCGTTGCCTCGATTAAATATATATAGAATATTTTCGAATAACTTAACACGCGCTAATATGTACCTGTACGCTTTCAATGCCGCCCTGATAAATGCAAAGCCACTGATTGTACGCGCATCCACCCGCGGCTCCGAATCCCACCCCGTACGTAATTTGCGGAACCAGCGAAATTTGAGGTATTATTGGAATCGATGGGAACCGAGGTGCTGCAGCAAATTTCTGCACGTGAGTTCTCAAAATCTCATTTTTAAAATGTCTGCTTTTTTGCGCAGTATAGAATATTAAAGTTATTTTTATGTATATAATTGGAGATATGAAACTTGGAAAAGGTGAGAAGGTGACTTTTTGACTCACTTGGTGTAGTTGTTGTTTTATTATCTCCATTACCATTTCCTCCATTACCATTTCCTCCATTACCATTTCCTCCATTACCATTTACTCCTTTACCATTTGGACGAGAAGCATTAATATAATTATGAATGTTGATGTTTGTTGTTATGTTAGTTGTTTTTAAGTCTTTATCGAGCGGACCGCATTTTCCCGATACGCATTCCGTTTCGTATTCCGTGATGATCTGGTGTCTGTGTTTAGTCCTTTTCGTGCAGTGGCTACAGTTTTTCTCACAATCGCGATCCAAGAAGTCACACCTCTGTAGACACGTTTCCATACAATGCCTGACATCTGCGGAAGTTTATGTATCAAATTTTCTTACGTGTAACTCGAACTAAACTTTTGTTGCGCAACAATTTGCAATTAACGATCAATCGCGCAACTGCATCTGTTACGTTAGTTGAAGATCAACTAGTTTTAATTTATACACGCCGATGTGTCATTTTTTTTTTTAATCGATCGTGTGACAGCTGCAGTTGCGTAATAGTGTTATTCAAGCAAAACTGTTTTTCTTCCCGAGCGACATGCAAATTTCCGTATTTATTTCGATTGTTTTGTTAGAACGACAGATAATGAGATCTACCAGTATCCGACGCCTCGTCTCCGTGGCCGTTATGATGATGCCGCTTCGGTCTCATCAAACACTTGACATATGTTTTGTAGTCCGGATTCCGGCATTCATCGTACACTTTCTGCTCGTCTTCAGTGATCTTTTCTTTATCGATCGGTTTGTTCTCCAGCGCGTTATCGTGCGCTAATGTCGTGTCAAGTTGCACACTTAAAAGACACACGACGAACAAGTGCGTAAGTTCCATAGCGCGAGATTTCCCAACGAAGTAATCGGGCGGTATGAGCAACGCAACCCTTTATACCTTAAGCCGCTTACCGGGGCAAACCGGGGGTTAATGACCACTCGGGTGTTTGCACTGTCAAAGTCTTAAAAGTGTTTGCACCGCGTGCGCTCTCGTAAAGATACGTCGTCGCATGTTAGCTGATATATTAACGTGTAAATTGTTATCTGCCTCTTGGTTAACGAAAAAAAGTGCAACGTTTAAATTTGCACTGCTTATCGCGCGCATCGGACACTACGCGTCGCATCCGCCATGGATCTTATTCGAAACTCGCAGTCGACACGTCGTGCACTTGTACGCTTGTATGATGTAACGAAGGTAGGAATTAAAACAATATTAACGTAGTTTTACGTTGAGTTTTTATCAGATGTTTGCGATACAATTATATAAATCGCAAAAATAGATATATGGTTGACAAAAAACATGAACCATACAAAAAAAAAAAAAAAAAAAATACAAATTAAAATACAAAACTTATATTTTACATTTTGAGGAAATAAACATGTCATGTTATCCGTTCGGTCACGTCGTTCGTTAAGAACGTTTTGAAGTCCGCCATTCCTGCAGCTTTCTTCCCTGGAATGTGCAAACTGCGAACGCGTTATCTCGTTTGTTCCGCAAACACAATTTATTCAAAACGTGCCATTATCGCATCCTGCAAGTGTGTACTACCGAGTGAAATTGTATTTTTTATGCGCACAGGAAGAAATTACCTCGGTTCTCTAGTTGGAATATCATATATATATAATCGGAATCAGCGCTTCGCGATGAAACATCGCGCTCTCACAGACGAGCGAGAAAAAACAATTTCGAGAAACTGCATTTTACAATTTCTTTTCCATTTTCGATGGGGTCAGCAACCTCATCGCTCTTATCACGATCTAGTAGAGATAGATCGAGATGTGTGTTATCGCTTTCTTTATTTGCGCCACTCGCCGATAGCAAAGTTGAGAGCAAATAATATCCTTTAAGAATTCTTTTTTTTCTGTATTCGATCAAACTGCTATTTGAGTAACCTGATTGTAGCTGAAAATCGTATTAATCGATCCGACGTCCCGAGATATTCGGTTTTTTCCTTACCGCGGTCTGGTCTATTACAGTTATTCGCTGATATTCAAGGCAGTCACACATCGCCGGTCGCTTTAATGGGTCAAACAATTACAAAATCTTTCACGCGCTCGCGTCCGCGCGCGCGATTTATAAGGTCTCTTCCGGTCATCATGGAAGTCTCCATTCAAGGGTGAGGTACCGCTAACGGGCTACGCGTATGCATAGAGAGCCGAAAGGGATCCGTCACCAAAGGATGGCCTTAAAGTACGGACTGGCCTGGTCGCGATCTCCGACACATGAAAATTCTTAGACAACATCCGATGAATGACGTCTTTTAAATACGGCGTTCGTAAATTTCGAGGTCACGAGACTTGTTAAGATAAAGTACGACTTATGAACATTTTGCAGATATTCCACTCGACTGCTGTGCTACCAGAAACGAAATAAATGAATCGATGTGGACTTTCTAAACGCCCTGTATAAGAACGACTTCCAGATGGTAGTAGGGGGGACCACCGGTCTCGCTCTCTCTCGCGCGCGTGTGAATGCTTCGTCCGTGCGCTCGGACGTGCACAATGGCCGCCATGAGCCGCCGACGTGCCGCGCGCCTCAAGTATCAACCGTCCTCAATTTTGTCGTTTTAATTTATTGGCCGAGAAGCGCCCACGAAAAAAAAAGATGCACAATGCCCGGCCGCGGCATTCGGTCCGTGTCAACGCGGCGGCAAGTTACGACAACGAACAACGTTCCGACGGATCATCATCATCATCATCATCGCTTATGCCGTTGATGCACCTCCGCGAAGAAAACACAGTGGCTGTCAGCACGCGACCGATCGTGCGTCACGATTGTATCACGTCGTCGCAACGCATTTGCTGAACTCGTTGCAGGAGACTTGAGCGACAGTCCGAGTGAACATTTTACGGTGCCGATTATGTGCTACTTTGATCTTTTGATGTGCATAGTGTGACGTATTCCGCGTTAGACCAGGTGCAGATGTTATGTATCCTGCGTATGTTACTCGCTCGAGAGAAAGGTAACTCCGACCCTTCCGTAATAATATTTCTTTTTATCACTTTTAAAATATAGTTCTTCTGCGATATCGCAACTTAACTTAAGAAGAAATCTCGTTGCGCAGATATTGAATCTAAAAATCTGACAATTCGCGATGTATATTTCAAAAAGAAAAGCTATTCCCCCTGTTTCTTCTGGGAGACGCGATATTTTTGAAGATATTAAACTGTGGTTTTTTTGTGAACTAAAAAAATCGAAAATTTATAGCGACATGATGTGTAAAATTGATTGTGAAAAAGATTCCAAAGCTGCAATATAGAAAAGCTCTACACGCGCACCATTCATTTAACCTCCTCCTACGCGTAGACAATTTGCCCAATTTAACTAGATTAACCACTCTGACCACCATGGTACTCTAGTTGCACTTTCGTTAGTTTTTTTTTTTTTTTTTTTTTTATCTTTTTTATCGTTTAGAAATAACAAACTTATCGATGTCTCATCATCTAATAACACGATATTTTCCGTCACGGAAAAAGTGAAATCATCATATTATGCACATTATACGCTTTTTCTCGTGCGGTTAGTCTAGAAGATTGTTCCGATAGATAAGCTCTACTTACGTCGTTGCAAAAGAATGTGCAGTAGACTGTTAACTTCTTCTTCGTGCGTATGTGAGTGCAAGTTTTGAATCTCTCACACATTTTTACCTTTAGAGCCCAGACATTTTTCTTGGAAATCTTGAATATTTTATACCCAAAACTTGTATAACATATATATATATATATATATATATAAATCTTATATAAAGTTATCGTGCAGAGATTCAGAGCCAGTGGCTACACGCCGGCCCTCAAAGAAAGAGAAAGAGAGAAACAACTGAAAGTTGTTTAATATAAAAAAATAGTGTATTTATAAAGTGTAATTATAAAAGTTTTTGAAATCGCCGATTACAAGGTCAGATCATTTTTTTCAATTTTAATGATTGGACCAGTATCGCCAATCACAGACATCTACGAAAATATACGAAACTTTTCTTTATAGCGTTAGAGTCAACAACGTGGAAAGTTTTCGTAGTTTTTTTCTTGTTTTAATTTTTTTATTCTTTTCAACTATAAAATACGACGTGTTGCAAAATTTGCGAACGGAAAGAAAATTGTTCGACGTGCTGCGTATTCATATACACATATATATTTCAAATATACATGTGTGAAAAGGTATGTATATACAATAATATGTACATATATATGCATATATATACACATATTATTCGAAAGATAATCAAATAGTTGTGGTTAAGCCATTGACAATGACTTCTCCGGTTTCTTCTAAAGGTTTAAAACTTTTGTAGTCGCGATAACACACACGTAGTCTCATGCTTTATTTTGCAAAATAAACCGGCTTTGTTTAAAAAGCCATGTTTGTTTAAAAACAAAAAAAACTTTACACGCAACGATTTACAAGACGAATACTACACGCTTGAAATTAAGCGCTTATGCTTGCGTTTACGGCGCTTCGAATTATTCGACCGTTGAGATAACGCTTTCATTTTTTTCGTGGGGAAATCATGTTGCTCAAGTGGGAGGAAAAGCGCGTTGCAAGTTGAGAAAGTCACAAAGTTTTGTGCAATAAAACCACATTCAATCCACAACTGAAACACCAGTAATTCGAAGAGAACGCGTAACGACTAGACGTATGAGAGAGAACGTTTCAACTCGTACTAAGTTTACTATGACAACTCGCTAAGAATAGACACTAGTCGCTATAACAAAAACTACTAATTAACTACTAATATCCATTAAAATAGTGTTAAACATGAATTTTCCCTGAAGTCGAGGTATTTCCGCTAATTTGCGCTTCAGGCAGTTTTATAAAAACATTAAAAAAATCATTGTATTGAGGAATTTCTTATTTTAGAAAACAATCTGAGAAATATAATATATGCTGGTGTTGTGGCGTGTGGTGTTTCGTGTTTGGTGTTCGAAAAGCAGATGTCCTAATGTATTTATGATACGACCGCTTCGAGGAAGAAACGATGGCAACGGAGGTAGAGGAAACACCTCCGCCTCCACCAACCGGATCTCCCTGGTACGGCAAGGTTTTCGAGTGCTGGAAAAGCCGGAATCAAGTTGGCCCAGCTAGAATCGAGCTGCCCGACTGCGAGTTCTTTATCGTGGCACCGCGACGTACGCTGCGCGTTCTCAAACCGTCCCTGAAGAGCGGCTGGTATTACGAAAGCACGACGGTCGACCGGCCGGAATCGATCAACGACAACTTCTTCAATCGGTGGACCAGAAGACCGCATCCGTCCGGAAATTGCAGATGCTCCTTCCGTCAATCGATCGGCGCGCTGAGCGCCACCGAGGAGCGAATCATATCCGCGGAATTGAATCGCATACGAACGAGTCTCTGCGAGGCCGAGAAAAATGCGTGCGACATCGAAGAATTGGAGCAAACGGTTTCGGAGAATCTACAAAAATTGCAGGACTCCACAGCGGATGATCGTGGCGAGATCAATTGCCAGCCGCTCGAACAAAGTACAAAGCAACAAATCGTCAAGGATCTGGAAAGGTAAGTCTGTAGACGTAAACAGGAAACGATGGTGGATAAAAATAAAAGAAAAAAAACTTCGAGGAATTTTATTTGATCGTAATTGCGTCAGGTACATCAACACGCTACTGGATGAAGTACTTGAAGACACCGTTAAGGATATAACTGATGTAGATAAGAATGATGTTCAACGTTCAGAAGTCACTTGGCAACGAACAAAAACTGATATGAAGAAACCACAGCCCGATGAATCCAGAAGTGCGATCGCGAACGACAGAGACGATTCTTTTGTCGACACCTGTTCCCGTCTTCCGGTCGATAAAACAACACAGGACCAATGGAATGTAGACAACGAATGTAAAAAGCAATTCACCAACGTTTCGATAGGAGAGGGTTATGTGAATCCCGCTTTCGTCGGTTCCACAGACGAACTAACATCTCTTAGCTTCAATCGATCCGCCGGAAAACACAGTAAGTGTCATTGAAGTAGTTTTCTTTGGGCTTTATTTTTGTACAACACACAATTTTTCACTTTCAATTTTTGTATCTTCTTTTTTTTTTTTTGTGAAACAGCTAATTTGTATCTCGGAATACCGACAAATACGGAGAGCATAGCGCCGGAACAATTGGATTGCGTGGATTCCGGAATAAACAGCGTGGAGACAATCGAGTTTCAACCTCCTGATCAAGAACCAAGTTTCGAGCAGTCTCTTTTGCGTATAATCGACGAAAAATTGGGAAGAAACTCTTCGACGAGTAACTTGGAGGAGGATAGTTCCGAGAAACAGTCGCGAAAAACTGTTTTGGAAAAAGAAGAATATGAAATCAATTCGAATGAGTTTGCAGAAACTCCAGTCGAGTTCGAGACATCTAAGACGTTCGGTGCTGACTCACGGAAAATCGAACGATTGGAAGATATTGTCAAAGCAGATAACTTCGAGAAACTACGTTTGGAATTTCAGACCAACGGCACAGACTCGTTCCCAAACGGCGGAATTTTATCGAAGATCGGCGCTAAAGTCGGTTCTAAGGCCAATGAAAAATTAAAAGAATCTCCTCCTATCGAACTCAAAGATTACAGAAAAGAGTTCGATCGAATCTCCTCGCAAGAGAACACGCGACGAAGTCTTCGCGACTCTTCGGTGATTCTTCGAAGAAACAGAAAACCAACCATAGTGTTCCTACATGGATTCGGTTCCTCGGCGGAAATCTTTGAGCATCAGCTGCGATATTTCTCCTCCCTCGGTTATCCGTGCATCGCTCCGGACATGCTCGGCCACGGTATGAGCTCGGCGCCACGTAGATCCAAAGACTATCATTTCGGCAAACTGCTCAAGGATCTGGATGCTGTTTTACATCATTACGCTTTTAAACCCGGAGAAAAATGCATTTTGGTGGCACACAATTACGGGTGAGTCATTATTATTATTATTATTATTATCGAAGATTTTGTCGCGAAATGTTCTTTCTTCCGTGTAAATAAAATTGTTTTCTCGTTCACTTCTTAGTGATTAATTTTTAATAAACATCTACTTAGACAATATTCGATAAAACTGATAAATATCCGCTGTGATATCAATATTTAAATATTTGAGTTATATCGATCTAGATATTGGATTCTTTTGAGTAAATAATAAATATTTGAATATTAGATACCGCTTTCTCGCCTATAAGTTTATCTGATACCTGAATAGTTCACCCAGAAGATAATATTTGCAAATTATATAGAAGATATTCCCGAATATATGTACTCTGTATATAGATTATAAAATCCCTCACGTCACATGCGCGACAGCAACTGTACAAATTCTTTCCAGATGCAGCTTCGCTACCGCGCTGGCTGGCAAATATGACAACAACATTCATCAGCTTGTATTAATATCGGGCGGTGGCCCGACTCCTCTGGCCCCGCCGAGCGCAGAATGCGCGGGACATTGCTGTCTCAGGGCGATTCTCGCACCCTTTTTGATGTGCGGATGTCTTCACCGGGATATTCTATATTCCGCGCGAGGTCGACAGCATCCCTACTGCGGTCAGGAATCGATGGAGCAATGGCCCTCGCACATGAAATACGTAATGGAAGGCATGATATGGCCTCAGGGCGATTACGCTTTTCACAGAAAGATTTGCACGCCGACGCTTCTGGTGCACGGACTGAAGGACAATAAAGTGTCGTTGGTGCAGGAGTGTCAAATGGAAAGGGTGAGTTTTTTTCTTTACTTCGAAAAATACGTAAAGCTTTGTGCGTACGTTTTGCAGAATGATATAAATTAAATTTTCTTTTTTTTTTTTTCCAAATGTTTTCAGACAATGATGAAAGCGTTCCTTGAAGCTATACCAATGGCTAGTCATAGCCCAATGACCGAGTGCCCGCAACAGCTAAATCACATGATACATTGTTTCATCGATTTGTGGAAGAACAAGAAATGGCAACAGTGATATTACGTAATTCGAATCTAGAAATAATAGCCTGAACTGTTGTATCATACCGGAAGTGTATCAAATGAGTCGATCAACAGTGAATCAATTAGCTAAACGTAATATATCCAACTCAACGCTATATTTTAACTAAAAAACTCAAGTATTTTTTATGAATATTTTATCTAAAGGCTGCGGAACACAACGTGTTTTCTTGTAGATCGCATGCGAGAATCGACCGATTGTGAGTTGATAATCAACGAGTTGTCAAATTGCACGCGATGCTCGCGTGCGGTCTGAAAAATCGTGTATCGCGCGAAGGTGTTTTAGAAGACTTTTGATTCGATCGAACGATGAGATGAATTACACTCGTGCAGCCTCGTAAGAAATGTGTGTGCCAAGATTTGTATAGATAAATACAAAATCTCATATTTGCCTCGATCACTCCTTGAAATAACTTTGATAAAGTAATTTTTAGTATAAATATTTATATACTATTTTTTACATGACTCTATTTTAGAGACTTGTAGATTCACTTAGTCTAATTGAATCACTATATTCAATATAAATATCGTAAATGAACTATACGTAAACTCGTGTCATCCCGTTTAAATCGACAAATTTTTACTCGAAACAAGTTTTTCGTCCGCCACATAAAAGTTATTCAAAGTGATCCAGCAAATATTAAATATAGAGGCTATGGATAGGAAATGGACATAGACTTTTTAGCGTATAGATTTTACCAAAGATCATTTAAATATATATATATATATATATATCGTTATCTCGTATAGAGTATTTTTTTAATATAAATTATTTGTTTTAAAATAAAAAAAATGTGTGTATAGTTGATTATGTGCCGTTGCAATAATTGTTATTTAACCAAGCTTAANAAAAAAAAAAATCAGTCAATAGCATTAAATGTAATGCATTCGATATTATTATTGTTCTCATGATCAGCGATTCATTAACTTTTGATTATACGGATTTTCAGAAGATTTCATCCATTCTTTTCTAATTATTTGTTTCAATTGACTCAACCTCAGAGTGGGATTCTGTTCTTTAATTATTGGCATCATTTTCTCCTCAAAACTTGCGTACGCTGCTTTCATCCGTTTCTCCGGGTGTCGGTCAATATCGGGATCTTTTGTACTGCAAAAAAAAAAAACAAAGTATAAAATATAGGAAAAGAAATCTAAACCAGTACGTTAACATAACATCTGTTTTTCTATCAAAGGCTTTTGCTGTAATTTTGTTTTACATAAAAAACTTTAATAGAAAATATTGATATTTTACAGAAAACTGAAAATGTTTTAATAAAAATTACCTTAAAACAGATATGGCTTCATCTATACCGTGAGCCGTTTCACCTTCCAAAGTTAGTCTATTCAAGTTTTCCTCAATCGGTTTCTCGTCTTCTTTCTTCTTCATAGCCACCAGATTCCGTTTTTCCGTGATAGAAACAATTTCGGCTCTGGTAACTTTGGACGCTGGTTGTTTGCCACCGACTTTTATAGTTGCCATCTCTTTTTCAAGTAAAGCTTTTGCCTCGGCCTTTTTCTCCAGTTGCTGCAGACGTTTTTTCTCAAGTTCTTCCTGCGTAAGTATGTATATATTTATGAAATATACATTGAACTTTTTTTTGTTTTCAAACATTACCGTGTCTATCTTTGCGTAATTTCAAATCGGTTGAAAGTCACTTGATACGTACTTGTTTTTGTTTCTTTTTCAACAACTGTTTGTCGTTATCTTCCCAAGCCTTGTCTTCGGCTTCCATCGCTTTCTTCACAGTTTCGGCTTCTTTCGCTGCCGCTTTTCTCGCCCGAGCGGCAACAGCTTTACTGTTCTCACCCACAAATTTCTTCGGCATCTTGATCTACAACATCGTAAATATCGCATCGTTTTCTTTTATTCTTGCATATATAAGTTACGTTGCGTGTGGAATAATATCTCGTGCATTTATGTGTTTAATTAAAAATACCGGCAAGATATAGAATCTTGTATGTTTCCGAGAGTTGGCAACAGTTGAACATGCGCGATATTAAAGTGAGTAGACTGTTGAAACTCAGGTTAAAGATTACAAAAAATAATCGCGTTTACGAATCATAAAAGAACATATGCTTATTCCGTTTCGTAAGTAAACGATAAGCAACTCGGTCACACCGACGGCACATGATCGCGCGGTTTAAAACCAGCAGATGCGGATATTTAATCGTTACGCGTGAAATGTCGAAACAACGAACTGCGAAAAGCGAGAAGACACGAAAGGTGGCTACCACTACCAACGTAAGTGACCGCTTTATATCGTCGTACTTACCGATTTTTGTCGCCTAAAAGATACGCGATCACCTGTCGCGAAAATAATATAACATTTTCTCTATTATACACTTTATCACTTTTACTTTGCGCACACCATATCGACGAAGCGAGTAAAAGTGACCAGTCACGTGCGGCAACCTTTTCCAACTAAATCTCACTTTACCAGCAAGCGATGGGTTCTCGCACACACAGGGACGCGTCAGAGCGCAACGCGCGCGAATCACAAATGTGATCGAACGAAATATCGCGCTCAGATAAAATTTACAATCAACGTAACGTCAAAAAATATCACAATTGATTTTTTAACGTCCTCCTATTTACAGAATCAATCTGCAGGACCTGTGGTCTTAGATAAAAACGGGAATGTAGCGATAAAAATCCAGGCTAAACCCGGAGCAAAATGTAACAATATAACCGGTAATAAAAAATATTTACAAGTATAAGAAAAGAATTTTTTAAAGTTTTAAAAAAGTAGGAAAAAATGTTTTTTTTTTTTTTGACGAAAATACGACTGTTATTAAAGCAGCAAACATTCATAGATATATCTGACGAAGCAGTAGGAATTGCAATCTCAGCTCCACCAACGGAAGGTGAAGCCAACGCCGAACTCGTCAAATATTTAGCTTCGATTTTTGGCTTACGAAAATCCGATGTATCGTTGGACCGGGTACTTTATCTACAAGTTTACAAGTTTTTCTTAATTCCTATATATGTATGTACGTGAAGTAATTAACTTAATTTTGTTTATCTCTTGTTTTGCAGGGATCTCGAAGTCGGCAAAAAATAGTTGTGGTATCAGGAATTACAACAGATCAAGTTTTGGCGAAATTGAAAAGTGAAATGGAAAGTTGAAAAAGTTCTTTATTGTGTATAAAAAAAAAAAAAATGGTTTTTTGTTATCAAAGAGTTTCTCTTAATATTATATGTTATTCATACACTCTTAAAAATATACTTTATAATGTGTTTTACGTTATTTCTTTTTTTTGACACGTAATTATATAAAATATGTCAATTATTTTATACAATATTATACAATTTATACATGTGTTTTCTTTTATAAAGATCATCGACGCGATTAGCGCGCGCATTTTGTCATTATAGATATACATATTCATAAAATGTAACATACATTAAAATGTTTCATCACTTACATGTATAATTGCACCAAATCTGATATTTTTTTTCCCCAAAAATCGTCATCGATCCGATTGAAATTTTTGCACAAGAGTTTTGCTGTGACTAGCAATATCGGAATCGACGAAGATTTTTAGACGAGAGTGATTGCACGCACGTAGTGAGCACACACGGTATATAAATCTCAAAAAAGTAGCACCTGTTTGTTTATTAAGGTACTATTTATGATATATACGCAACATGTATAGAAATGCGCGTCAGTTCTTATTCCTGTATCTCGAAAGCTTTGTCGTCCAGCCAAGGTCGGAAAATCGGTAGCGTCGATGGATAATGAGCACCTCGTTTGGACGGCGCTGTACCAGCCGGAACGCCTTCCGGTCTCAACGGATACGTAGCCAATACGATTGGTATCTGCAGCTTGATTTCTTTGTCCAGACTCTTTGGGCTTATAACGAACTACGAAAAATATTTATTGCGTCGTCTCAAATCTTTTCAAGAACAACATCCTCGCAAAAGTTATCTGATCGAGTTATCGCGGCTTAGAAATAAAAATACCGTTTTCTTTTTCTATCACTTACATAAACGTGATAAAGAACGTTGATCAAGTGACACCCTCTCAGATTCGTCGGTGGCAATGGGGGAACGTACATTTGCTCGTTCAGCCATTCCTCCCCCTCACCAGGCCGAATTTTTCCCCTGGAGACACTAGCCAGCTCCCGAGTCTCGCTGGCGAGCACCTTACCCCGACACAAATACTGTATCGTCTCGGTGAGCGATGCTTTCGTCGATTTCATCGTCACCTGTTTAATTCGAGTTTTCAAAACTTTCACACTTTCTTTTGGCGCATCTCGTCGAAAACTGTTAAGAAAATTGATTATATCGCGCTTGTTAGGCGTGTTAATTGATATGTACCTTACTGCGATTGCTGACAGTCGCGGAAATACCGATTGTTTCCCCGGGAACGTATCCACCTCGGTCCAAGCTCACCCTGCAGAACACGGGACCGCCCGATACGCAAGAGACACCCACGCGCTGTTCGATCTCTTGTCTTGCGGGTTGCTGTTTATTAGCGAAAGTATTTTTATTCGTATGTGTGCAGAGAATTTCTTTTGAGCAATTTAAGTTAATTGAGACACACAAATTATAGCTCAACTTACAACAAGCTAATTGCGAACGCTAATGTGTTCGCTGCATACACGTTTAATATCGGTGATTATAAACAATGTCTGAGCGAATGATACGACTCGTGAATATATCAATCGCCCACATGGAAACATTCTTACGTGAATTTTTCTAGAAATGCAAATATAACATGGGCGGCACGCAGTCATTATAATGCAGGGAGTGCTCGCGCGTGTCGCAACTGCATCGCAAGTGCAATGAAACAACACGTTGTGTGGCGTCTTGTTTTATTATTCTTGAAAATTCAATTTTCCGTGCGCGTCGGATGTACGCGCGTATTTGTTTCAAAATCTTCGCCTCGCCGAGATGTTTGCAACGCTTTCCACTTTTGGGTCGATGACCAGTATTTAGGACTCGGTTATGGTAATGCACATCGGATATTCGTTTAATCGCGCGCGCGTGTTAGTGTATGTCACGAAACAGTTTCTTTAATCTTCTCGACATTATTACCTTTGGAATATAAATTTGCACTGTTTGATTGTGATCTCTCTGCTAATTACAGATCATTAGTGCGGCGATTAAACTTGAAAGCACGTAGCTCGACAAAATTGAAGCGTATTTTAAATGAAGTTAGCAAACGATAATTTTTTGTCGATTATCATTATAAAATGCTCACCGCCAATATCGGAGGCTCCAGGTTCAAGTCGATCGGATTCATGACGATGAAAACCTGTTGGTTTTTGTGCGTAAGTCCACCCGGCTCGCGTAAAGCCGCTTTGCAATAATACTGCACCCATCCGTGCTTACCGAGGAAAGTAGAGGGCAGACCCAACGGCAAACCCAATTTGAACGGAAAACTGTGTATTCCCGGTGACAGCAGTGACGGTCCTTCGCCTGCGCGAAATTGCCGCCAAGAAAGACATAAGAGACATAAAGAATTACGACACACACGCACACATAGATGCAACAATAATCTCTCGTCGTCTATTTAATTTGTAAAGTGTAACTTCGAAATTTATTTTAGAGACACGAAGTTGTGTTTTGCTATTTTCACGCGATGCGTGTAAACAATTTGTTTTGATTGAAAACACACTGCCGTTTGAAATGCTAATTGGCGCGTGTAATTGTGTGCGTGTGCACAAAACAACGATCCGAAGTAATTAATTCACCTGGTTCGCCCAGCAGCCGCATGCGAAAATCGATGTAATTCTCTTTGTCGTAAACCCTCTCGGCACGTTGGCTGCGTACCCGAACTACACCTTCTCCCACAACATGGAAATGCAGTCCGGAGACGCTACGGTGACGTATTCCAAACATTATTAATCGCGCGTTACACGCTCTCGACATACCAATTTGACGCGTTTCACCACTTAATAACAAGATCTCTTCTACGCTTTTCTCTTTTTTTTTTTTTTTTTACAGAGAGTCAAGAATAATTTTTTAATTTTTTAATTACTTACTAAGCTTCATCGTCCAGTTCTATGAGAACTCGGCCGGACAAAAAATGTCCGGGGAAATACAGTAAATTCGTGTTGTCGAAAAGTATCAGGAACTTGCTGAGCTTCCTCGTCATCCTGCCGCCGGTGTAAACGATTCACTTCTCGTTCGTATTTAATTGCGAATGACGGGATATCCTTTACGGACGTTTGCGTCACCGCGACTTTACGCTCACTGAGTACGCGTCAAGGAACGCGCAGGGAACAACCTTGTGTTTCTTTCGTCCATCCGTTACTTCACGACGCGAAGTGAGAAGCACTGAGTTTGCATCGCATCAGCACGTTCGTAACCGCGGCATGCGCTTCTTTTTCTCTCTCTCTCTCTCTCTCTCTCTTTCTCTCTCTTTCTTTCGCAATCTCTTTTCCTGCGTGCTAGCAAACTGATAATACCAGCAACGTCGCGATACACCTCATCGCATTTTCTCTCAACCGCGATGGGTACGTTCCGTTCGCGTTTTTCCGCACCTCTCGCAAATTATTATCGGCAGACGATTGCCGGAAGTCCGGTGACTACCAGTTCGCGATACCGAGGTTGTGCGTCGTCTTGCCCACTTCAAAACTTTCTGTCATCGTTTCGCGGTTTGTTCCTTCTTGTCCATTCTTGGAGACGCGCTCACTTTCGCTCCCTACCTTCCGCCGCACACGCTTGGGTTTTACTTCTCCTCCTTCTCCTATTCCTCTACAGTCCGGTCCCGACCAGTCTCTCTCCTGGTCTCACCTGCCTAGTGACCATGGCAGTATTCTAATCAACGATGCTACTTTTGGTATTGCATGTTACACTTGTGTTGCGCATTGTTCTTTCTTGCGTTAGCAGCCAAGGTTACATTTATCCGTAAAAAAAAAAAAAAAGAGATAAAACATGAAATTTTACCAAAAAGATTTTTATTTCGTTTTTATTCTGACAATCAGAATACAAGATTATAAAAAATATAGTATTTTGCTTATTTTTTTCATTTCGATCTTTATTTACAAAAAACGCATATATTAATCGCATAAGAGATGTTGAAAATTACAATTACGTCACAAAATTTCATCTTTCCGCTTTTTCTTCGCGCTATTAGTCTGCTGATGAAATATGTATCGATATATGTATTAAATTAAAAATGAGTTTTAGAACGTTAATAATTATAAAAATATTTACTCATTTAGTACACGCAGATTATTTCTCCAATTTGTATACAAGAATGATCAATCAAACTTTACACGAGAAGGCGGAACAGGTATGACAACTTTCAAACTTGATTTATCACAAGAGAACAACCTAAAATTGTCAGCGCCACGTAGTGAACAAAGCTGGCCGCATATCTAACTTATGCGACAAGTGTCAGTGCACACAGTAGTGTTATATATTTCTCATTATTTATTTTGCAATCTGTAATAAAAACAAGCGTAATTATATTATCTCATTTTGATATAATTGTTTATATCGTGTGTTTAAATGATTTATAATTTGTAATTATTTATAATTTAAGATAGTTCGCAATGGAGACCAAAATAATTAATCAAAAAGCATACTTGGAGAGATATATGTCTTCAGGAATTAACGAAGAGAAGAAAAAGAAGAAGAAGAAAAAGCTCAAAACGGGAACAAAAACGTGAGAAACGATCTATTTCAATTTGTATAAGCAAAGAATGTTTTGCTTTGAGATAAAGGTTAAATTGAATTTTGAGGTTACACATGTGACACAACATGTATAAAAAGTTTTGGAATGATTGTTTTATATGCAAACAATATACTATAAAATACGTTAATTTGTGATTACATTCACGTCATGTTCATATAGTCAGATTTATATCATAATTCTGAATATAAAATTATATAGATGTGTGTTCGTATACTTTTTACTATTTAAAACTTTTGAACTCTTTAAGTATAACTACAAAACATTTATTTCTTGTTATACTTGTTTGTTCGAGTTATTTATGCAAGTTTAAAAAACACGGTTATTATCAGAATTCCATAATATTTTACAGGAGGATTGTTTTATAGGTGATTGATTACAAAATAGGTTAATATGTTTTTTTCAGAGTAAAAATTATAGACGACGACATAGACCTGAGAAATATGAGACCTATTAAAGATGATGAACTCGACATTTGTTTGGACGGAGAAGACGCTCCCCAAATTGCTGGCATAGTCGATGATCGTGGACCAGTTGACTTCACGGACAAAAGAAGATGGAAAATTTTAAACGAAGATGGAGATTTAACAGTCATTAATCGTGCTGTCGATAAAGAAACAAGAAATCAAGATGACGAATTAAACGCTAAGCAGAATGAATATGACGATTCTGATTTGAGTCCACTTAGATCTAAGCGGTCTAAAAACAGAAATCCAAGTCCACATGAACGACCCAAAGACGACGATTCGGATTTGAGTCCACTTAG